AATTTTAGGATTAAAAATAATTATCATTATGTTCATTACCCAAAATCTTAAATACCGTTATATATGCATATACTCAGACGACTATATACAATTAAATGTAATACGGTTCATTAACTATTTTCACGGACGCAATCGTGACTGCGACAGTCGGGTAAATAAGACAAACCGCGTTTATTTACTATCTGTCGACCCGATAGCTCTTTATAGTTAGCGTTAGATCATCGAAGGGGAAGATCGCTCTTCGGCCGGAGCGAGAGGGCCGAAGAGGTCCTGCTTCGCTGCTTGTCAAAGTGGCCGCCGGCGTGTTTGAACAACTAATGAGCGGCTCCCCGGAGACGGTATGTTTGCCCTGAACGCCCCGAGCACTCCTCGCCTGGGTTTTTCATGCGAACGCCTGGTTTTGCGGAGGAGTCCGCCACCTCGCGACACTCAACGATCTTTGTTTATTCACCGCTCGATGTCGTATCGCACTTTTGAATAAAATTAAAATATTGACACCGTAACCTGTCAAAAGTGACGAGTATCTGAAGTAACTTTTATATTAAAAGTGAATAAAATGTAAGTTTGAATTGATAAATATATACCTATATTCTATAATTTGCAACGTAACTTTATTATTTGGTCTGCTGAAGAATGAAATAAAAAATAACAATCTTCATATCACGGGGAGTGATATATGATATATACTGAAGAATTGTTCAGATTAACACCAGCCGCTGAGTTTCAGCACCGTACCACCCGTCAGAAACTAAAGTACCGTCCTGATCGTCTGGATGATGGAGGTCCTCTACATTGCGGTTTTCTATAAACTTTTTGCCACGCAAAACCACATTGTGGAATCACCTTCCAGCCATGGTATTTCCGAACCGATACAATATTGAAACCTTCAAGAAAAAAACTTATTCCTTTTTAAAAGACCGACAACGTACTTGCAATTCCCCTGGTGGTGCGGGTGCTCATGGGCGGCGATAATCACTTACCATCAGCTGAGCCGCATGCTCGTTTGTCCGTGTTATAAAAAAAATTTTGTTCAATTAACTTTCATTTGGAGCACTTCTAAACAGTTTTTTTTTTAATGTGTACGTACCGGTGTTCGGATAACAGATTCAGACCAATCAATAGGCAAAGAACTTGCCTATTGTTCTTTCAATAAAATGTATAAATGGTTGAGTATCTAACAAAATAAATCAGTCGTTGTCCTCACAAGTACTTATTAAGCTTTATTATCCCACAAGTTAAAATTATTAGGTACCTAAGAATTTAATAATAATAAGAAATTAGCGTAGAATAATTAGGGATATACTTGCCTGGTTGTCATACACCCATTCATTTATAAAGCGTCAATAGACACCTAAGTATATAGGTACAGGTTTTATTATTGGCATTATAATCGAATTCTATGCCATATTACATAGCTTCTTCTTAAATATTGTATTGCACAACAATAAAAAAAATATCATTTCAAAATAACGAATTGGAGAAACCGTTGGGTCCACTAAGTACCTAATTAGGTATCTCAGTTTATGGTGAGTTAGAACTTACTCTTTTAGGCAAGAATAAATAGTATGTAGGTACTCAAGAATAAAAAAAAACAATAGCACAATACTACGTTTGACGATCTACATTTATAATAATTTATTTTATTTGAAAAATTGTCTTACATTTATTAATAAAATTGTCTTGTCTTAAATTTATATGAAACTTTATAGGATTCTACACAGTAGCATTATTTGATACGATATTCATATGTTCTCTATTTTAGAAATATGTTATTTAAATTACTTCCTATTTGACTTTTATTCAGAATTATCGAAATATTAAACAATAATGTTACAAATTTATGTGTCAATGTAAAAAATATATATTATTACGTAAATAGTAGCTTACATGCAGTAGTTATACATTGTACAACCTGTGCTAAAGTTTCAGTCATTCTAACTCGGAAGTTTGACTGCATCTTCTGGTAGTATTTTAAGGTTGCAGTTCTAAAGTACGAGAAGTGTAGTCAAACCGCTCTCTCAAGTCTTGAAATCTTCTTCTGTCAAAACTTCTTTGCTAAATCTTTGCTTTAATTATTAATTAGAACATTCATTCGCTTAATGACTGATTGGGTCTATATAACCGTCGGGTATTATCAATATGTTTTAATTTCGTTATACTAATAATATTTCTAATACACAATTTTTTCTACAAACTAAAACAAATTCAATATCAATAGGTAATAGTTTCTACAGCTTCTGACTATACTAACCTAATAATGGTTAGTATATATGTACATATAACCCAATGGTTGCAATCTTTACGGACTAGTTTGTTCGATCAATCTTTAAAATTAAATCAGCCTGTATCAACACAAATATATCCGCCCGAGTAAAACCACTCATCCTCACTCGTACATGCCACTTTGCCGATTACGACAATTCGCTCATACCGATTGTATAGACTCTTTGGTATAGGTCTAAACTCGTATGTCACCTAATAATAATATAATATATGGATCTTATTGATATACAGAATAGAGCTCTACTGTCGACCTTTTATTTCTTCAATATCCGCCTTAATTATATTTATAATAATTTAATTTTTTATATCATAAAAAAAATATTAAAATTTAATAATTATCCGCTTCTGGGTCATATAATGACACGGATTTATTCTGCATCGATGGTCTAAATAACTTTTGCTTAAGTCACTAGATAAATAATACATTCAAAACTGAGAAATAGTACAGGGGTTTTTTGTGGGTAGACATCTATTGGCAGCTTGTCGTAATAATGTATTAAATGTAAAAATACCGCCACCTCACGGTTGAACTTGAAACGCAGCTGTTGTTTATATTGATTATACCACAGATGGTGTGGTGCTTTATAGTTGTTTAATAGATTGGTATAACTATAGATAGATGGCGCTGATATAGTAAAATCCTACTCAGGAAATGAAGTATGAATATTGTAAATATTCATTTATCACTTAATGACAAAATAAATTTCCCATATTGATCGATCGCATAACTTAACAAACTATATATTTTAAAACAACTCCATCTAATCAAAAACTAAGCAAAACTTACAAAATTGTTACCTGCAACGAAACTGATAAAAATAGTTTTCTAAATTTCTAATTCTAAGGAATTAGAAATTTTTGGAAATAAAAATTTTCAATCAATCATCTTAATTATTTATCGATTGATTGAAAACTGTATGAAATAAACAAAATTAATTTAAATATAATATAAAAACTCTATATTAGATTCTACGTTGGGGAATAGGCACTTTTAGACCTTTAGACTCTTTTTAATATCTAGAACAGTTCACATGCTTTGGTATTTGTTTAACAAAAAACATTATAATACTAAATACTTTACCTTTATACAATTCATAAGTATATCGATAAAATATTCTCACTATGTTATCTATGGTTTAATTACCAGCAACAAATCTTACAAAGACTATTCAGTGAGCATACAACTGCTTATAGGCAATTTATTATACTGCATTACCCACAGTAGTGTGTAAAGTTACCTTATAATAGAAACCGGACATTGGTAACGATGTACCAAAAATGTACCTAATACCTAAAATATTGAAATCGGAAACCCAAAGACATGTAAATTATAGGTAGATATCTAGGAGGACATACCAACATTGAACATAAGCTCCACACACTAAGTGGTAGGTACCTTTACATGATGTAATTATACCTATAACCAAAAGAATACATGAATGGTACTTATAGAATATTCTGTAACAGTCACCACGTCAAGGCCTTAAATTATAATATCAAAAATACCATCCATATAAGAACTCTAAAACAGCGGGATCTTAAGATCATGAAAAATTCCTCATGACAGTGAAGTAAAATAAAATATAAAATCGTTTTAATGTTTTTATTAATTTTTGCCTTTAATACATACTCGAAAATGTACATTAAAGATATTCAACTGGTCAGCTTCAGAAATATACAAAGCTCTAACATTATTAGGTACGTATACTTATCAAAATATAGACAATGACAGTAATTGTAAACAAAGAAATGTACCTTATTTGAACAATTTTGGTCTATGATAAATAACACAACGACCTACACTGATATAACAGCATATGATGTATGTTTCACATACATTTAACGAGACGTTACACACTGTAGTTTCATGAGAGCTCGTTATAATGAAACTTATGCTTATGGGAAGGTTACGCTTTTTAATAGAATTAAGAGAGAAACTTGAAAGCTCGACCATTAATTTATTCTAATTAGTTTAATTAACATCGCGTAACGCTGCTCGACGCGCCTCGCTACTTCGACTTACACAATATTTACGATAATATCATGCTCCTATATTTCTCTCTTATTTCCATGTGTACAATAGGCATACCTATCTGGTCATACAAGGGGAGACTTATTTACTTTAAATTACTTACTCGTTAAAACAATGAGTATTTCTAAAAAATTCATTTGTACAATGTAGAATATCATAATTTAAAGATAGCTTATGCCTAAAGAGAATCTAAAGTAAATAACAACCCTTGTAAGAAAAACTTAGTTTAATTCTATAATATTAATAATATCTTAAAAACATCAAAGTTTGGTCGAAAACAGGAATGTGTAAAACATCTGACTAGAATTTACTAAAACTTAACATGTACTTAAATAAATTATACATATCTACTCTTAAATATTCACGCGACAATATTACAAACTAGACACACCATTTTACAATACTAATTATAATAATATCGTTTGGGATTTGCTACGAACTGAGATCTTAACCAAATACTCATAATAATTATTATCTTTGCTATCAAATGACACACAAAATGTACTCAAAAGAAAACTAGGTATTCACAATATTCACAACATCACAAGTACGATATATGAAAATAAAATATGACAGTGTTACATAAATAAATTGCTAGTAACCGCAAATTATTACACCAATCAGTAGGTACCTGTAGATACAAAAAAAAATACAATTCATTCACGTTAGAAAATATTTTGGCTTGAAATGAACTAAATATCTATTTAATATATGATTACGGAAACAAAAATAATAACAAAACTTATATAATACATTGTAATTTAATTATCTACAAGTCTTATGATATTTTTAATCTGACGTGGCTTTAGAACTGGTCATTAAATACATAAAGATAAAATTAATTGTGCTTGTCACGTCGTATTCAAAAGAGAGTAACTATCTTCGTCTATAAATTTCAGTCTTATAATAACTTTTGGATTTACTGGAGATCATTATATATAAAGTAATAACTGGAACATATTCAAACTATATTACATTGTTAACGAATCTTATTAAATTACATTAAGTCTAAAGCAATATTTTACATTAATAAAATTTGAGATCAATGGACAATTTGTTCTACGTTACTTTTATATTTATTACAAAATGCTGAATGCGACTGCATTATAATAGATAAATATTGTTTTTTGTTTGCTCTGAATCTTTCTTATCTGCCCAGGTGTGCGACAAAAAATCTATTGTTAAATTAAATTCTTATGCATTTGTAATATTTTATAAGACTGGGCAAATATTATTTTTATTAGTTATGTCTCTCAAGGCGAGAGAAACTAGTAGTATTATAAAACATTAAATGTTAAGTTATCTTCTTAGACTTAGATCAAAAGTGTACATCTTGAACATCTGTGGGTGTGTCAGGTAGTTGTGTTTGTTCTGACGCGGTTTGTTTGTGTGACTGCATATGTCTAGTTCTAGGTTCTTGAGGCTGAGTCTCTCTAGCCAACACGCGTTCAACGTGGCGAGCAATAAGCTCAGCTGCCGCTGCCGGTGTTCGTGTCAGCGCGCACAAATCGTTGATAGACATGCGCACACGCAACCCTCGAGCCGCTGCTGCTATACAGGCAACGGCGATTAGTGATGGTGGCACTAACAGGAATTCCGTTTCTGTTAACAATAAAAATATAATTATGAAATTTAAATATTTAACATCTTTACGTACTTAGTATGTTATTGACAGCATCGGTATCTACTGGTTTAGCACATGGCCTCCCGGTGGTCGCGGGTTCAATTCGTCGCACGGTATATACATTTGTATTCATGAATACAATTGTTTGTATCGGTCTGGGTGTATACACAGAAAGTATGCAATTATAAAAAATATATATATTTATTTATATTAGTTGCCTAGAACCCAAAACACAAACTCTGCTTAGCTTGGGACTACACAACGCTGTATGATATGTGTGTATGAATTTGAAAAAAGTTTTATTTTTATTACGGTACACACATAACACACACACATTTGCAAATATAAATAATTAAGATATGAATCCCAAAGTATACTTCATTTGTGCGAAATTAGAATATAACCTAACCGGGATTAAAAGAATGCAAATAGAATCAGGAAAATTGATTCAGAATTTTGGTCAAAATAAAAGTACAGTATAATTGAAAGCCACCTTATTCATAAAGTCGGTTGATGACAAATAATGTCCAACGAGCAAGATTCCAATGTACGTTCATCATATCCGTGATACTATTTAAATATTTATTTATAGATGTAACTATAATTTATACAGAACAATATACGGTTACATTCGAGAAATCGAGCGTGCGCAGGTAAGAGGCATCTGTCGTGAGATATAATTAGTTTGGATCAGACAGGTGGCTCAGGCACCTTGCCTTCATCTCAGCTTCTACACGTATTTATATAAATACGTAGTTATAGAGGTCGACCAACAACATAAAGGTTTCTAATGTGCTGCATGATAACAAATTCACTATCTAAGCGTTTTGTACTATACTATTGAATAATAGACCAAATCTCATAAGATTATAAACAGTCCACGTCACATTGTGACAATGATATAATATAGATTTGCTATGGAAAAGAAAGTAACTCACGTTATAACATTTTGCACAATATACGACACCCATTGTTATTGAAGGAACGACGCATAAGGAAGGAGAATGGAACAGCTGCCAGATTTGTGCATTCCGTCCCCGTCAGCATCTTTGTGTGCTTACGTCCGGACAATGGAGCGGGAATAATGGTAATTTACATCTTAAGTCGTCCAGGTAGAGACGCAGCTGCGATTTCGCCAGACTTAACTTCGCCTATTGTTAATAAATATACTGTGATCGCGACGTCTAATCAATAACTCTCAAAAATATCGTTACAATTTTGCACATTTATCGATGAGTATTTTATTGTTTGGAATTTATAATGTAGCAACAGCTAAATTACATTTAAATATTTAAAAAAGGCAACGATGTCAAAACAATGTATTTATTAATATTTTTAACCTAATTTCTTAAGACAACCTCATCATACACTTTTCTGTTTAACGGTGGAGGTATTGATGCGGGACAAGTTATTATTTAAAGTTTAAGTTGTGTTAGGTGCAGAAGGTAAGCCAAGACACGGCAGATGTGACGACACCTGGCGCGACCCTTCCATTTGCTACCTCCGTCAAGTAGCGTAGGGTCACTGCCCACCTACACCCTTCTTACAACTATCGTGCTTTTATATGTTACTAGACGACGTTTGCATGAATAAAAAGAATATCGCAACACGCGAATGCTTTATAATTTTAATCAGAAAAACTTCCTGCACCTTTATACATTAATTACTATCGGTGTTTAAGCTTTATAAAGACTGAAAGTTCATTGGAACATAACGATAAAGGGTGTATGAGTTTTAATTTCCATAACGAACTGCAATCTAAATGTATGCGCTTCGTAATACCTATTTAATTACGTGCAAGTGCAACATTACTGCAAACGGTCCATTTTCGTGACCACGCGCATTAAAATACCAAAGTTCTGGCTTATTATAAAATCAAAAACGATCGCGAGCTCCATATCAACGCTGATCTCCATAGCCAGCGGAGCGACACGTTCCGTTGCGCGACAGGTTGGCCGTCAGTTGGTGCACTAACATCTGCTGACCTGCGCACACGCCAAGGGGCCACACTACTTAAGATACGTACATCCACCCCCGCGACTTGCCCTACTAATTGTTATACTCGCTTGTAATGACGCTCATCCAACAGTCGTCTTCAAAAACCGTTAATTTCCGTTCCAAAAACCTGTCTCCCCTAATAGTGAATCCTAATACAAACACAGAAAGTGCAAGGGTTGCAAATAGTTAATGTCTAATTGTGCGAAACTGGTTGCAATATTATATTTATAGTCTATTTAAGTTTATGTCTTATTTTAGTAACTGTTGAAGGGGTTTTATACGATATGCCACCAAAGATCGTAAATGTTAAGTGTATTTGAATAAAAATTATAAATTTAATTCTACTACACTTAACATTTACGGTCTATGAATATTATTATATGTGAATAAGGTTTCCTTCAGAATACCTATGCTTTTCAATACGAATTACAATAAAAAAAAGTAAGAATATAATCAAATAAATTTATTCGACAATAGCTTCCAATATCGAAAGATCATCATATCAAAAATTTCGAGAATTCGAAGTAGAAGATAAATTGTAGTTTGTATATCACTTATATAAATTTGATTTGATTGGATAATAAATTGTTAAATATTTATTAAAATAGAACTTAATCGGAAGTAAGAATTGAAAGGAATATCTAACAAAAGCGTGATAATACAGATCAAGGAGGCTGTCTTATAATAGACAGAAGAACGGAAGGGTTTGAAGCGGAAGCGTGATAATCTTGCAACTTGGGCATTTCTTATACGCTGAGATTTGAGAAGACGCGTAAAGCCGCGTTTCGAGTTAGATAGGGTCCCAGCTCGGCTCGCCAGGTGCGCGCCGAGACGTCTTTGTCAGGGAGCATTTGTAGAGGCCGGGACGAGCGGTGTTCGAGTTCAGGAGGCGCACAATAGCCGCGGGACGTCTTCGTGTATTGTCGCCAAGTCAGCTGTCGCGGTCGCCCTAACTTGCGCACCCTTAGGTAACTACCTACCTATCCGCGATCGTTAGTCACCAACCGCAAAACATATCACAATTTCTTACACTATTTTAGTAGCACGATCAAATATGAAACGCGAACGATCCGCTTAATGAAACCCCAATTAAATAATTATATAAAAAAAATAAATCGTACATTTTACGGTTTGTTTATACACTTATTTATATTCTCAATATTTTTGCTATTGTAATGACCTTGTTTAACAAAAATAAAGATTGAATTGAAGAAAGAGGAAGTTTAGGGGTCAACTAGTGTTATTAACCCTTAACACCTCTGGTAATTCACGATCGGTTACCGGCAATTATGATACTTCCGGCGGCCGACACCATAGAAAACCTGACACTCATATAATGTTTACTTACAAATAACGAACTCGAGCTATTAGAAAACGAACAAATATTAACTATACAATTACCTATTTCGTACTATATATATATATATATATATATAAACATAACATATTGAATACAATTTTAACCATGGTGATCTTTATATTTATTCTAAATAATATCTGACTAATACCACAGTACCAAGCGTAAGGGTAAACAACTGACAGCCATAAATAACTCTTATCAGGATTCAGTGGACCATACGGGTATTTAATATAATATTGAAAAAAGTGTTGAGTTTTTTATATGTAGTAGATATTGATGGTGTGGAAGATTCATTAGTTTTAATTTATTTCTTCTAATGTTTACTATTGCATACTGACTATGGTACTTCTTTTAAGTTTTAAAGTGTGTTTGTGCTATTATTTTCAATAAAAAAACTTTATATTGAAAAGTCGATGAACATTTTTTAATAATTCCGTTAAATAAATGAATGCAACCCCTCTATAGAACTAACATTTTAAATAGGTACGGCTATGTGTGGGGTCACCACACACCTTTGGTCAGTGTTACCCAGCAGTAATTACAGTATTAAGTTACGTACACCATGTTTAACACCTTGATGTACGAATAAATATGTATATACATAACTACAATAGTTCCACAACCACACAAAATTAGGTTAAGCCGTTTCTGAGATTGGAGAACACAAACGAACAGACAAACATACACATACAATATTTTCTGTTTTATAACGTTGATAAAGTAACTCAATAATAGTTTCTGTCATAAATCATACAAACAGCGATCAGTTACTGTTTTTATATAATACAAACTACTACTAACTGTACAAGAAAAAAGCCTAAGTAACTCCTTATTACATCAACTAATTGCCAAGAAAAGTCCCGTCAAAATCGGTCCAGCCATTTCAGGGATTAACCCGTATGTATCGTATTTATATTCATATGCATATAATAAAAATTATTATTTCAATATTCCAAACAGACACTCCAATTTTTTTATATATATAGATATGTAGGTATAGATTTAGTATCTAGGCTGTACGTCGCAATTGAATTGATCCGAATATTGTTACTAAAATTATTTTCATTTATTATATGCAATAAAAAATCATATTAAGCCATAAATGTAAGGATTTCTTTGTCATACAGTTTATAAATTGGAATTGGATATTGTAAATAAACGTCGTACAAATTTTTATCAACAAATTAATCGTAGATTGGCGGCTGGACACATGAGATAACAACATACCTATACACGAAATGTGGAAGTGTCCGCACATGGCGTCAGCTTTGCCAGCCGGACATTCGCCATAAATCCGAAGATTACGAGATAACATTAATGCACTAATAGATAATAATAGTATGGTCAAACTGAAAATATTATTGCTGTAGTTGCTTATGTCGAGACATAATTTCATAATCTTCCTTGAAGCTGCCTTGTTTATAAGTTTATAATAAACTTCTATCCGTTTTACGCGCCTACAATGGGCAAGTTACAACAAATTAATAATTTTATATGTTGGTAATAGTATAAGTAATTTTCTATGTAAGTATCATTATATTACAGTAATATGTGAAGTAAAAACTTGGGAACTAAGTTTTTTTTTCACGTATTAATTTAATTTACTTTTATATATAATTTAATATATTTTACTTTACAAAAATTGCGCGGATGGTGGGATATAAAATTTAGCACACTTAAAAGGTACTCCTTATAAACTCCTTATTGGCTGAATATGTTATTGTATATATGAAATCGTACAAACAATATAAGTCGTGTAATCGTCAATAATTTCGTGTGCGTAATTTGACAATGGGAGTGGTTGAGGGTCAGTGGCTGAGGGGTTGTGAGCAAGGTGTGCGCGCTATCAGTGCGCGGCGCGGGCAGCATGTGCGCACGTTCCGATACACGCGTCCGCCGCCCCATGCTCTTAGCACGGTACATGTATTCGACCACACTCTAAATCATTATATAAACAAAGGGACAATCATACCTACTATAAAAAAACATTACTATATACCCATTACATATATAACCGATTTAGTATACCTAATAATAACAACCGTGGATAATTCACACAGCACTATTTAATCTCACGCTAAACAGAGCTTATGTTACTACTTACTACTTATAGAACTACTCTAATACATTTTTTATTTATAATATTAACATATTGTACATAGAAAACACCGAGACCATTACCAACAAGCATACTCATGAATACAAATGTTTATATCGTGCGAAGAATCGATCCCGCGATTATCGGTAGAAAGGCGGTGTGCTAAACCGCTAGACTATCCAAGCCCATAATAAAATGTTCAGTTGTTTTGCATTAAATGTAGAAAAGAAATATCAGGCTTACCAGTATAACAGACGGAGGTGAGTGTGAGTGCATGGGTGCGTACAAGTGGATTGCTTCTTCCCCAAGGCACTCTCGCAAGGTATGGCTCCACAAAGTCGAATGCAGTAGCAATCGAGAGTTGCCAGTTCAACCGTTGTAAAAGCATCACTTCCCATTGCTACAACAAAGAGAAATGTTTTTATTATTAATTGTTCTATAGATTTCACCACAAACAACACAGCGTACAATTATATATAGATACTGTAACTATGTCACAGCAAAAGGGTGCAATGTCGTCCGTGTGAAAATGGAGACAAAAAAGATTCATACCCATATTATATTTCATAAATTATTTTTAATTTCTAGGCAAAGCGAGTGTCTTTTATTTAAGTAATGATGTATACTACAAAGGGCTGTAAAGTACATTTTCTTACAGTTAGTACACTTGAATTATTATTACAGTCGTCATACTCGATGCGTTAAGCGGAAACCGCAAAAACTAGCGAATCACTTTACAAATGAAAATAGTAATGTACTAAGAAAGGGAACCATGGGACCGGTGTCTAAATTTTTGCAGAGGGAGACTTCTAATGTATTAAAATAATGAGGGTCGTTTTCTAGTACATATTAAGGTTACCGAGAAGCTTTACAAAAGGGACACTGTGGCTTCTTTATTTTCATGATAAACTGTAGTTAGCGATAAACGAGGGTGAATGTCATCAAGCCCATCAATAGTTATACTTAATAATAATCTTGTAGTTCATTAAACTTTTCAAAACATTTAATATAACTTGTTTCGAACTGCATCTTAAGATAAATCGTTTGATATTGGACATGTCTAATATTACTTATCTTAACAAGTTCAATAAATTTGTCATAATTAATTTATGTTTATGAATAAAACTGGTAAACTAAGGAATACACATTTCTAATATGTTATGATTTAGGTAAGTTCCAATAAATGTCTGTGGCGCTTAAAGTCGTAGAGCATGGGAAAGTATTATTCAGTGGCACACCATGTTATATCATTAAGTATGCGTAGTGCATGCCTATCGCGATCATCGTTCGAATTAATTGCAAGGAAGTGTATTATACCCTATACCATACGGTGCCCTGAAGGAACTACCATGGGTTTTCTCACGGTATAAAAATATGTTGACGGTGCCATCTATACATATTTATCTATTGTAACAATCAAATTACCGTAGCCTGTGCACTGCAAATTAAACATAAGTAGTATATTGTTAACTTTAGGTGTGCTTTGCATAGGATATAATTAAATAGTAACAAAACCCTTTTAAATTTGAAGTTCATAATATTTGTCACCTGACAGGGGTGGCAGAGGCGTGTGAATTGTGTGACGTAAGTCACATTCATCAGCGTCACTGGTAACCACACTAATTGATCATGTCACACCTGCCTGTCTACCTTCCATACAATGCCGAATATGACGATTTTGATGGTATTACAACCGGAGTGTGGGAATTTTTTTCGCCCTCAGTTAATCAATTTGGTACACTTAATCTTTTACTAGACAATTTTAAATTGTGCCATAGTGGTTTTAACACTTTAGTCATCACTAGGTACAAGACCACTATCTCTTACATCGGTCTCGTGCCCTCATTTCCGTCGGAAGCAAGTAAACAGTGAATTCGATGTCGTCACAGGCTGTAGCTTACTTAAGAAGGGCGACAATAAGTGCCTTCGTAGAGTGCTTCAAGGAACAAATAATTACCGGAAACTCACATGCGACTTTAAGGAAACGGGCAATATAAAGACCTCCTCTTTGGGGTGAAAGGAGTGACATTTGACTCGGCTAATCAAGTTCATTCATAGTGGAATCAAAACAATGAGTAAGTTGTGGTCGCGGCAGGATGTATGTAAGGTGCATGGATGCGTCGGAACTATTTGACCTTATATGAAAATATGACACAATCACATAAAGAGAATGTAACTTTGTCTTGTAGGGTCATACAACATTTTAAAAAATATTATCCAGATCTATTATTTGATATAAATTAATAACAGTTAATTCATACAATAATGACGTAAGCATTTTTCCAAAATAGGTAACCACTGTGAATTTATATAATCAATGTTTTTTTTATTTATTTCTTAAAAATTTTGAAGATACACTATTTGTTTCTTCAAAATTTTTAAGATCTAAGTGATTGTACTCGATACCGATTGGTATTTAAAAGTTGGGAAATGTGGTTTCTGAGATTAACATGGAAACAGAAATTAGTTTTTATACAAATTTGATAAATTGAAGTAATTTCTTTTTAGAAGTTCTGAAATAGAAGATATCTACCATAAGATGATATATATAAGATACTATACCATGCAAATTATTATTTCCGTAGGTACTATACTGAAGTGTATATAGTACTATAGGTAATGTACAATAGATACCAGTTGAGTTTCTTTGCATTTCTTCTCAGCTAAATTAGCTAGCCGAACAGCACGGTAGTGGGGCTAGTGATACAAAATATATGCATAAGTGACTAAAATAATCCTACAAGATTGAAGGCCTTTGAATTTAACTTTTAACAAAAATAATGTTAATAATATCAAATACAATAAAAATTAACTGCCAATTTTTACACAGCGCAAATTCTTCACTAGAGGCACACAAAAATTATTTAGTATGCAGATATTAAAATTTGTATGGTATGAAGCATTCTTCCGTCAGATAAACATGGCATATAATTAAAAACGCTGTATATAATTTAGCTCTAGCTGAGAAAACAGACATGTTTCTTCATGGCCGACAAGGCCTATAAAATACAATAACCGCTTATTTACCTATTATCGGGCAAAAAGTAGGTACTTATGTTTGGTCCGTAACCATATCAATATAATCAGCTGAAAAGCCGGACTTCACCTAGTGTATATATACGTATATACAAAAACACTCTTGTTTTTGACCTACTATTACGTTTACATTCTTTCTATAAAGCCAATAGATGGCAATATGGTCTTTTATATATAAAAGACCAAGACCATATTGCCACCTATTGCTTAATCAGAACTAATATTACACCTGGGATATGTTACGTAGGGATATTAATATATTAATAGTTCTTGGAGTCACCGTATTCGCAATTATGAGACTTTAGTTTGTGCTTGCTCTTTCCGGGTTCTTCGTAAGTCTTTATATTTTATGCATATTTTCCAAAAAAAATTGAAAAGATATAAAAACTTACCCTGACTTCTTGTGGATATACAGAATTGTCTGTGTAGGCACACAAAAGGTCGACAGACAGCGGATGGCACTGCCGGAATTTTGAGGCGAGAAGCATTGCAGTGACGGCCAGCAGTTGCAACTGTTGCCGCGAGATGGCGCGTTGAGCGAGGAACCGGTCCATGTAGCTCACAGCAAGAGGAAACACCTGCTCCTCACATTGTTGCTCTTCGCACACCTGGTTCAAAAATAACAAAACACATAAAAATAGATTATGATAATATGCAAGATGCAAAATAAACATTGCACCTTAACATGAACTTATGGAGTAAACAATGAGATAAAAATACATTAACAGTTATGAAAGAAAATTGATTAATAAAAGAAGTAATCAATAATAAAAAGAACATTTAAGAAAAATGTAAGATTCATCAAATATATATCATCTTAAAGCATAGAAAGAAAATGGTTTGATAATTAATTTTAATAATATACAAATTCCATATCCACTGATTGGTGATACTCAGATGTTACTACAATAATAGATACCTACGTACTATTATCATCCATTGGATATAGATGAGTGAATATAACAAACACCATACTCTTACACTTAATCTCTTGAATAATGTAAGGCTGCAAATATAGAAGAGTTTTTACCTGATGTACTTTCAGTTACCCATTAAGATTCTCGTGTGCATTCAAGAGGCAAGCTCAGTAAAAAAGTTAATAAAAAAGTTTCCGTTGATAGGCGTTTCTAAGGGTTCGTAACGTCTCAGCTTCAGCCTCGGTTGCACATTACACCCGGTTCACCTGACCAGTGTCTGTGACATTTAGGTAATTGTGATTGCTAATTTATATACATACTGGTATTATAACCGTTACCTACCTAATTAACTGACCACCTAACAATAATTTATGGAATATCACGCAGAAAATCCAAACAAAAATCCACGCAAAAAAGAATAGGTATTTCGCTGTATACTAAAAACTATGTAGGTAGTCCGACAGTTACGCCCTTTTTAAGAGGATGACTGACTAAGGTACTATCTCCTACCTACCTATAAGACACCTCCAAATAAAATATTCTATGTACATTTTTATAATACTCACAATAGGTAGGTACTTTTCAATTAAGATTTTATTATCTTATAAATTGCGGTCAATGACATCTATTTTATATTAATCAGTTGTTGACGGAAGTTAAACCGAGCTATTGTAAACTCCGATAAACCAACACACAATAACCGTATATCCTTATGTCTTCTCTTCCGTTGATTACTACTTGTTCTTATTAAATTTATTCAAAGTACCTAATGTGGAATCATGAGGAAAAGAAAACTTACCTCTAACATCCAAGTAGTGACGACTTTCCGCATAAATGGTTGAATATCAATTTGAACATTCTGGAAATAGTCTGTATGTAAAGCGTGGGTCCTCTCCAAAGTTAATAAATTTAGTATGACTCGTGGATCGCTGTCTAATGCTCGATCGGGGCCGGCGATGCACATGTCCACTGTCCGGCTGCTGCACGGGTCCTGATTGCCGGAGTTCTCAATATTCTCTCCACAGGACAAATCCATTTTTAACACTGTTTACTCCACTTAGTTATCACAAGTAAAATCTAATCGTAGGCGGAAAATAAATAAAAATACTAAGTTACGCGATAAAATTTCGCGCAATTACGCTCTCTGCTGTTTGTTTACAATGTTCGTAACTCGTGCGTCGTACGTCACTGTAGTCTGCGCAAGCGCACGACGACTGTTCACAACCAAGTATAAACTAAACTGTACCCAAGTCGCGTTACGAATGTATCGGAACGCGTGCGTACTACACACCTCACCCCACCAATATTCCCTTTACAAAAGTCCTTGGCCGTAAAGGGCTCGGACCCTTTTTCTTAACAAAAAGTGCAACAACAAATTTTCATAACTCAGTAGGTAAACGCAATATACCTACCACGCGGTTACAGCTTCCACGACCTCCTTTATTCTCTACAGTACTGTATTTTTTATGTACAATTACTTATTTATTGTTTTATGCGACTATTGAAATCACTAAGTTAAAAAGTTCCTACAAATACAATTGTTTTCGAAAATGAGCTTTCTGAATTTCTAGAGTCAAGGTCCAGTACTATCTAGACTCTACAAAACATGTTACAATGTATATTTACAATATCATTTTTGTGAAACTTAATTAATTTTCAATTAATTAAATTATTTATCGTATTACTATAACAGAACAGATAATTTAATTAATGAAAATTATAGATTACTTAATAAGCAAATTATCAAAATTGGTACTCAATTCATTCGATCTGTTATTTATTAGATATAAATTATGATGAATGTTTGATCTTCTTTGAATATTTCTTTTACTTATCTAATCTTTTAATTATAACCTTAACTTATGGCTATTCTATATTCGCAGCAGAACTTGATAAAATTATTAATAAATAAAACAAGCATCAGCTGAATTTTTAGCCCTTTACAGAAATCTCTGAATCCAGATTTTGACTATGCATATGGTTAGTTATCATGATATTTTAAACAGACTCCAAAAACCAAGATCACATTTCGATTAAACATATGTAACAAATAGACTTAATAGAAATGGCTATGGCCAGTACATTATAAAAAATGTACCTACTAGACCTATGCAAGACGTGTCAATAGTGCCTACGAATCCAGCGTATACCGTTAGCGCAAATGGGTGCACCATTCCATTATCATAAAAAATAATCATTATACATACATACATACATAGAAAAGTACCAAGGAGTTCCTACCAAAAGTTGGTACCCATAGATATAACAAAAATGTAAGTGATATTCAATTCGATTCTAATAATATAAATGGAAAAAAAGTTTGCATACTATTTATGTTCATTAATATAAAAATACAATTAATATATTTTGATCACACGAACGTTGTAACTAACAACGTATTCTAATAAAAAGAACCCAAAAATATATTATCAATATATATATATTTCAATGTAAATAAAAAGATGCTAATAATAATTCATTTTATTACAGAACAATTACCAATAAAATATATAAAAAATAATACAATACAACACAATGAGATCCTGTTTATTCGGAGGGCGCGTGACTGTGGAGGTATGGAGGAGGGCTGAGGGCAGCTGCGCGTGCGCCGGCTGCGCCGAAGCCGGTTGACATTTTATTACAAATCTGAGCACACCTGATCTTGAAGACCAGTCATTATTATAATTCCTTTCTCTTTCCAGGCTCGGCTTGTATTATTTCAAACGCGTGCGCTACACGTACCCTTTCTATTAAAATAACTAGCTTCTCTATAGCTATGACCACCTGTCATTACCTATTATTATTTATTCTATTATGCTCTTGAACGAAGGATTTTAATTAATACAATACCTACTTATCGCAACCAGGTTTTTTTATTTTTGAAAAATCAAACTTAGTATTATAAAATGGAAGGTATGTGACTATTGGTTTCCAGTCCGTAATGTAAACCATACCTATGAATGCTGCCAAACCAAAGCATACGAAACTCGCAGTAAATCCGCTCAATTGTTCCAGGTGCTTTTTACCGAACAGCATTGTGGTCAGTTTTTAGTTCTTGTTTATGTAATATTCAGGAAAAATATATGTAGGTAATACTTTTAGCCATATTATTTAAAGTAACAATTAGTATATGTGTACAACCTGATAGGATCTGACGGAATGATAATTGTTTTCTTTTTAATAAACCCGTTCAGTTTCTTGGCCAGTTCGACACAACTAAAGAACGAACGAACTGGATTGGTGGAATGGTAGAGACAATGATAAAAATCCTAACGTGCGTATGAGACATAATATATCCTATATGAATAAATTATTTAGACTTTGTATGCATTTAATTTGTTCCGCGTTTCAGTATCTCTTTCGTTTAGAAAGTTTCAAAATGACACGACACTGAAAAAGCGCAAACCAAAAAAAAAAAAACAAAAGTTAAAAAATGTAAATAGCATCATTCTTGTTGCCTATAGTTTTCCCTCTTCAATTATTCTGTTGCTCTGTATGCTTGACAATACTGTGAATGATGATATACGAGAGAACAGTTCCAACCCGCTAACGAATTTATCCGCTAGTGTGAGCCTGTTATATATACGTATATGTCAATAGGATTAAGCAATTAAGATATACTTATTAACATAAAAAAATATATGTAGAAGAGTAATATCTAAAGTACATTATTCTCCAATACCTACCACTACCTCCAGTACCTACATAATGTATTTTTCTGTTTATTTATTTATCCACGTTTATGGAAATGTTAATGTTCATGTGCATAAGCGGAACTAAATTTAACATTTGGTATTCGTCTGGGATTCTCTGTGTGGACAATTCCCGCGCGCTTCCTACCACATGCTATAGTCAAATTACATGGCCACAACATGACCACTAATTATAATGTTATCAATTTGTCAACCCGTCCCATCTTACATATATCATCATATATTAAGCAAATAGCAATAAAATATGTAATTCAGAACAGTATGTAAATCAAAAATTATATCACACATTACCTAGTAGGTCAGCATAAGCAAAACTAGTATTTTATGATGTACATCGACGACGACCGTCAGCTACAGCGAAAGTTTTAAGTTTTTTAAGCTTAAAGATTTTAGCTTACAAAAAGTGTTGTCCTATTTGTCAAATAAATAAAGGGGCTGGCCTGGCCATGGTGAAGCGCTCAAGCGACTATTCTGTAAAAGGGTCAGACTCCACTGTTGTCGATAAGTACTCGTTTGTGATAATGGTATACGCTGGAGGAATACCAGTGAAGGATGTCGTAATAATCATCCTCAGTCTGGTCAGTTTACCCATCGTACCCAATTCACCAGGAATTAACCGCGATGGTTCCCAAAAATTAACTACGATGTTTTTTAGAGATGATCACCCAGGTGATGTGGACTTAACATGGCACATTGCTAGTATTATGGCCACTAGTTCCCAATACTAAGAATTCCGTCAACCTAGTACAGTAAGTTCAGTACCTACTGTAATGTAACCTTCGTCTAAAAGTAGGTACCCGACAATTGATATTTATAATGAAATACCTTTTCGTTTCTTTCAGCTCATAGCGAATTATTAGTTTTTAAGTTTTCTATATTTTTACTCTGTGTCTACTATGTTGCTGAATAAATTATTATTATTATTAAATATAAGTAGGTATATTTTGTAAAAAAAGATTCTTAATGTGTAATCCGTGTAATTTGAAATGCTTCTTCTTATAGTGGTTACTTTTTCAGCGATTCTTTAAATGACGATTTTCTTTTGACTTAATGGCACGTATCATATAGAGATGCTAAAATGGCAACAGTGTACATATATTCAACAATGATTCTCATATGGTACTTTAAGAATTAATACAGATAATGTATTTACATAACTTCATTGTACAACTAACTTTAACCTAAAATTAAAAACCTTAAAATATATAATATAATAACTAAAATATATTATTAAAAGGAGACCCTTTAGGCAAGGTTCCAAAGATACTGGCAGCATTCCCCCTTTGAATGGCTAGATTTTTTTTTTTTTGGTTCGGATTTTTCCTTTTTTAGGGAAAGGCAAATGAACTCAGCCCATACAGCCATTGTCTTCAGTAATATTTTATTATTGAATGGCTAGACTAATATAAATCTTTGTACGAAGTAGCTGTCAGCTCTTCGGTCTTCAAAAATTGACATTGACAGTAACAGTTAAGGCTACATTTGACAAGCAGTGACAATTTCAAATTCCAAATAGATTCCACTTAATTTTCATAGTTTATTTACTTTTCTCGTCACCTTTGTTGTTGTCTATTTAAATTAACTTAAAATTACAGTATTTATATATTAAAAATAAACACAAGTTTTCAATTAATTTATTAGATATTTACGACAGTTTGTGTTTTCTTGTGTCTGTGAAACACTGACATGGGATCAGAAAAAGATCCACTCGTCAGCGAAAGATCAGGAACAGTTCGAGAAGTAGGAAATCATGCTATTTGGAGCTTATCTTCTTGTAAACCAGGTCATACTAGTTTCATTTATAATAAAACTTAATCGGAAACAGACTTTAAATTTAAACTCTATGTATGAAAATAATAGATCAGTTAAACAGTCAAATATTTTTCTTATTTCTTTAATATTTTTGTTTTATTTTTAGGTTTTGGTATAGATCAATTACGAGATGATTGTATGGACACATATTGGCAGTCAGATGGACAATTGCCACATTTAGTAAACATTCAATTCCAGAGAAAAACAATGGTCTCACACATTTATATCTACACAGATTACAAACTTGATGAAAGTTATACACCAAGTAGAATATCAATCCGAGCAGGAACACACTTTAATGATTTGCAAGAAATTGAGGTCATTGAGCTTATAGAACCAAGTGGTAAGTTTGTCATAAATGTCATCTTTTTATATATCAACACCTCTAATCTATTTAATTCATGTAATACTAGCTTTGCAACTTCATCTTACCTATGTTTACAACAGTTTTCATTAATTTTGCTGTTGGACTCAGCATAATGGTATGGAATAGCCTTCCTCAATAAATGTATTATCAACCTCTAAATTAATTTTTAAAATTTCATCAGTAGTATTCCAGATTACCCCGAAAACATCGAAATTCAAATTTATAACATTAGTATAAGTAAACTAATAAAATTTTATCTTTCGACTTGATTATTTATTTTAGGTCTACATCAATCCAATCAATAAATTATATATTTTTTATTTATTTTAGGATGGGAAATGATACCAATCAAGGATATGCATGACAGGCCTATTAGAACTTATATGATCCAAATTGCAGTGCTGAGCAATCATCAAAATGGACGCGACACTCACATGAGGCAAATTAAAGTTCACTCACCCTGTGAACCAACTTCATTTGATATCAACAAATTCAGAAATTTCTCTACAGTTCAATTCCAGCAATATTCAACAATTCGATAAATATTTTATATAACTATTTATTTTAAGTATTTTGCCAAATAATAAATAAATATTTCTTAATTAAAAAATGTATAATATATTGTACAGTTTAATCTGAATCACTTTCTTCACTTGCTTCTTGTAACCATTCAAAGAATTTTACAATTGATGATTGACTCATGATAGGACTTTCATTTTCTTTCAAATCTTCATACCATTCTAATAATGAATCTTCATCTACCACATCAGCTTCATAAAACAAATGCACTATCTGTCCAGCTTTACCATCTAGCCATTCACATTTAATACAACTGTCCTGAAACATAAATAACAGTATTAAAGCTTGTTTTCACTTGTACATCTTACCATTTTTACAATATCAAAATATAACTTACTTCAACTGCTTTTAAACAATCCATTATGGAAGACTTTGTCTTTATGTAGTTATTTAAGATTGGATGGAAAAACTTCAGTATATCTTTTAGAGTGACCAAAACATTTTTGCTTTCAGTGAGAACTGGCAAACTTAACAATGCTCTTACTACAAAGAAGTTGACCTCATGAAGCTGAATATTGTATGCATATCTTGAAGAATTAATTTCTAATATAAGGAAATCACATTTCAACTTCTCTTCAAAACCTCTAGCTAAACTATCAATTACCTCTTGAAGGAATACTGAAAATAAAATGTTAGTATTATTTTACAGTCAAAATTAAGAAATTTATTCATTACAAGAATTTTCTTACTGTTAGTGTCTTCTGGTGCAGGTGAATCAGGCAGAGATGATTCTGCACTACTATCAGATGAATAACAAGATTCACTGTCACTCCAATTTTTTTCAAATCCAATAAACTCATCAACTCCAGCACCCGAAGAATCATTCTCCCATTCACCTTCTGATGTAGACTTATGCAAAATTTTCTCTATAATAAAAAAAAAGTCATGTATACATATCACATGTGATTATCTAGTCTCAAACTAAAGAGAGCTAGTAATATGGATATTGTCAAGTAATAAAAATAAAAGTATAAGAGAAGTAATATTCATCTATTCCCAAATATTTACTTATTACATTAAGTATATAATTATTTTACTTTAACTCACCATTTCCTTTATCACTTTCAGAATCAATTATATTTCCATTTAAATGACTACCCGACTTTACAGTGATCTCAGATGCTATAATTGTACCTCCCTCAATATTTGAATTTATTTCAATTATACAATTTCGATCAATAAAACTATAAGATATATTACAGTTATCTTTGATAACTACATCATCCATAATATGACTTCCAGTAATTTTGACATTGTTTCCAATTTTACATCTCTTCCCTATCATGGATTTTGTTACCACAGTGTTATCGCCAATATATGTATTGGCTCCAATTAGTACATCCTCTGTCAATGTACAAGATCTGTAAATTTAGAATGAATATAGTTACTGATTAAAATCTTTATTAATATTATAAATATGATATGAAAGTTAATGTACCAGTTTACTGCTAAGATCATAGTGAAATTTGACATGCAGTTTAAGATTGAAAAGAATAAAGAGCTTAATGAAAATTTATACCTAACAATAATACCATTTTAAATTTTTAAATGAATAATATAATTCACACTCACCTACTCAAAATAGAACTTGTGTCACGAAAGTTGTGATTTCCTGTGGTGATATAATTATTTTGGTAAAATGAACCAGATTCTATGGATAATGGATATACCCAATTATGCAAAATATCTCGGCTAAAAAAGAAAAAGATTAGAATAAAAGTTAATTTATTCATTAGCTACATTGAAAGAATATGTAAAGAGAATTACAAACCCACCAAATAATTTGATAAGTTTTCCAATTAGAGACAGTTGCAGCATACTGATTGTTTTTTAGAAGAATATAGTATAATGAACTGGCTAGGATTTCTTCATTTATTAGAATGCCATGAATAAAATCATCACATGTTTGAAAATCAAAATTATCATAAAATAATGGAAGAACTGAAGGTGAGCACAAGGCAATATTGGCATCTGCTAGATTGTGGTGTAGTTTAACTTCTGAATAATTCAGTGTAACCTCCTGAAACATTAAATGTACCTAATTTAGAATTAAATACTCTTATTATATCAGCAGATGTTAAGATAGTTATTATTAAATAATTTTGTAGTATAATATAAATGTATACTTATTACACTAGAATTAACATACAGACCAAAGGCAAATTAATTGTCCTGTCGTTTGATTTTATTTTATATTTCTTGTGCATTAATATTTTCTTAGTATTTGCATCAGCAGCTATAAAAATAGGTTTATCCCAACTAATCAGTGGATGTTCCCATGAAACCTTCTGATATATTAATGTCATAGCTGCACCTTTGTCCTTTTTTGAAATTTGCCTATAACAAAAAAGAATGAGAAATATAATATACCTAAGTATCTATGGATCACATATAAATTGCAGCTAAACTGAATGTTTGCCACTTTTATATGAAACATCTGACATGACTGTATGCCCATGTCACACAAGAAATGTCAGGCTACCACTGCCTGTGCATTAATATGGCATAGATATTATATACATAGGTAGTCTGAAATTGCACACTATTATTGATAGAGGCAACAACTTTGCCCCATAATTTTATTCATATAACATAATTATAGTAAATGGACAGGCATATAAACTAATTTAAATGTTCCTTCATAAAAACAATGTATAAAAATAATAATAAAAATTAATGGAGTCAATTCATTACTCCAAACCAGGGATGTTATGGATATGAAATTCGGATATGGATAGGTTTCGGATATGAAATTATTTCAGATTATCCGTTAGTTTCAGATAATTTCGGTTACGGATATTAATTTTTTTAAGGAATTTCAAAAGTGAAATACAAATAGCTAATGAAATGGTTACATAACGTATCTCAATTACGCTTTGCCCCTATCTGATATTATCCGAAACTTTTATTTCGGATTCGATTACGGTTATGAATATTTTTATATATCGGATATCGGATAGTTTCAGTTACAGTTACGGAGGTCCCTTACATCCCTGCTCCAAACCATCAACTATATATGCTATCCATGTGTAAAGCTTATGAATAAATATATTATTATAAAAATATAAATGCATAGGCTTCATAATTGTGTCATTAATTAATTTAAACAACATTAAAAAGGAGAAGGTTACGCTGTAGGTTCTACTGTATTTAAAGTACAATTAAAGTTGGATAAAGAATAGTGTATTGACATTACTATATATTGTAATTATATTAATAATCAAATAGTCTTACTTGTGTTCTTCCAGTAGGGATGCAAAATTAACATTAGTAATACTATTCACCCCCATTAATACAAAATATCCTCTGACAAGACCAGATTCATATATCTCTCTCATTACATCACCCATAGTTTGACAAGAATCAGACATTAAAACATTTACTTCCATAGTCAAACTCCATGTTGCTTTCATCTGATTGCATTTCCTGCATAAAAATGTATACTTAAAAATTGTTGCTACCATAACAAATTTAAACATAATAATGAATTTGTTATTACCTAAGGTGTTCTTTCACCCTCGTACCATCCTGACAACAAAAGAGAATTGTTTCACCCACTCCCCCTAATGCCAGAGATTCAAGTACATAGTCAATTAATGAAACACCTGCAACTGATAAGAATGCCTGAAAAGAATTTCATGTTTAATATAACAAAACAAACACATTTTAATATAGGAACACAGTTTAAATATAAAACTACTTAGTTCATGGTACACACACCTAGCTGCAGTAGCTTATGATTTATGAGTATCATCATACTTTGCATTAAGCTTGGTTTTTTCTATGTCTATGTATATATATTACCTCTGCTTATTTGATACTCGATGAACTGTGTACATTGTCCAGGATATTAACAGGTGTAATTTATAATTATATGAATTCTATAATTTTAAATAAAAGCTATTCATATATTCTAGATGGTGTCTCGTTAACTTTGTTTACAGATAACATGGCACAAATTAGGGAACTATAATTAAAAACAATATTTGGAGTATTATTTCAGCATGAACAAAAAAATATGTATGTACAGAGTTGGGTGGTAAGTAACACAATAATTTTACCATTGGTTTGTTGTTGCATATAGGAACAAAATTATTATTGAAAGTGTCCATTATCACCACGGCCTGGACAATATTTTCATTATCAATTTCCATGATTATTGGATAACTACAATTAATAGGTTACTTCAGTTAGTATGATAATCTGAAAAATACTGTAATTGATGTAATATAAAAATATTTTTTTAATAGCTTATTTAAATAAAAATATTTTTAAATATTTGAATTTATTAATGTAAGAATGAATGTGTGACTATTTTAATTTTTATATTCTGAACATTGAATATGATCAAATCGAGTTAAGGATGATCGATATTCTTTGATATTCTCGATCACATCACACAAAAATGAAATACCTCGCTAAAACAAACTAGCAGTCTAAAATTATATGAACTTAGCGGCCTAAAAAATATAAGAAGAGGAAAAATCTGTTTTCTGAAATCAATATTTCTCACTCGATCTTTTTATTGTATAGACATTAATTCTATAAATATCATGTCAACATCGATTATTTTCTAATATCGCATCGCATCCCTAGATCGAGTACTGAATTCATGGCCGTGCCGTGACGTTATTTTTTTTCTCTTGTGGTATGGCATTCACCCCGATATGTGCCGTGACGTTGACTTTTAATTTCCAGTTATCAATGTTGCCAACCTAAAACAGTAGTCGAAGAAATAAATAATGTGGCTTGCTACTCGGAACAATTATGCAGATTGGCTCAATTTGGCTGGACAAATTTCGTACATGTTCATATCGTGAAGGATCTTCATTCAGGTGACATTCCTGTGATGCTAACCATGTACAAGTAGTTGATAACAAATGAGAACGAAATAGTTCAAGTCTTGTAGCTTGCGCTAAAATATTTATCGCAATGGTTTCCAGAGAACACCACCTATAGGTCGAGTCTACGTGGTACAATACTAGCAAAGACGACGACGAGTCCCTATAAACGGCAACCCTCTGTCCTTTTCCTTCTTGGCGCTTGCTGTTCTTGTAATATTATTCCATTCAAGTCCATACAGATATATGTGGTACCTACACGTACGATTGATCCCCTATCCAATTTAAACGGGGATCGAAATTACAACGGCACAAGCAGAGGTTCGAACCCCTAGTGGTGCCCTCATATTAAAGTCGTATCCGTCAAAATGGTGTTGGTCTTTTACCGCTTCATAAGTCCTTCTGCAAGTTTGTAGTGCCAACTGCATTCGCCTCTTATTGTCCGCTGAAGCTGTACCTACAGGCCAGCTGCGACCAACAGCATTAGATAGATTAGATGGACAATAATTTCAAAATATTGAAATACACAGATTATCCATTATACATTTATCATTTGGCAGTTTCAGTTACAAAGTTTATATTGCTGTTTGCACATAATTGATAAATGGTTCATGCATTATCAATTATGTAATCACAAATCTGTACATATGAATAATACTGAAAGGATTGCAATTTGCTAGATGCAATATTCGTACACAATCATAATACTTTCTGTGTTTTAAATATATAATTATTTTGATAAGCAATATAGGTAGATATATAAGCACTGCTATGTTCGCTGACATACAATTAACACTCGTAATATATACCTATTTTATATAAAAATTATTCTTAAGATAATATTCTATAACGGCATTATTAAGATGCTTAACGTCGAATACATTACGGTTGCCTAGGTGCTATCGATTTTTAAGCATACAAAAACAAAAAATAAAAACTTCGTGATATAAGTACATTATTAGATACAGTTTATATAAATATATTATTAATTACGAAGACAATGGATTATGACTTATCACGTGTTGACTATTCGATTTGTGGGATCACATTTCCGGATACACTAAAAATATTGCCCTCTAGTGTCGGTGCAAAGATTCAGCAAAAGGTACTTTTATACTAAGCAAACACAAATTGCAAGTTAAAATATATATACCCTTATGTAAAGCGACATTGATATAATTTTTGTTTACTTAATTTTCTTATTTGTATAGTTCACTATTGGCGACAAAAATGGCGTATTGCATTGCCTGGGTATTAAAGACGAAGAACCAGTTGTGCAGTTTAAAACTTTACCAGGGAAACCAATAACGTCTGTTCAACTTGCCTCGAACATGGGTAAATGTCTAACACACTATTAAATAGCTAGGTTTGGTGTCAAATATAATTATATCTTATATATTATTACTAATACCTATATAATGCAAATATTTGTATGAATGACGATGTCGACTGCCAAGCATTCCTCTAGGTAAACATTATGTGACTAAGTAAACAGTGCGATAGTTAATCTAACTTCTTTCTAATTTTGTTATTCTTCTCTAATGTTCAGCCAACGTAAACCAATATGGGTAAGATCATTGTCATTCAGCAAATAACGATAATGTTTCAAGAGAGGAGTGCGTGGAAGTGAAAATGAGGTGTACATTTTTAGCAATAAGGGTACTATAGTATTACCACAGATAATATAATATTACATAGTATTACTGAAAATTCCGTCCATCTTTCACTCAATGAATACATAATAATTTATTTGTTACAGGTACACTAACAGATAAAGTATTTGCAGCATCAGGTAACGAGGTCAAAGGTTACACTAGAAAAGGAAAAGTGTTCCTTACAATCGAAACACCTCTTACCGAAACAATTACATCTATGTATGTAAATTCTGTAGATATAATATTACATGTTAATTACTTTTTTAATTGATTATAGGTATATTAACTGCAGGTGCGTTTTGGGTGTCGACTTAATCTTATGCAGTGGACGAACTGTGACATGTTATCGAGATTTACGTGAAACACATTCGTATATTTGTGACGATAGAGTGCTAGACATAGCAGCATTTAATACACCAAATGTAAGTATCCATATAATTAAATACCTCCCTAGATAATTGTCAAATGAACCTGTTCAACCTTCTCGACTTCATAATATGTTCCATAATGTATTTTAGAATATACGAATACGACTTCTTGTGCTGATCGCTAACAAAGGAGCAGAGATATTGGAGAATGGTTATACATTGGCCCATACCGCCATATCCGCAGGACCAACCAGACTCGCAGTTCCTCCATCACTACATGTTCTTGATGTGTATGCATTCTACGGCGCAGCTGATGGTTCCATAGGTCTCATAGTTTATGAAGAGTAAGAACTAGTTAATTCATAATCATTCGTGTAGTCCAAGTGGGTAATTGTAAATAATAATGCTATATATGTTAACTGTACCATACACACAGCTGTTCTGCGTCCATACCGGTTTAAAACATGCAATATCAGGAGTTACATTTTAGAGGAGAATAAACTGAACATATTAGTCACGAGCGATATAGGTATCGCGGAAACGCAGCAAAGCATTATTTTATATTATAGTCGCCGTGTAACCGCCCTAGTACAGCAACTATTGCCTAAAAAATTTAAATAACTACAACGCGAAGCATTTTTGGATAAAGTTCCATTCCAGGAATTTTCCACCAACTTCAAATTGTACAGTAACATCAGAGGGTGCACCATTGCACCCAACAACGCCTATACAGACTGCTCTTTCACACAGTCTGGGACATCTTATTAATATTAAAAACGCGAAAATTTGTGAGTATGGATGAATGTTTGTTACTCTTGAACGGATTTTGATTCAATGTTAAAGTATAGCTTATACATCAGAATAACATATAGGCTATAAATTCCAAGCTGGTGAAACCGCGGGCACAGTTAGTTTATGATAAAAACCAAGAGAGTGCGTAACTTTTTTTCCGCATTGATATTTTAGTTATTTATTTGTTTTTGATGCATAGATACACATGCTAATATTGATGCTAACTACGACCTTGTTGATAGCTATCAACAAGCTCGTAGTATCTGTTATGGTACTATATGCTTATATAAGCATATAGTACTATATGCTTATATAAGCATATAGTAGGGTATATACCCTACATAGCTAACTATAATTATGATATTACTACGTTATTCGATGTGCAGCTCAACTTTAACAAGTAAATGTCTAATGGAAGGAAGAGGATTGGGGGCTGTAGTGTGTCTAGGTTGGTTCATGGGAAATGGAGGAACACATCTTGCTGTCGGTCGGCACGATGGTTCCATTCAGCTCTATCTTATTGACATGGAAAACATCGCTGGAAAACCACGCCTCAAATTCACATATGTTCGTATAGCCTAAAATTATAACTTGGTATATAAATTAGTAAATACACAAAATAGATTTTTATGTAGAGGTAAAGCTTAAATGCTTATTTACGTACATATATATAACTACATATATTTAACCTAAAGATATATATGATAAGATCCATTTTACGTTGAATTCAAATGCGCTCGATTTATAAGGTAACTTGACCACAATCGACAGTCAACTGTTTCCGTCTATACAATCTAGGATTAAAATCGTAATATACCTACTTATTGTAATAAATCGTAATCGTATTATATATTATATATTTAATAAATATATTGTTTCTTTAGACGGTAGCAATCTTATGGTAGTCTTATAAACTTTGAGTGCAAAAAATATTATAATATATATGAATACTTAATAATTTTGCCTTTGACTTCAGTTTTGCGGTGAGCCTGTAACATCTGTATGTGGTGGTTGTGTGGGTTCAGAAGACCATGAATTGCTGGCAGCTACTTTCTCAGGAAGAATCTTCGGACTCCGGACACAACGTCTAGTTATAGGTGTTGCCAATATAAATAATATTTCACAAGATGCTTTAACTTCCCGACGAGCTAAACTTGAGTGCGTATACTTCTATAGTAATATGATAAATAGTAGTTGTAGAGATAATATATAATTGCTAGTAAATAAATATATGTATATAAGGATATCTAAATATATTTATTTTCATAAATATTTACATGATGCACATTGTCACTATTTACGATGCGTTCAGAAATGACGATTCAAAATGCACATGTTGCATTAGCATGTGCTCAACTTCTTATTATTTGAAAATATATACCTATATGTAGTAGGTATGTCTAATCTTCAAACCTGTCTCCCCTTTGGCGTTTTATATCCTCTACATACATATAGGAGATAAAACTTCAAATGGTAGTTTCATATACACCTATTTTTCTTCCTGTATACTCATCAACCTATTCGTAAAAGTTCGCTAGTTACTAAGCTGTTTCTTTTATACCACAGTGGTGAAAATCAATGATCGAAAACGGTTACCATAGCCTATGCACGCCTCAAACACCAGGGGGATTAAGTACACGTTGCTAATCCATAAGGAACCATAATATAATGTAAAAAGCCTGACAGTCCCCGTTCATTCATCATCTTCAAGTCACGTTTTATTAAGATCCCTTCAGACGTTTAGTCCTAAAAGTGTAATAAACAAACAGTCACACATAAAATTGTACAAAAATTATAATTGTAGATCAGAAGTAGCCCGTTTAGAAAAACAAACTGCTAATGAACGCGAGAAGTATCAGCGCAATACTCGATCGTTACATGGAGGACTATCTGCACCACCGTTATTGGATATACAGTATGAGGTAAACTGACAATCGTTTTACCCTAGATTGTAATTTTACTACCTAACTACAACCAGTTGTACTACTTACATATTATCTGTGCTACTACTAATTGTATACCTACCTACCATTCAATTACAGCTTCAAGGAGCCACTCGTGATGGCTGGCAAGAAGTGAACATCACATCTGCTGTTCCTCTGGATATGTTGTTTATTTATTGTAACCTGGAACTAGATCTATTAACGGATAATGCAGCTGTACTGAGCGTATGCTCATCTCAAGTGGGTACAAACCATACATATCTTATTTGATTTATTTGTATGAATATCGATGTAAAATCAAAAGTTTCTTTAGAAGTCATGCATGTTGCACAATAATATCTGCTAGTTAAGTTACTTGATAAGAAAGTCCTCTAAATCCTTAATACCTACTATAGTTACATACGCCTGCTGAAATGATTATCGACATAGGGAATGCCTTTATGATAATGTCTTTTATTTATTACTGAGTCTGAAGAAACCTTTGTTAAAAATTGTATGTTTTTAATTTCGATACCAATTCAATTTATTTATTAGTATTTGTTATTTTTTATTATCAGAGCAGCGTTAAGGACCTTTTAGCAACAGTGCGATGTCAGGCTGGTACTAGAAGTGTTTGGGTGCGTATGCGCTATACACCCCAGACAAACAATCCAGTATCCAGGGCGGAATCTGTACAAGTACTCATATATGCTTTACCAGCGGCTGCTCCTAGAGTAGCTCGCCTTATTACACTGCGGTTACCGGTTTTGCCTTACTACTCTCTTCACGAGAATATGGATTCGGAAAACGAAGAAAGGTTAAAAATATATTATAATTATTAACATCAACATTATATAAATATATTATGTTAAATAAATTATATTTTTTTATGTATAATAATAGGAATGATGAACAATGTGATGGCATATGTTTATAGATGGCAATCTGTACAACCATAGGTACATAATAAAAGTAAAGTACATTAGACATTTTAGCGATTTATGGATTACTGTGAAGTAAAATTATTTTTTATTGACTGTCTTCATTTTTAGACTAATACCTACATCTTCTCCTGTAGTAGGTGCCTACAGTAAACTTTCATCCCTTATTTTACTTCCATCATTACATTTCAAATTATATAAAAATGAAAAAGGTAGATTTTATTCTTTCAAATATTTTTAGTAGGTACGTAATCCCAAGTATGTAGGTACTTGCCAGTTTTGGAACTAATCTTAAAAAACAATGTCTTTGAGCCTTCTTAAGAGTATATTTCTCAAACATTCTTCTAATTATTCACTTAAAAGGATGTTTGAAATCCGCTTACATAGGCCTGCCAATTTGGCACCGGTTTTTATCAAACTACTGTACTACTGTTTTACTCAATCAAAAGGGGTCACAACTTTTTTTTGCGTAATCGTATCTATTGTGTTACAAATAATTACATATATTACAGATCCTGGTGCCAAGTACACGTTACTGGTAGTTTCTCAGTGGCAGAAATAACATCCTGGTTAGCTGACGCTTTGCCTGGTGATTTACCTCGACCTTCGGCAAACGTAGCTTTCGCACGCTCACATACACTTCTTCGAACCGTACTTATATGTAGATATCAGTAAGTGGTACCTACACCTGTATGTTACTCATATTTTCTATTTCATACAACATTTTGTCTCCAATAAATACTCTGATGAAACTGTAGGTATCTCCACTTATCATTCACTTCACAACTTTCCTCTGATTTTTCAGGCGAGGAATGGCCATATTCATATCGGACAACGTTACAACAATAGCCATTATCAAAGATATTATATCGAACTGTTCGGTAAAGAAAAATATTCGTATAGAAATTTCGTGTGGTTAGTATTTATTTTACTTAAATATTATTCACAGATACATATATTATCTGTTATCGAGAATATAGGTATATCTAATCGATATCTCATTTATATTTTCAGACATTCCAGATAATTGTTGTGTGCAATCATTTCATGGAATAAAGGATCAGTTTATATCTGAATATCAAACATATAAGGATAACAAATTAAAGAATGCTATTGGGTATTTATAGACGCATATGTGAAATAATTGTAAGTTATAATTAATGTATAATATTAAATATTGTTAATACTAAAATTTACAGCGCGCTAGATTTAGATGACAAAATAGGGAGTGATGATGCAGCTATAGTGTGCAACGATTACCAACGCGTTTTAAATATTCCCGAAGCTGTTTTGGCAAACACACATTTTGAAGAGCTTGTAGGTAAGTATGTTTGAAATAAAAATAATAAGTTACAAGATTATTATATATACTAATAAATAAAAAGGTAACTAACATATCACACGGAGCCGGCTAGTCCCAAAATGAGCAAATCTTAAGTATTGATAATAAATAAATATAAACCTAACTAATAGAGTCAGAAATCATAAAATCAAATGTTTGCATTGTACGGAAATCAAACATACGTTTCGTCGGAAGCTGAAGCAGTGTTAAAAGGCTACCCATCTGAATCTTCTGTTATTTAGTTATTCTAAGCAAAAGCAAAACAATACCTAACCACCGTTATTGTCAACAGTTGATGTTGGGGTTAGCGCAATACTTGACATGCCCACAAATGTGGGCCACATTTCGCTTACTATATTTTTAATTCAAAACGGCAAGGTGCGAACCAACCGCTCGCCATCTCTCGGATACTTAGATATATGGGTGTTGCCTGAGATTATTCCCTATTTTTAGTCAATAAGAAATATAAATTGTTTTTTTTTGTGGGATATAAAGCCTCATAATGTAATTCAAATTAGTAAACAATGAATGTAGTGGCCTGCAACACTCTCAACATTTAATTTTGATATTCTTTTGGAGATAATAAATCGACATAGTATATTACTTGTAATGGAACCACATTACCATCAACATACTATCTCAGGTAGATTTCAACATGATACCTTCAGGAATATATTGTGGTTGACTTCTACTGAATTTACAATGTTCAAGTAAATAATCTAGCCCTATAATATAAATGATATAAAACAAAATGTGAGGATTAGTAAACTAGGCAATACTATGTACTAGGCTTTATTTCCTAATTTATTTCAGATACTATAGAAAATTGGTATATAGACTTCCAAACACTTAAATTGCGAAATGGTGACTGTACTACTGAAGGGATAAAATTACACAAGGCTCTGTATGATTGTGAATTGGAACAGGTATTATTAATGCTCGCTAATAAAAACGCACATCCACATGACAACTGAGTTACTTACAAACTTGTTCCTGAAATATAGAATAATTTATACCTATAATAAATGTTTATTATTTAAATAGCAATTTGTTTATCCTGACTTAATAAGATTGAAAGTGAGAATGTTTTCTCCGAAACAAATCAACACCTAGCAAATCATAATAGAATAACAACTAGGGAGTATTAACAATTGACTAGCACTTATCTCAGACAATCATAATGCAGAGATTCTGAGCAGAAGCAATTTTAATATAGGTATAAAGGATTTCCTCTATATAAAAAATAGTATTAAAATCAATATAGTACTAGCTTATATATATTTAATAAGCTAGTATTACATTGATTTATTTTTTATTAGGTATAATATGTGTTTTATTCAATGTCATTGATTCTAATCTACTGTAAAACATTATACTCAAAATAAAAAAAAACGGAATTTAATTCTTCATACTTCTATAATATCTACAAAGTAGTCTATTTACATTAGAGGTTGTGGTGACAGTATTACAAATATTTTAATATATATTTTATTTTTGGAAGGGATAGTAGTCCAAACCAGAATTATATTTAAATTTGTAAGTAAAGCGATTCACTTGACTTTTTCCAATTTCAATCATCTGCTGAACTTCTTCACGATAAGCAGGCGGCAATAACTCATCTTCTAAGGTACATGAATGGTTAGATTCATCTTGCATTCTAAATACACGTTGTCTAATAATATCCACGTCTCTACTATATTCTTCTTTTAAATCAGTAACTGATAGTGCTGGAGTATCCACTTTAAAAACAATATAATTTGCTTCCCGATGTACTAACCCGTGAGCACTAGTTTTATATGGCATCGTTCTAAATCCTAGATTTTCAATGTTTCTTATAATACCACCACGGTCGAATATAGCGTGTGATATACGTTTTAATGTTGTTTTGAGTTCAGATTTAGGCATTGCACGTAACATTAGGGCAAATTCGTAATAAGGCATTTTAATACTTTTAATGTAATGAACTCAAATAATCGCAAAATTTTGCTGCGTAAAGAACTTAATTATGTGATGATCAAATTAAATTACATAATATAGAAAACCACTTATTTTATTATTTCTATTTCTCCACATTTACTTCTATTTTGTGGTTATAACATTTGCTATCCAATATACTACGACTTTTTCCAATGAAAATAAATAAAGTTATAGACAATAAGCTGCTTATACTAAAAATTATGTTTTAATTTATTACGTATTGGCAGACAAGATATCAGCCCATATATTTTTTTGCGACCATAGACTATGGATAAAAGTGCAATGTGGCTAGATATAATTTAGTTAAATCATATTAATTTTTGAAGTACATATCTAAGGTGCTATTTAAAGAAATACTTAAATTATTGTGTATGAATTTATAGACGTTATCGTACAATGAATGGTTACGGTTTGAAGTTTAATATTATTCTTATTATTTATGAAGATGTTACTACTCTTATACTTTTCATCTATACACTATTTCGGCTATAGTCTTCTTCTTCTTTCGTTTATATGGCTATAGTAACTAGCTAAATGCAAGGTTGGCAACCTAATTAAATATGCATTATCCAAATCCGTAAAAAAATAAAAAAAGCTTTCCGTCATGGCTGCGGCTTGCTATGCTGCTTTTTTATTAAAGTGTGTATTATTATAAATGCTTTATGAAAATAAATGTCTACTTAATCTCTGAAACCAACATAATGACTTCTTTTGCTAAATTTGTATCTGATTACTGTAAAACGTGGGATAAGACAGGAAAAGAGCAATTGTAAGTAGTAAAAAAAATCATATTTCATGCGCATCTAATTTTTCCTACATTATTTCCCGTTTAAATGTTTTTTTTACTTGTCAATACTGCTAATCATTTAAATATATTATATAATATTATTAATTTATAAAGAAATTTTGTGTTAAGTTGTTAAAACGAAATTAGTTTACAATTAAGTAATATCATCGTTTCATAATGAAAAGATGATGGTACAGTGTTCAGTGTACAGTTCGGTTTCACAGTGAATTTCACTGTGAAACCGAAAAAAATGTGATATTTTATTATCATTTTACGAACTATTGAATCTACTACCTTGGATTTTTATTCAGTGACCTTTCTTTTACCTTATTATAAATTTAAAAAAATATATGTAATCAGTGTTAAGATGATACTTGGAAAGAGATTGTCAAAACAGTTTTATTTTATAAAACATATGTTTAAGGTTGAGTTAATATCCATAGAGATTGCTAAGGTACAGGCATTTTAGGTGTATAAGCATATTTCAATGAGTTGCCTTGTTTATTTATGTATCTTTAGTGAAGTAGTAAACACTATAGCAGGTATCAATATTGATGGCATGTAGCAATATTTTGGGCATACATCAAAATGGTTTGCATTTTTAATAAAAAATAACATTTCCTATGTATTTCTGGTTTTTGTATTTTGTCAATAATCATTAAATCAGACACATTTTACCTTTGCCGTATGGATTCTAATAATGTTCCAATAGTGACACTAGTGAACTTAATCTTTGTATATCAACTGATTGTAATAAAAAGTATTTGCAAACAAAAAATGCATAAAAAGGGTTGTAGCAATGTATTATATTACAATAGTATACTTTCTAATCTAAGAAAATCCTAATCACCTCGATGTTTAACATATATTTTACTTACAGTAATGTAATTTTCATTCATTTAATTTATTTTAATATATTACGGCATGTTAAAGTTGTAATATAAATAAATTGGTAAGCATGTGATGAAAATATTACTTTGGAATACTCACTTTTTGGTTCAGACTAGCATTTGACAACTGATTTGATTTCTTTTCTGGCTTTTAGTCTTTAAAAAGTAAAGTAAGTATATATTTATTACATTACTCCTCATACTTATATTAATTCTGAAATTACAGTATGAAAAATGTTAATCAGTCTATCAAGGATGAAGAAAAAAGCCCACTTTTTACAAAATCAGGAAAATTGTCGGGATTCTCTCAGAATATTTATGATTTGCTTCTATGTGGTCTTCGAGGAACTCTAAAGAAAGATGTTGTTCTTACAACATTAAAAGAAATTACTGTAAGTTCTCTACCTACTATAATACTTTCTCACTTTTTTTAGTCATATATTAGACATTCTACATTTGAATGGCAGACAAGCTAATGGTCCATAAGTTTTCTTTTTTTTTCCATATTAGATATCTTGCAATCAGTCATATAGACTATAAGCAGATGTGGTGTTCCATATGTAAAAGGTAGAGTGTCGCTCTCAGTAGAACAGCTCCTCGCTCTTAAACAGTCAGTCCTGTCTAACTATCTTGGTCAAATATATCACACCTTTTCTTTAATCGACACAAGTTTTCAGGTATTGTAAATTGCCCAGCGAATTTATTTGGGTGCCTGTGTAGTAGTGATTTGTATTTGTTGCTGTATTCATTAATTACATCCTTAACCATGGGAATATCAAGTATTTTGTGGATCTCAGTTGTTTTTATAAACCATGGTGCATCCGAAAGTTTTCTCAATATATAGTTTTGAAATCATTGTATTGTCATTATGTTGGAGTCACTGGCAGAGCCCTATAGTTGTATCCCATATGTCCAGATTGGCTTAAACATTGCCTTGTAAATGAGAAGTTTGCTATTGATAGCCAATTTTGAATTTCTACCCAGCATCTAGTAGAGACTTCTATATTTATTATTTATTTCTTCCCTTTTCATTTGGACATGATTTTTCCAAGTAAGTCTGCGATCTAAATGCATTCCTAGATACTTAACTGTATCTTGATGTGGAAGTTGAGTACCATTTAGGGTAACTGGTGCACAATCGCCTTTCCTAAGGGTAAATGTTACATGGACTGATTTAGTCACATCGGCAGGAATTTTCCACTTAGTTAGCCATTTTTCTACTTCATTTAGATTTTTTTGTAAGATGTTGGAAGCTTTAATTGGACATTCCCTCGAAGCAAGTAAGGCCATATCATCAGCAAATGTTGCTGTTGTAATTTCAGTACTCCTTTGTGCCAAACTTTATCAAAGGCCTGTTGGACGTCAATGAACACAGATGAACAATATTCTTAGCATTTTCTAATTTTGCGGCATAGTCTATGAACTTGTTCAACAGTGGCATGTTCTTTTCGAAATCCGAATTGATGATCAGGGATAACAGATTTTTCTTTGAGAACATTTGTTAGTCTGTGTAGAAGGGTCAGTTCAAACAGCTTAGACATGACAGGCAGTAAACTAATTGGTCTATAAGAAGCAACCTCATGAGCCGGTTTACCAGGTTTGTGTATCATTATGATTTGAGATACTTTCCACAAGTCTGGATAATGTCCAACTCTTAAAATTGCATTATACAACATGGTGAGATACACTATGGCTCTGGAAGGCATCTCTTCAAGAACCTTTTTGTCAATGAGGTCAAACCCTGGTGCCTTGTTGTTTTCCATGGTTTTTATGTTTCCATAAATCTCTCTGGGTGTCACTAGTTTTAGAGGAAGGTCTAGCTGAAGATCCTGTTCAAGAATTGAGTCCATTTCAGATTCGTCTACATTCGGAGCAGCATTATTGGGCATGAAGACTCTACTAAGATGATCTGCAAAAGCTTCAGCTTTACACTGTCCTGTTTTGGCCGACTTTCCGTCGTGATTCCTAAGAGGTGGCTTGTGATATAATGGTAGATTAAAGTTTTTACTTGCTTTCCATAGTGAGTAATCAGAGGCCTTTTGTGGCAGTCAGTCCTTCTAAATAGGTCTCTATTGCGGCAGTATTAGCCTCAGAAATCAGGGCTTTTAGTTCTTTGGTTGCTTTATTGAACAGTTTTTTGTCACTAGGGTGTCTACTAGTATGCCACACACGCCGAAGTCTCCACTTTTCTAGTATTTTAAAACGTATACTTGCAGAGTATACTTTGCGTTGTGGACGTTCAGTAGATTCAGGAGTACACATCCAACAACTTTCTTGAATTATTGTAGTTATGAATTTAGTTGCATCATCAATGTCAGATTCAGTTTTAAGAGCAATTTTTAGATCAAGTTTTTGGTTTACAAGTTCACGAAAAGAGTTCCAGTCTGTTCTTTTATTATACAATTTTGCTTTTATATCTGTATTAAGAACAGTATTTCCTACTGTCAATATTACTGGGACATGATTAGAATGAGCATCCAAGCATGTCTTTATTTGGTAGAAATCTATGACATCCGGTAATCCATTGGGATCTGCGGGCCAATTGGTAGGCTCCGCAGTAGAAATTGTGACAATATTATTCCTGTCTAGGCTCTTCTTAAGCTACCTCTCGTATTAGTTAATCTAGATGCCCAATGAACATGCTTTGCATTCCAGTCTCCACCAACTATAAATCGCGGCCCAAAGGTATCAAATAGGTCATCATATTGCTCGTTTGTTATTTTATGTTTAGGAGGAGAATAAATCGCAGATACATTGAATGTTCCGTTTCGATCTTCAACCGCAATAGAGGCTGGTTGTATGTGGGCTTTTTTAAATTGCGGAAGTTCGCAGTGATGTATGCCACTTCTCACAATAATGGCAGCCCCAGCATGTCCTGTACCGTCAGGGTGATTGGTAGCATATATGTTGTATTTCAGTATTCTAATACTACTGTTTGCTCTAAAATGAGTTTCGGATACTAATAATATGTCTATGTTGTGAGTATATAGTAGAGCTTCAACTTCTTTATTTGGAGATAGCCCGTCTAGGTTCCAAGTCGCTATTTTAAGGGAAGTTATTTTGTAATTTCACACACTAGCGTTGTTATGAGGTTGATTAAAGTACTCATCTGTTGTAATATTAGATCAAATTTTTCTGCTTGTTTTAAAAGCATTTCTTCCACTGTTTTATTTGGTGGTATTGTTGAAGTTACGTAATCTACATCTTTAGTGTTTTTGCTGAGTCTCAATACATCTGAATATTTCATGTGTTTATTAACATCTGGATTTGGGCTTGCTCTTACATCAAAGTGCTGTGGTGGAGGTTGAATGTTTATATTGAGTCCTGTATTAGCATTTTCTCTAGCCTTTATGTGCGACTGGTTATTAGTTTTTCTTTTTAGTATTTCTTTGTATACCTCACAGCCTTTGAAATTGGCTGGATGGGCACCGAGACAAAGAGCACATTTTGCAGGACTGTTACGGTCGGTCTTTGGACATTTAGCCGTTTTATGGGATTGAACACATTTTACACAGCGAAATGACTTCATGCAATAGTTTTTAGAATGACCATATTGCTGGCATCTTTTGCATTGTACTATTATATTCCGTTTCCGTGGGTCTTCTATAGTCACTGACTGATGGTATTTAATATTTTTTACCAATTTATTATTGGGATCCTGTAAAAGGTTAGCAAAAAATGTGGAAGTAGGTTTCTTTTCAGGTCTATACTTAGCATTTATTATTTCCCCTACCACTTTGTTCCCCGTCTCTTCTAGTGCTTCTTTAATTACGTTAATTGGTGTTGTGTGATGAAGATTTTTAATCACAATTCTATAAGACCGTTTGTTTTTTCTATTGAATGTATGTTCAATAAGACCTCTTTCCCTTACAACATCAATTACATTCTTGTATGTTTCCACAATAGTACAATTAATCCTTAATTGGTTTTGATTTCCAATTTTAAATGTGAAATCTGCTTTATTCACAACACTTTCTAGGAGTTCTGTAAGCTTATTGACGTCATCAATACCATACAGGATAATTGGTGATGGTTTATTGACCTTGACCGTTTTATTGTGTTCTGTGGGGATATCTTCATTTTCATTAATAGAAAGCCCACTGAATGTGTTAGTTACCGTTATTCTCTCGGGAGATGGTGAGGAAATTTTTTTTCTTTTAGCATTTCTTAAAGTTGGTACTCGCTGCCATGTGGGAGGATTCATATTCATGATAGCTGGATTACTAGAATCTCGATTACATGTTTGGTTTTGGGTGTTTACTTCAGTTATACGACTTGTTGAAGCACTTCTTGGCCTTGATAAGAACATGCTAGGATGAAAAGTTTGCTGAATTAGCTTCTTATTACTATCTTCAAGAACAGTAACATTCACCGTTAGGTGGGCCTGGGTATCCATCCCCCCGCGGTCTTTGGTAATCAATTTCTCACTCACAGGCCCGGATATCTGTGAGCGCCGGGGGCTAGCCGGATTGCATGGCAAAACATTCTCATTATTGTCACTCATTACATACAATTTGGGAAAATAGTGTAGTGCTTTCCCAAGGCACAACACAACAGAATTTCGGGATAATGCCCTAGCCTTTGATGATCCAACATCTCCTACAAGGAAGTAGGTGCTATTTAATTTCGGACTTAGCATCTCCTAGACTAATTGCCACTCCAAGGCTAACGAGGTTAAGTCTCCCCGGGTCCGAGCTTTGATTCAAGTGGCGGCTCATAATCGCCACTGTCATCCTCTATCATCGGGTTTAGTGCCATTTTAGGGAAAGAACTCAGCCGTGAGTCTCCCAACACCCCTCAGGAAGGATCGCCCAATTGTCCGCGACTGCCTAAGCATCTAACCTCTATATCTAGAGACCGTTCCGCTATCCGCAACCTGCGACGCGGTAGGTGGCACAGGGCAATGCCTCTGGGAATGTTACCCAGAACCTACAACGGTCCATAAGTAGTAAACATCACATATGTATCTGAATGGTGCCACAGAGATCACATTGTTATGAAATGTCTGTAACACTACTTAAGTATTGCCATTCCAGAAGACTGACAGTGAAATACAAGTAAAAGGTATTACGCCTTGTACTTGTATTTCACTGTCTAATAACACCCTACCACTGTAACACAGCTTACCAAGTTGTGTTTATAACTGTGCTTACAAAGTAGGCGTGGACAATCGCTTCTTGGCAATAAGATGTTTCTTATTCATAATTATTTAAAATATTATATATATTTAACATGCCTTATGGTATACTCATTATTTTTTATTTTCAGATGCTCCATGCAGATATACCATCTATTATATTAGATGTAATTTGTGTATTTGATGCAGAAACTTGCATAGACATGCAAAGTGATGAGCGCACAAATTACTGCTATATTGTAAGGGAATTAGAAACATTTATGTCTGATAAACTTTTAAAAGAAAGACTTGAAATTGACACTCTTCAAGATGTTGGTACTTTGAAGAATAAAAACTTTTATACCAAATTTATTAAAATTAAGACTAAGCTGTAGTAAGTTTCATTTTATATATTAATATATATGTGGACTGTTACAATTTTATTTTGTCCTCTTACTAAATATTTACAACCTTTTGTTCTTTTAGTTACAAACAGCGTAAGTTTAATTTATTCCGTGAAGAAAGTGAAGGTTATGCTAAATTAATTGTTGAATTAAATCAAGAAATAAGTGAAGATACAGAATGGAAAACATTGTTAGAAATTATTCAATCATTGATAGGTAAGTATTACATTATTTACAGCTGATATTTATTATTTATTAATAACAATACAACTGGAATTGGATGGCTTTGTGAAGTGGAGACACAGTATCAGACAGTGGAAAACATGGGGTATTTGAACAATGGATAAATTTAAGCTTTGATGATTGTGTTGTAATATTTATAATAATATTTCAACTTTGAAGCTGTCAGCATCATTATCTGAAATTCTCCATAAAGGATCTTCATTGAGATGCAATATTATACATTATTTAAATTATTAACCGGGTCTTAACACGAATAATTTTATGGCAAATAAAGGTATTTACCTCTCTCGACGTTTCGACTAGGTTGCACTAGCCGTGGTCACGAGCTGACTGGAGTAACAGCGATGTCAATGTAGATAGGTGACAGCAGTTTTTTCTTCATCTACCGTCACTAGATTGTTTAACGAAAGTTCGCAACACACAGCACTCACGGTATCCGTACACTTATTGACTATTGATGCTACTGAACTTTGCTTGAATTTATTTATGACTGGATTCCACGCAGATGATAATTTTAAGCCATCCTCTCTGTTGAAATTGGGATGTTTTTTAATTTCAAAGTTCAGTAGCATCAATAGTCTATAAGTGTACGGATACCGTGAGTGCTGTGTGTCGCGAACTTTCGTTAAACAATCTAGTGACGGTAGATGAAGAAAAAACTGCTGTCACCTATCTACATTGACATCGCTGTTACTCCAGTCAGCTCGTGACCACGGCTAGTGCAACCTAGTCGAAACGTCGAGAGAGGTAAATACCTTTATTTGCCATAAAATTATTCGTGTTAAGACCCGGTTAATAATTTAAATAATGTATATTAAACACGAAAGTTTAAAATTAACTAATGCAATATTATAACCTCTAGTCTATATAAACAGAACCATGTCAGAATAATGTACATATCAATATTTACATATGCCTCGATTTTTTGCAGGTTGTTTCAATTTAGACCCAAACAGGGTTTTAGATATAATTTTGGAGTCTTTTGAAGCACGTCCACATTTGGATGACTTGTTTATCCCATTGATCAAAATTTATATGGGTGACCCTCAAGTGATTTCAGAAGTGTTAGGTTTCAAATTAGGAAACATGGAAGTACATGATAATTTGAAGGAACCACCACCATTAATGTCCGTGATAGCTTTGCTTTTACAGCATCAGGTTATATCTTTAGATGATATATATCCTTGGGTATGTATGTTACATTTATTATATTATTGAAATTTATTTAAAGTTTTTATTATATCCTTATATGTAGTAGCAAGGTAGGCATAAATTCACCTCATATTATTTTTTTACTCCTTGGGATTGTATATGTAATGTAATGTAATATAAATATAAAATTCTCGTGTCACAATGTTAGTTAACATACTCCTCCCAAACACCTATGATTGATTTTTATGAAATTTTATATGCATATTCAGTAGGTCTGATAATCGGCTACTATCTATTTTTCATACCCCTAAGTGAAAAGGGTTCCACCCCTAACATTATTTTTTATTTCTTGGGCAAAATTTTTATTTAATTTTTTTTATTGTGTCATTAAAAAATACATACAAACCTAAATTTTCACCCTTCTATCACCAACCCCTATTTTTTTATAGTGTTATTAATTTATATGGCAAAACAACTAATTAATATAAATGTAATATAAATAAATAAATGTAATATAAATAAATAAATGTAATATAAATAAATGTCTTTTTAATATAAGGCAAAAAAGAAGACAATGATTTTGCCTTATATGTATGTACATAAATGACTGTTTATATATTTTTATTGGACAGGTTTAAATGAATTATTTTAGAGTTAAATAATGTAATTATTTTAGAGTGATGTGTATCTAACCATTAGTTAGAAACTAAGTTATATTATGGTATTTAACTGTTCCAAATAGGAAATATTATGCCTGAATTGTATAATAGTCAATCTGATATTTATGAACCATTAATTTAAAAAAGCTGCTTTATATTCATGCCCAATGAATACATGGATTTACTTCTCAAAGTCAATTCTAGATTCAGAGGTTTAGGGATTATGAATATTAGTCAAGAATATTGATAACACTAATCAGGATGTCCATTGGTATTAAAAGTGTTTATCAGTAGTGTTTCACTCAAAACAATTATTTAATAATGTTGTTGAATATTTTATTAATTTAAGTACTTAATTTGTTATACATATGTAATGTTTGTATCAATTATATTTTTTTAGCTACGTCCTGATGATACTATTATGGCTAAAGAAGCAGATAAGGAAATAAAATCTGTACAAGATTATATACGTAAATTGAGCATTGTTTCCACAAAAGGACCTCAAGCTAATGGGCCCACGGAATTTATTGAAGAAAAGGCTGACCCACAGGTAATTAATAATATAATTCATCCCTAATTGTCAGTGACCCATGATTCCTATGAAATAGCAAGGATGAGTCACATAGAGACTCAAAGTACTATCAACAATAGCGACGAATGATCCACAGATTTGCTAAACCGCTAGATCCCGAGGCTGTAAATTTTCATATTCGCATTCAACTTAGTGCTTACTTTTAGTAGCGAAATTAATTTTTTCTTTACATAGTGTAAAACAAAGTCGCCGCTACTGTCTGTTCCTTTATATCTTTTAAATTACGACACGGATTTTCAGCAATATTCCAAAAACTGCATTAAAATCCCATTATGAGTGATACAAGAGGAAAGTTTGTATATACAATACAAGTGTGTTATTGTATAGAACAAGCCGAGAAATTTAAAGATATGTAATGCATCCGTGAGTATAGATTAAGTAGTTATGTTTTGGTAATTTCTTTTTAAGGAATATTGGAGCAATCAAAAGCTAGTGCTTGGAGAGTCATTACTAAAAGTGACAGCATGGCGTGAGTTTGCCGCGTTGTCTGCGCGGCTGCCCACTAGCAGTATGCCGGCCCGACCAGCAATAGCCCTATGCAATATGTTACACGCTCTTATAGAACCCTTGTACAGAATGTAAGTAAAATCGAAGATTTATTGTCTGAAGCATCAAATTGTTTGTGACAACAATTTTTATAGCAATACCCTATAAGTAATATATTTTTATAGTAATTTATTACAAGCAGTAACCTATTTTAACTAATTTTACAGTAATATTTTCTGACCTGATTACATTCTTCTGACTAACCTAATAGAAAATGTTTGTAAAAATATCAAATTAATCTAATAATAGATAGCGGTAGAGCAGCCTAAACCATGTTTCATTAACGTGCAAAACAGTGGCATTTCAAGTGTTATAATCATCAGAATGTCGGTAACAGTATATGACTATATCATATTGGTTTACAGTAGTGGAACTATTATTCATAATTAATTAAATTTGTATAAAATATATTTTCTTGAAACTGAAATGACAAGCTGACGGCGTTAATATGGAAAGAAAATTTGTAAGAAATTTAAAAATATTTTTATTAAAAATATATATATACGTAGGTTTTGTTGATGCCGATTGTTAAATATGAAATAGTAAAAAAGACGAGGTAGACGAGCTGCTAGTCGTATCTTTGCTTTTTTTAAGATAAAATAAAAGACTATATCTAACTGACCTCTTCTGATACAATTAGACTTCGCGTGAATATGTCAAGTCTCATTATTATATGTTCAGTTTATATAACAGGCAACATACAGCCTTAAAAAAATACAATATTAGTAAGATTTACATTTAAAATATATTTACAGACATTGTCGAGTTGCTCCAAAAATATTGGGTAAGCCTGTCCCGCCATTAAAGTCAAATTTAGCGCCACCTGTTTGTAAAACATTTGAAGATATGAAAGAGACTGTTATTCCTGCATTAATATTACTCGGACCTTCACTACATCATGATCCTATACTTATGTACAAGGTAAGTATTACTATAATTGTGGAAACTGGCCGCACCATTATATGCTATAGTAGATGGCATAGTTCAAATCAATAAATAAATTTACACATATTTTAACCCTTTATTGTTAGTATTTTTCTAAGATTTCTTTAGTGAATATATTCTATGAAAATATTTACATGTGTTTTTGTTTTGATGCAAATGTACATTTTAATATATGTAAAGATAATACTGTCTATGATATTTAGACAGACAGTTTAGTTGTAGACAGAAACTAAACCTCAAAGTGAAAAATTAAAAATATTATATATAACAATATGTGTAATTTTTTTAGTACATTTAATAATCATATGGTCTTGCAATTTGTGTAAAGTTTTTAAGATAATTTTTTATATCTATTTTCCTTTTTTGGGAAAGTTGTTCCATTACCTATATGTATCCATCACGGACTTTTATTTTATATACCCTTTATTATTGACACAACTGTGCCGGCATACATTATACATGTTATATATCTTACAGATAATTCGTATATTGAGAACAGCGCGTTCAAAATCTGATGATCCTTTACACTATGAAGCACTTACTGTACTTGATGCTGCAATATTGCCATCACTCACACTTATGGAAGGAAATTGTTGCATGGCAGAAGAGGTTTACACTCTTCTCAAATTGTATCCATATCAATGCAGGTGAACAAACAAGATTAAATATTTCAATCAAATCAAATCAATCTATAAAAAAAATATATTCTGACTATCAGTTTCGTTAAGAAATCATCAAAAATCCTTTACAAACACGGACATCAATTGTGTGATCCTATTTTATTGTTTGCCTATTGGATCTTGGAGAAAAACACACATGAATATTTGTTGTATCTGACTATTTTCCTTCATGTTCATATATATATATGTATGTATGTCTTCATTTAAAATATGAACCCGCTCGAATTATTTGTTTAGAATCCTAAATGTTCCATAAACCCGATCTCCACTTGTGTGTGTATATTAAAATTAGTTATCATTACTGATTTTAAAATATGTACATATGTGAATATTTTTTAAGATACTGCTTATACTCAAGATGGAAAAATGAGGCGGGCGAACGATTTCCATCATTGATGCGCGTGCGAGGCAATTCTTTGCAAAGAATTAAACACATCATGAAACGAGTGTCCAAGGAAAACATCAAGCCTCAAGGTCGCCTCATTGGGAAATTATCTCACGCTGCGCCAGCTTTTCTCTTCGATTATATGCTTTTACAGGTATAAATAGCGTTCGACAATATAAAGCATGCCTACATATTTGCTGCAGTATTTCTGCTGCCAAGTAGCTTACTTTTTATGCTAGTATAAGAGATATCTTACTCCGCTGAAATGGCAATGCATGAGTGGTATCGCTTTTGTTCATTTTTATAAATAAGACTGTTACAGTTTACCTTCACGTAGCTGAATAAGCTAATGATCAGCTTATTTGCCATTTATTTTTATCTGATATCTTTCAATCTTCCAATATCCTTACTTCCTTATTAATATTATAAATGCGAAAGTAACTCTGTCTGTCTGTCTCGCTTTCACGCGAAAACTACTGAACCGATTTAAATGAAATTTGGTATACAGATAGTCTAGACACTGAGAAAGGACATAGCCTACTTTTTAATGCGAAAAAAGGGTTGTAAGGGGTTGAAATTGGGGATGAAAGATTGTATAGAAGTATCGTCATTTTTGAAGCTAGAAGATTGAAACTTATTTTTGAGGCTGCTAATTAAATATAAATAAATATGACATACAAAGTTTTTAAAAATTTTACCCTTAAGGGGATTAAATAAATTAGGGGATAATTTTCTTTATGGAAATTCGTCATTTTTGATGCTTGAAGCTTGAAACTTAAAACTTATTTTTGAGGCTGTTGATTAAATATAAATAAATATGACATTCTAAGTTTGTAAAAATTTTACCATTAGGGGTGTAAAATAAAATTGGGGGTGAAAGTTTTTATGTAAATTCGTCATTTTTGAAGCTAGAAACTGATGTTTTTGGCAGTTGATTAAATATAAATAAATAGGCCATCAAAGTTTATAAAAATATTACCCTTACGGGGGTAGAATAAAGTAGGGGATGAAAGTTTTTATGTAAATTCGTTATTTTTGAAGCCAGAAGTTTGAATCTTATTTTTGAGGCTGTTGATTAAATATAAATAAATAGACCATAAAAGTTTTAAAAATGTTACCCTTAAGATGGTAAAATAATATAGGGGATGAAAGTTTTTATGTAAATTCGTCATTTTCAAGCTAGCAGCTTGAAACTTATTTTTGAGGCTGCTAATGAAATATAAATAAATATGATAACAAAGTTTTTAAAAATTATACCCTTAAGGGGGTTAAATAAATTAGGGGATAATTTTTTTATGTAAATTCGTCATTGTTGAAGATGGAAGCTTGTAACTTATTTTTGAGGCTGTTGATTAAATATAAATAAATATGACATTCTAAGTTTGTAAAAATTTTACCCTTAAGGGGTAAAATAAAATAGGGGATGGGGGCTGTTCAAGTATTACGTAAGCAGATTTATCACAATTATTTACCCCTCATCCCCCGTTGTCAGCAAGAGTAAGCAAAGCTCTTACCCCTCCCCCCATGCTTACGTAAACATTTCTCAATTAATGTATTGTTTTTTTAACAAAGACAATGTGAGGGTTGCCATTCGTGTAAAAAAGTAAATTACGACCGATGACGTAATCATCATACAGACTCCCCCACCCCCATGTCATCCAAAATAAGCAAAAAAAAGACCCCCCCCCCCTATAGTGCTTACGTAATACTTGAACGGCCCCATGAAAGTTTTTATGTAAATCGTCATTTTTGAAGATAGAAACTGATTTTTGAGGCTGTTGATTATATATAAATAAATAGGCCATTAAAGTTTATAAAAATGTTACCCTTAAGGGGGTAGAATAATATAGGGGATGAAAGTACGGTGTTTCTGAGTATTTATCAGTATAAGTCTGCCCACTTTCCATCTTAGAATTACTTTTTATGTCGCTAACACCTGCTTTAGCTTCTTTTGCCAGCCACTGGAAAATATTAAAATTTACAATATCACTTACAAACACAGTATAGATAGATAAATATAAAAAATTTAATTTTGTTCAGAATTTGGCAATAAAATTCATCAAATTTAATAATCCATTATACATATTTTACATTAAGTTTCTTTAAAACTTGTTTAGAACTATCTAAGTTACTGAATCGATTTAAATGAAATTTGGTACACAGATAGTCTAGACCCTGAGATAGGACATAGGCTACTTTTTAATGCGAAAATAGGGTTGTAAGGGGTTGAAATTGGGGATGAAAGATTGTATGGAAGAATCGTCATGTTTGAAGCTAGAAGATTGAAACTTATTTTTGAGGTTGCAAATTAAATATAAATAAATATGACATACAAAGTTTTTAAAAATTTTACCCTTAATAAATTAGGGGATAATTTTTTTATGTAAATTCGTCATTTTTGAAGCCAGAAGCTTGAAACTTATTTTTTAGGCTGTTGATTAAATATAAATAAAAAAAAAATGGGTTGTAAAGAATTTAAAGGAGAGTTAAATGTTTATATGGAAATATTGTCATTTTTGAAGCTAGAAGCTTGAAGTTTAATTTTTAGCCTATTTATTCAATATATATTTAGAAAAAGTTATAAGGGGTTGAAAGAGTAATGTATGGAAGTGTCGTCATTTTTTAAGCAAAAAGGATGAATTTTTTTCTTGTTGGCATTTATTGGGTTAGGTTAGGTCATTATATATTTTTTTCATTATTTGGTCAAGGTCACTATTTTACGCGGACGAAGTCGCGGATACAGCTAGTATAGTATATATGTATGCATATATGTAACCTAATTTACCAAATTTGTCTTTTGTGTGCCACCTACCTATTCTATGTACATAAGTCCTCTCGTCGAGATTATCTGTAAGAAATTGCTTACAGTGATAAGACCACCTTTTGTTATTAATATTCTATGTACTGTTTTTCTTATTACATTTCCTTCGTCATTCAATTCAATTCAATCTTCATTGTGTACGATGAAGTTTTTATTATTATTAATACTAAATACACAAAAAAAGTAACTGTTCTGTAAATAATGTTAAACATATAAATTTTTGTGTAACTTAAAATAAATAGACGTTTATCTGACCAACAGATCCAAACCTATGATAACTTGATCGGGCCCGTGGTGGAATCGCTGAAGTACCTGACGTCGCTGTCGCTGGACGTGCTGGGGTGCTGCCTGCTGGAGGCGCTGGTCCGTCGCGGGTCTTCGGGCGCGGCTCACCCGCCCTGGCTACAAGCACTGGCCGCATTCGCCGGCGCAGCCTTCAAGAAACACAATATCGAGCTCACCGCCCTCCTGCAGTTCGTCGCGAACCGACTCAAGGCTCAACAGAGGTACGTATTAACAACCGATTTATTAGTTTAAAAACATCCAAATGAGAATATTTAACAAAGACTTATGTCTTTGTATAATATATATCTTTAATGATGTATGTATCGTTAACTACTTCGTCTTTTTGAAATTTACAGTCAAGATTTGCTAATTCTAAAAGAAATAGTACAGAAGATGGCTGGAATTGAAGCAGCCGAAGAAATGACATCAGAACAATTGGATGCAATGGCTGGTGGAGAATTGCTTAAGGGAGAGGTAATTAATAAAAAATATATAAGGAACAATGAAGAATAAAAAATACATATTTTTTAAACATGGTTTCTTATAATTTGAAATTATTTTGATTATAGGCTGGTTATTTTTCACAAGTGCGTAACACAAGAAGATCTTCGGCTAGATTAAAGGAAGCCATAGTCGGGAACAACTTGGATATCGCTCTATGTATATTGTCTGCTCAACAGCGACATTGTTGTGTTTGGAAAGGTAACAATAATCTAGTTTCATATATTTTATATTTATACCAACTGGTATTCGGTTCATTTCTGTTCCAGTATATAAATATTCTTTGGAATATATTTCGTACCCGATCTATAAGTTAATTGTACTATGCACATAACCTTTTCACAAGTGATAGCAATGTATTTACCGCCCACATAATATATGATGAAAAATATCTATTTTTTTTTGTATACAATTAATTATTATTATCAATGTATTGTCTACGTGCATGACTAAGGATTTATTTTCGAATTATTTTTTAGAATCTGTAGAAGAAAGCAGTTCTAGCGGTGAACCACCGGGATCGCAATTAAAAGTTGTTGGCAGATTAGCTGATCAGTGCCAAGACGCTCTTGTTCAATTGGGAACATTCCTCGCATCTTCGCATGCACCAGACGAATATGCCGCCCGACTACCTTCATTGCAGGTAACACCTCGCACATATCATATGTCTTTTTCAAAATACTTCTCATTGTCAAAGACTACGCGTCTGTATTCCCACTCTATTTTAACTTACTTTGTTACTCATGAACATGTAAGTGTTGCGATTGCATTGCTTTAGCTCTTGTTTTGACCATTTATTAAAACCAACTATTGGTACCTCTATCCTGAGGAGATAAAGAGAATATTATTCAATTCTTGTCCCTGACGGGTTTAGGTAGCAAACTCTGAAAAAGGGCGAGCACAATAGATTTATGTAGATCACAAACAAAAAAAATATTGATATATTTATTTAATTTCCTCGCTATACTCACTTACATTTTATATCTTAACTTGTTCCTATGTTTAGGAATTGTTACGTGACTATCATGTAGATGCCGATGTCGCCTTTTTCCTACACCGTCCAGTACTTGCTCAAAAAATCGCGGCAAGAGTGGAAGTGTTGAGGAAAAGTTCTGATGTGAAATCTGACTCCTTAGAAAAAAGCATTGAAAGATACACTTCTGCTGCAAAAGAGACTTTGGAACCAATATTGTTATCTGTAACACCAATGCTGCCTACCAGAGTGTGGGAAGATATTTCGCCAGAGTTTTACGTCACTTTTTGGTAAGATTAAAATAATTATAAAGTAATAAAATAAACGCATGTTAATAATAAAAAAGGTTTTTATATTAAAGTATAATATTTAAAGGTCTCTTTCAATGTACGATCTGCGTGTACCGGTGGAAAGTTATGAACGCGAGATAGATCGTTTGAAGACTGCTGCGGCAAACGTCGCTAAGGATACTTCCCAAGGGACCAAAGGGAAAAAGGAGCAAGAACGTTACAATACTCTAATTGAAAAACTACAGGTATTCTATAATATATAGGTATTCTCTCGTTCTTCTTGTAATTAAGTGATGATTATTCAAAAGTCCTTCAATATAAGTTTATTTGATTAAATGATGCCACGAATTCTATTCTATTCGTGGCACCGGTGCACCTGTCATCCTCTCCAAACTGTTCCGCCACTTATGCCATTTTTAAAAATGAGATGAGCGCAGCATTAATCTCTGTCTCTTAATTACTTTCTCCACTTCTGGGGCCGTGGACACCACAATAGCAGTTGGGATTTCGGTGCCGGGCACACCATCTTGCGGATACTCCCGAATATGTTTGTGTTTTCGGAGCAACTTTGAAAAGAGCAATATGCAAGTTTCTTGCTTGTTCTTCTTAAGATGAGACAGCTCTTCGATTGAGCGATAATATAAAAAAAATGTAATGACTATTCAAAAGTGCGTCATTTAGTCTTACACAAGGCTTTAGGTAAGCACAAGCTGTTACGGGTTCTAGAGAACTGATATAAATCCTTACTTCTGTACACCACTACGGATGTGACCTGTGTTTCCTAATTAGTGATACGCGTACTCCGAGGGGTACGTGCGGCTATCAATAAAACAAACACACACACACTCACGAACTTTCACATTTATAGTTAAAAGAGTTTTTCAGATACCCCTGCCTATGGTACAGACAACCTTTGCTAAACGTTTTAGCCCATATATAGCTGTAAATTTATATAATAGAATAAGCAAGTCATGTGATATAAAAAAATGTTCTCTAGCTCAAGCCAAAATAAAAATAAAAGATTTTTTAATAAGTCTGGACTATGATCAATGTGAGAAATTGTTTCAAACCGAATTTTAATTACATAAAGCCTCAGTAGTACTTAATATGTGTATGTCTATTGTATGTATTAATATATTTTATATTTATTACTATTTATAGATATTTATTTATTATATATATACTTTGTAATATAACGCCATAAGTGTTGCATGATATTGTTAAGTTATTTCATTAAAGTCAGCCGAGCACCTAACATATCAATTATGTGTAATGATCTCCTCTGAACCACACGATCCAGACTTGCATGTCTAGTGTGTGGTTCGCCGTAATGTGTATTGAATGTAAAAGTGTTTTATTGGCCAATAAATGTTATTATTATTATTATTATAATATTAGTGTAATTGCTACAATATGGGGTACGTAAGGTTTGAGGTCTTTTTTGAAGTGGTACACAGCAAAAATTATTAGGGAACCACTGTGCTAGACCACCGAGGCCATCACGAAATGATTTTCTATTTTATACCCGCTGTACGTGTCATCGGACCTGTGGCCTAATTATTTAACTTCGTTCGCAACGATTTTCGTATGTAACGTAGTGAAAATGACGTCATCTGTCAATAATGCGATTATATTGACGCCATTTGACGCTGTCAACTAGCACTGCAACGTAAACGCAACTTTACATATCGATAAAAATTATTTCTATCGAATGTCGATTTAGTAACCTCGTTGCAATGTCACGTAATCGCTATTTTGCCGAAATGACAGCGTGGAATGGAAACGGTTTTTAGATTATGAGAAACAATTTAGAAGGTGTTTCTTTTGGTTACAATCTCTAAAATATCAGCATTAGCAGCATTGTTTATCTTGTTTTGGTAATTTCATATATTTTTATTATATTAAATATTACGTAGAAAGTCGTGTAAAGGTTTTAAATTTATTAAAATGGGAAAATTGTCACGACTCACAACACGACATCAGTGTTGCCAATTCGATATTTTATTTTTGTCCCAAATCACATTGAATAAAAAATGTTGGTCCAAATTAATAAAAAAATGTTGTATCAACTAGAGTAAACGTTTAATATAAAATTAGGGTTGTTTATGATATTAATATAATTAAAAAACTATTTCAATGAATACGGTGCTCTGTGAACGGAATACGGAACGTTTATGGTGCTCTGTGATTTGTTTAAAGTTTTTACAATTATGTACAAATTTAAAAAGATGTGCCCATGTCATTTTAAATTTATATGGATACCTATGTACTTACCTAGATATCTATAGCAGAAAAGAAAATTTAATTTGTAGGTTAGATTAATATTATTAATGATTATAAATAGTTTGTATAAAATATGCTTTTATATTCAAAATTATTAACCTTATTTTTTCATTAAAATATAATAGACTTTCTTTATTTTATTTTATTAAATGTCTATTAATAAAATTAAAATAAAAAACCAAGTGAACGCTGCAGTTTATTTTGTAATTTTTGAACGCAATAAAAATTGTTTCAAATCAACCAACTAGTGTATTAACTCAATAATTTTAAATGTATCCCGCTAAAGGTATAAGCTATCTAATGTACTCACTTTTTAAATTGGTCGGATTAACAATATTCCGCTGCAACTTCATAGTAGTGTTTTATCGATAGAAATTATTTATGCTGCCGTCAATCGATCATACGTGATCGCATTCTATAAATTGAAATGATTTTATATTGCATCACAACTTCAACAGAAACAATTTCATATCGTGTTACATAATTAGCCCACTGGTCGTCTCTAGCCTTGTAACATGAGATGAGTGCAGGAGGAGCGGCGCCGGCAGCAGGAGCACGTGTCGCGCGTGTCGGCGCGGCTGCAGCGCGAGTGCGGCGGCTGGTTCCCGGCGCGCGCCGTCAAGTCCGCCAAGAACGAGACGGTGACGCGGCTCATGCAGCTGTGCCTGTTCCCGCGCTGCGTCTTCACCGCCGCCGACGCCCTCTACTGCGCGGAGTTCGTGCACACCGTGCACTCGCTCAAGACTCCCAACTTCTCAACGCTGCTCTGCTATGATAGGGTCCGTATCGTGCTACTATATTGTGGTTATTTATTGGAAAGGTTTTGAAATATTGACGCACGGATTCGTTCTCAGAAGAAAAGTACATATTTAGCTGCTGAAGCATGATAAGCTTTTTTATATATTGAGTTCTATTGTTTTTAAAACGATTTTAGAATCTTTTGTATATGTGTACATTTAGACAAACAAATAAAATTAAAGTGTTTTGTTGTAATTTCACTAAATGTTAATGAAATTATATACAGTACCAATCAAATTAATAACTTCGGCTATTTCTATTTTATTAAGAAAAGTTGAATACCACTAATAACACGGATAACAACTGATGCCTATAATTATATGGGTACTTATATGTATATTTTATTTCTAGAATATAATATATATTCTAGAAATAAAATATACATATAAGATAGAAATTAAATAACTAAAAAATACTACAAAATACTAAAAATACTTATTAATAATGTATCAACAAAATAGTTTCTTCTATCTTTAAATACGGGTCTCAGCGCTCCCCGTGTGGGTGGTGGTACGCAATAACGTTAACATATGGTGTGGTGTTGCAGCTGTTCTGCGACATCACGTACTCGGTGATGTCATGTACGGAGGGCGAGGCGGTGCGGTACGGGCAGTTCCTGCAGCGCGTGCTGGGCACGGCCATGCGCTGGCACGCCGACCGCGCCGCCTTCCACGCAGAGTGTGCACACTACCCGGGCTTCGTTACCAAGTACCGCGTCTCCAACCAGTTCACGGAGGCCAATGATCACGTCGGATACGAGAACTACAGGTATTATTTTTGCACTTCCATCCGGCTCGATGGACCAATCCTGTTCTTTGATATGCAACTGAATTAACAAAATTATTTGTGTATTGTTTACCTACTTTTTAGTACCTATTATATTATCCCACAATAATAGTATATTACGATATAAGTGCCTTATGATGGTTATAACACACGAAACGGAATGTCGTAATACGGCCGAGTGTGTTAAAAACGCACATATGTCGTACGACGTTTTTCAACACACTTGATTTTAGAAAAATTATATTCTATTAATTACTGACTAGTCGCACGCCGCACGACGGTCAGTTCTAAATTTGATGAAAAAATTAGCAAATAGTGTGGTTCTGAAATATAACTTCGGTATTTTCGCACACGTGTTTTATAAGCTGCTTTATATATTAAAAACCAGTGAAATTAGATCCACTTAAAATATACTAATACGCTAGCATACTTATAATATAGCTGTAATACTAATATAGCAATTAAATTACGATATTTCCTTAAATTTTTGGATCTTGTTATAGGAAGTTGTACTGTCACGAGACTAAATCTGACTACCTGTTCATGTTTCAGACACCTATGTCACAAGTGGCACTACAAAATCACTAAGGCCATGGTAGTGTGCCTTGACTCAGGTGATTACGTGCAAATACGTAACGCTCTCATCGTACTTATACGAGTACTGCCCCATTTTCCAGTGCTTGAAAAATTAGCACAAATCATCGGGAGAAAAGTGGATAAGGTTGGTTAGTTCTTAAATGTTTAAATATACGTGTTACGCAAGTTAATTAACCAAATGGTTTGTCATTTTAGGTAAAGGATGAGGAAAAAACACAGCGCCAAGATTTGTATGTGTTAGCTACAGGATATAGCGGACAGTTGCGTAATAAAGTACCCAACATGATGAGAGAAAGTGATTTCCACCAGGTAAAATATATAGTACTATTTTGCCATTTAGTTATATATATATGAAACACTTGTCAAACCCGTTTTATTCTGAAATAAAATGTTATAATGCATCAATCATCATACGCTTAAAATAAATGTATACAAGGATCTTAAGAAATGAATTAGAATTATAGCCTCAAATAACTTTGTTACTCACGCTGCAGTGTCAAAAAGACTGCATTTTATGAATTACTTACTACCTGACCGGAGCAACTTCTTTTTGTCCCCGTTCTTGCAACATTTTTCATTGCAGCTCCTCTCTTATTGGTCGCTGCGTCTTAGTTAGTCTATGACACCCACAAATAACGTGACTTTATACTGGTAATATAATGTTCAAAATAGGTTTATTTGATACACATATTACTACATCCTCACAAGCTGTACATAATTATAATATTAAAAATATGATAATTCATAAGTGCTATAAACACATTAAGTTTATTTGAACAAAAAATATTTATATTTCTGTATTAGTATAGATTATATATACGACCCTAAAAGCATTATTGATTGTTTATTTATAATGCAATAGGTGAGTGATAAGCACAAAGTGGTGAACACCGCGGCGACGCCTGCGGCTACCGTTAAGGAAGAGACTAATTCCGTAAAGCAAGATCAAGAAATGACCTCTTCACCGCCACAATCTCAAGGTAACTAATAAATATATGTTTCATTAGGATGTTGTAATATAATTTATAACATAAACATAATAATTTATAAACATAATTTATATCTAAATTCAAAATAGGAGAGGTAAATATTTTTCCAAGTGAAATATAAAATGAAAGTAAAAAAATCTATTACATTAGATTTTTACTTGTATATTAGTGTTCATGTAATGTTACAAATAAATATGTAATAAATATTTTTAGATGCCGAAAAGCGGGAGTCTCGTAACAGTGATAAACGCCGAGATGAATCTGACAGAGACAAAGAAAGCAAAAGAGAATCACGATCGTAAATATTTTTTATTCACTTCCATATTATCAATTAATCATACACAGTTTTGTTAACTCAAATCATAATATACCTTGTTTTATAGGTCGATGAAAGAAAGGTCAAAAGAAGAAATGAGAAACAAAGAGAGATCGCCTAGAGAACGTTCACATAGGGTAAGTAAATGATATATTTTTAAAATCTGATTAAATTAATCCTGGACTGTTTAGATCATTTAAAAACAAATTTCGTAATGAATAAAGTGTCAAAGTTATGATCCCAAGTTGTTAAATTTGTATTTTGATACTACTGCTTAGAAGTAGAATTGCGAGAGATAGCCGTATCCACGCAGAGAACTTTGTATAAAATATCCCTACCTACAATTATAATATAAATTTCAGGAGGACCGTTATTTGGAGACTGTTTCCCCACCGCATGATCATCGTCATCCACCCGATGACATTGAACGAGGTACCGTTATTATTATAGAATTATTTCTTTCATGTCATTTTAGTTGACTTGTCTGCAAATAAAAAGTAATTTCTTAGTACTAGTGATAATTTATCTTACTTAGTGTTAAATTCTCATAAAACTTACGTACATTTTTTTGAATAGGATTTGATTCGTACTGGAACAATTGTTTTTGTACATGAAATATTATTTGCAGATGTGAAGCGTCGTAAAGTAGAAACCTCCGGAAATGGCAAGGTGAGTATCGTTGTCATAAACCGACCTTGCATCGCACTCGCGCCGGACTGAGGATTGGGCTGGAGGCGGACACCAAGTGCTACACGACTACGCTCAGCTACTACTAACTATTGTAATTACGTGTGAACAAGTGCATCGGGACTTTGCGTCAAGATTAAAATTTGTGTCTCGTTTGAAAATAGACTATGAACTGTCAAATACGTGAAAAACACTACAATACGACTAATTAATTAATACAAAATTAATTCCGTAAAACTAAGTCAACTTTCACCAGTTACAACAAATTGAAGATTAAATTAGCGAAGATGACGTCAATAATGAATACAATAACTGGCAATTATTATTACTCGGTGCGGAAAAAATTGGATGTTACATCATTGGAACTAGCCGTTGAATGTCCTTTGGATACCATTTAATAAGAAGATTAAACCCAACAGAATATAATGAAGCGAGAGAATATTTAATCATGTCAAGATATCAAGACTTAACAATTACAAATATATTTATGAAGAAACTAAATCACTTATTATAAAATTGTAAAAGGAATTCATACCGTATTGTGTGTAAGTCCATTCAGCCCAGTCCAGTCGCATACTGGTAAGGTTATTTTTTAATCACCTATTTAATGAGTCAAAAAGTCCAATAAATAAAGGTTAACTAGTGACAATGAAGCTCTATGAGACGAATACCGGCGGAATACTATATGTACTTAATTTACGTACTACATAAACTATTCTATCAAGAAGAGCCATAAGTCTGCAGCGGAAGATTTCTAATAATGAAGATGGATGTTTCATACTGAACTTAATATGGATTGTAATGGAAAAACAATAAAAACTTCCAGACCCAACACAAACATGGGACTCAGTAGACTACCTAATCAACGAAAAGAAGATATTATGAAACAATTTTGTTATTGTGCAATGTAATTATAAGCCAAACTAATACTTAAACAATGCACAAGAAGTATAAACTATATGATTTTTATTATATAAAATGTGATGTGGCAGCGAACAAGAATGATTTTAAAAAACCACAACTGTATCAACTCTAATGGATTAGAAGTAGAGGAAAAATAGAAATAGAAGAGCAGTGTCAGCAGAGAAGAACCCGACAATCTTAAAAAACTTAGGCTTGCAATACCATCAGTCCTATATTTTTTGTGATAACGGCAATTAACTGCAGATTGTTAATTTGTTGATTCCATTTTAAACTGAAATATTATATTTAAACCATGTGTAATTACATAGAAGAGTTAAACTGTCCTTATCATCATTGTATTATGATAATATTGAGTCTGCTACATACTTTCTTCTGTTCATCACTAATTTTATCCTCATGGATCAACAAGAAAATATCCTGATAGAAACCCAATTGTTGAAGAGAACTACAAAAGAAGATAGAAGTAAATTATATGGAGGAATTATAGTGATATATAATTTCAAACAATTCAACCAAGCTGGTACAAGATTGATATATGGTGAAGAGACTTATATGATAACGGCGAGAGAGAATATTTGAGTTACCTTTGTTCATTGTCCTTTTTGACTCGTACTGTTTTAAATTTATATATTAGTATTTTAATTTTCTAAATGCACACTGTTGGCTATGAAATAATATAATTGAAATATTTGGACAATGTTCTCATTGACTAAGATTAATCTGAATTTTCTGCATAAGCAGGGTAACAAAGACATAGAGGAACGGTCCCCTGAGAAGGAAAAGCGAAAAACAAAAGTCAGGGGCGATGACCGTAAAGAACGTAAGATGAATCGCAAGAGGGTAAGTTTAAAATGATTGCTTAATCGTAACGCTGTACCTACAGATTCCTGTAATTTAATTATAATACTGAAAACTAAACAATTTCATTTCTATCAAAATATAATCCTCATTCTATAGTTTCAGTAAATTACCAACATAATAAAGTTCAAACATCCAACTGGACATTTAAATTGCAGAAAAAGTATCTAATAGGCTTACTTACTAAGAACTAGACATGACTTCATTTTAATCTATTATTCAATTATATTAACATAGAGAAAACATGATAGTGGGTCTGGGTTTAAAATATTCACATATTTCTAAAAATAACCGCTGACAACACACAAGTTAACGGCACACACAAATGTCGATAAAAAGTATACATGAAATTTAATTAGTATAAAAATTTCAGGATAGAGCAGATGACACAACAATAATGGAACAAAAGCGTCGACGTGATGAACAAAAAGGTATTAATTGTTTTTCGTTTTGTTGTTATGATTAATTTGTGGTTCACCGTTTGTGTAATATATTAATATAATTATGTTTATAGCTATTATTAAGATGGGAAGTCACCAAAATGGTTCGCAAGAAGATCATCATTATGAAAAATATCATAAAAGGGTAAATATTATTTGTATAATTTTTTTAGTATAGTGTCATTCTCCGCCAATATTAGATTCCAATGAAAAAGCTCAAATAAATTTAGGATATTTAAACGTTACTTTGGAAGGCAGAATTAGGACTAACTACATACGTACTGTAGTGATCTGTGCTGTAATTTTCTATACATTAATCTGTACTGTATTACGTCACTACTTACATTTGCAATTGCGAATAATGAATGGATAATACAGATAAGTATTTTATACAGACTAACTTTAAGATTAATTATTGGTTGTACCGGTACGCGCATATACTGTTACCACTATGAGGATCTGTTTATTATATTTCCAATTTAGACCATTATTTATAAACTGAAGTAGCTATAATATATAATATCTCAGAACATTATATATTATGAACTTTAGACAAATGGTATAAATACATAGATACATTTTTTTTTATAAATGTTTACATATAATATATAGAAAACAGCTAGACTGACACTCATGAATAGAAATGTTTGTACCATGCGAGGAGTCGAACCCGCGACCATCGGAAGTAAGACGCTGTGCTAAACCTTTAGACCATAGAGACGATATTATTTGTTGTATGCATAAACTGCAATAATTTCGTCCAAATACGAGCCGTTATTCAGGCATTAATTATGGTATATTGCTCCTACAATTATGACAGCAATTGCAAACAACAGTGGTCTGACCGCAAACTGTACAATGAAACAACTACCACTTTAGAGAACATCTCTTACGTATCATTTTTATTATTACTTTTGCTCTTTTTATAGTAATATAAAAACACTGCTTTAACCTTCTTTCACAGTGTTTACAATTTATATCTTAGTAAATATCTCGTTCATATAACGTGTAATCAATAATAATAGTAGTTTCAAATTTGTTTTACAGGATAAATCACCGTTCCGAGATCGCTCTCATGAGGAACCAAGGGACAAACAATATCCTTTTCAATTGTTATATATATCGCACAATACGGGTAGTTATTCGTTTTTTCACCTAGAAATGTATTTAACGCGACCCCTTTGGCAGTTGTAATTTTGTTGATTTGCAATAATTATTAAAACACCGTCATTTTATCATGCACAGCTCGAAAATCTGATTATTAAGATTATGTTCAGATTTTCCAAATCACTTTTCAATTATATAGTGTACAAAATGTAAATAATAAATATGAATATTTCTTTTTCTTTACTACTACGATACCACTAAGCATCACGATGTGTCTAAATTACACGACAAACCTTTTTTTAGACACCTTTATTATATTTTCTAGATTTTCTGAAAGATTGGCTTTCTTGTACATTACATTTACCTTGTTGTTGCCTCTTAAAGTCGAGATTTCTGATACATAACAACCATAATCAGTTAAATGTATCGAGTAGACAGCTTTGTGCATAAAACTGTCACATGGTATTAAAATTGTTTTTAGGTTATTTCTGAGTATCTACAGCTACACATTTTCGTAACAGCCTACACTATATTAATCATATGTACAATAATATTGTACCGAAAATTTCCTTAACATTACTATACTAGACGGTCAAATGAATCAAAAATGAGAAGATAGAATCAATTTGAAGATTAGAAGCTGGATGAAGACAAGTTAATTTTAACTATCTACTAATGATATTTCATTATGCATGTGACATAAAAATGAAATTTAATAAAAAACATAAGGTCCATTTCGAAGTTTCTATTTGCTCAATCACGATTATAAATTGGACTCCATAAAAGTATAAGTTATCTTAAATGTAGTCTAACAATATAATAATAACATCACGTATATTTTTATATCACTATACTATTTTTCTATAAGTGCCATATGTTGTAACTTATTTAGGCATTTCTATTTAAAATTTCGAAATGAAAAAATAGCTAGAAAAAATATGTTAAATATGTATTCTTGTATAACATTTTAGTTATGCTATTAAAAAAAAAACAATATGTACCAAGAATTGACTTCAAGCAATGACAATAGTTCTGTATTTTCAATATATTCCTTAGTTGTAATAAGTAGGTAGAGGTGTAAATAGATACTATTAAAACTTAATACATATTACCACAATTGTACATAAATATTTTTTATTAATTACTAATAATAATAATAAAAATTTATACAGTACAGCTTTAAAAAAAATTATAAACTATTATTCCGAATAGTCGTACGAAAGGTAGAACGTACAAACTTAACATCACAGTAAATTATTCTTTTAGTATAGTCTGTTTTTTAATACCGGAGACTAAACTGAGAGGTATAAATGTCAAACTTTCAAATAATGTTACCACCTATAGCGGGGTAGTGGTGTACCTGAGATACCTATTTGTTTAATCGGAAACTTTTATTTAAACATATTAGTTTTTAAGCTTTAAATGACGTTTCCACAACAGAATTTTAAAATTTACGTACATATACTAGTGTTTCCATTACTATCGTCGTATTATATAGCATAAAACTACATGTTTGTCGTTTCCGTATAAATAGTAATTTTTAAGCGTATTAAGCTACAAACTAACATTTTTTTCCAGATAAATATTTTAAATAGGTGTTTGTTTTATGATATACATATAACACAATAAAAATGTTATTTGTTTTATAAAAAAGGCAGTTAGTCTTTATATAAGTTACAAATTAAAAAAATATTTTGATACAACAACCATGTATTTATTAATAAACACACGGTGCTGCTCGCCAGTTCTCTTACATGAAACTCGGCTTTGACACGCTACCGCGTGTACTTGACACAATACCTATACTTTATTAATTTTGTGTTAATGCGTTTTAAATAAACATCCACACATATTTGTAAATAACCTATAAAAATGAGTAATTAATACTAATTTCCGATAGTGCCCCAAACCTATTTAACAAATGCAAAAACATAGCAACATCGATAATGTCAAATTTGTCTCCGGGATTAAAAAACAGACTATAATTTTAACTGAAAGAAAAGAATATCGTTGTTGTGCGTGCACACTACTCTACCTTCAGTCACATATTTCGTTCCACGATGCGCTCTTACCGGCGGCGTCTAGAGTTCATCAAATGGTACCTAATCATATGGTACTGATGAAGTACGCTTAACATGTCTGATCATGCCCTACATCAGGTATCTTTACATTTCTGATTTCGTATTATATCAACTTCTATAACATCTGTTCATCAATATATTACCAGATTGCATTTTTCTCGCATGATTAAATGTATGCGTAAATGAGAAAAAGTTTGTCTTAATTGCACTTCAGCAATGATATTATATAAAACAGACATTAAGTACAATTTTATTTTTCTATATCCTTATTACATACTTTTTGAACAATTGTAACCAAGACAGTTTTTGAGAAATCATTAAAAACTGTTCAATAACAATGATAAAACGCTCCATTTATTATGAATGATAATACAGTGGTGCAACCGACTTCTCTAATTGTACACGCTGGCGTGGCACGAAAGGAGGATCAGGTCAGGTTACTAAACCCATCTCAATGAAATCACCAGGACTTAACCACTTTGGGTTCCAAAGGAAAACGACCCAATCATCGGGTCATCATCAAAACGGTCACTAATCCCTATTACTGACAATCCAGTACCTATCCTGTATTTCTAGATAATAAGTAGGTATGAACCGTCACCAGATAGTGTTAGTAATCTACCTACCTATCAATAATGGGAAAGGGATTGTTTCGGCTAACTGACCTGACTTTATCCTAATATTATACACCAATGGTGCACAGTGCAAAGCAAAATTGAAAAAAAATCGTAATAATTGAGAAGCTACCAAAGTTTATTAAGAATAAGAGTGTTCCTACTTCGCCAGTTGAACAATAGATAACCGACTATTTATTTTTAATTTATTATACTTACAAAACATAGTAGGTATCTAATAAATAATATTGCCATTCAGAAACTAAATTGGAAGTAAATTAAATCATACAAAAATAAGAAAGATCTAATAATTAATTCTTAAAACTTACTACCTTTACAAATTAACGATCGTACCTTAACTGACTGATTAAAATTTAAGTAGGTACTTATTTGCTCAGCTACATTGCTGAGCAAATAAGTAAGTTTTATTTCTTTTACAGATTAATAGAGCTTGGTTTCTTTTTTTTTTTCATGCTAGTGATAGTAAACCAATCTATATCCATCTAATAACGTCAGGTAGGTTAGGAATTATATTATTTTATTAATTTTCCCTATATATATTTATAAATAAAATTTCAGCCTTTCCAATCTTTATCCAATATTAATATCTAATTTACTACAATCACAAAGGTAATAAATATACGAACTACTATTACATTTAAAACAAACAAGTTCAATAAGTAGGATCGCAACACAACTGACTGACAAAGCGGACTGACAGTAATGTTCAGGAATTAATTGTATTGAAAGCAGCCAATCAACATGTAAATACCAAAGTAAGAACTTTACCATTGTTTTAAGTAGGTGCTATAACATTTAAGAAAATATTACATCGAATTTTTACACTTTTCAGTTCATGTTTAAGTCATGTAAATATACTTGTATCTGAAAATTAGAAATTCAACTTGCCTGTTGTGAATCACCGTAGAGATTGATTTCCGAACTAATCACGCATACGTAGGTATGTACCAAATTGAGATAACTACACTACAAAGAAAACATTTTTGCTTATTTTACCTTTGGAAATAAAAATTAATATAAAGAAGTAATTATAAGCATTTTCTTATTTTTTCTCTATTATATTAAACAAATTTTAGATTTGGTAGATTTTTAACTATAAGTTCGTACATGTAAATAATGCGTCGTGGCATAGAATCAACCAGCGGCCATTTTGTGTTCAAAAAGTCATCAGATGGAAAACAACAAATTTGCTCCAAAATAAACTTTAAAGGTAGGTGTACCTGTTTTTACGAAATTCATAAATAATTTATACCTTAAATAAGGCTATTAAAATAATGTTATTTGGTCTCCTTAATCAAGTAAATATGTATGCAATTTTCCGCCATTTGTGTACACGGTGGAATTTACGGCAAATGTTTGCAGTTATACATCGTGACTAGTAGGTACAAAACTGGCTAAAATTGGCGTCTAGAAAATGTTCAATTACAATATTATGGTCTATAAAACTTGCAAATGACATATAGTCTTAGAAATAGTATTGCATTATTATAGATAAGTTAACCCATACGGTGCATATAACCAATTTAAACTTATATATGTATATATACGCTTTGAGATTATAACCGACCGATACTTATATTATAATAACATGCATACTTTTATTGTATGCTTGTTAATTTCCGCAGCAGTCTCATATTAAATTTCTCTTCAAATCGCAATTTAGACCGTTATGAATTTCCTAAAAATGTATGTAGGTTTATTGCATATATGTCTATTATAAAATCCGGCACAGTTTGCTATATGCGATAGGTGTATATAATCTCATAAGTACCATTATTCTTTTACTCATTGGACAGTATAAAATAATGCAAATTTTTTATTACATTATTAATACTAAGAAATACTTATGTGAAATGTCATAAAACACAGTTTTTTGTGAATTGTATTACTTAAATGGTAATTGTAAGTTAAAATTAACATGATCTAAAAGGATATAAAAATACATATGTGCTGTATTATCGAAGAAATCGGCCATATTGAATATAGTAATCAGAAACAATAAATTCTACTTTTTAATATTTGGGTTCTGACTTGGATACCCGTCCTTCAGCCATGGGCTAATCGGAAATGTATTTTTTATACTAAATTTGTATTTAAATTTACAGTTCTTTTATTGTACATTCTTGTTTTATACTTCAAATTCTGTTATGTTATTAGTTTTACCTACTTTGCCGTGTTTACAGACCCGAGGCTGGAAACAGGATATTAGTGCACCGTGCTGGACAACAAACCACTTTTGGTAATTTATTTTTATGAATATATTTCCCGTTTTTTGCCAATATCATAAATTGATGTAATGTAAAACTGTAACGAACCTTTTGGGAATTTATGATGGGCTAGATATATATATATATATTCCAGAGCCGTAAAAAGCCTTTTCATTATAAGTACAAAAACTATTCTAAGTACCTGTCAGTCCGACTACGCGTTTTAAAATCGAACATTATGCTCGACTTTCACCTTTTTCTTGGCGAATTTTACAATAAACTGCTTCTTGCTTGAGACCGAAGTGATTTTTTCAAAATTTTCATAAAAATAAGCTATTTTGTAATTAATATAACAAAATCGTAATTTCAGTTGACACCAGACATAAGCTCATAACTATTGAGTTATTAACATTGCCGTATGATAACCACACGTTTCCATTTTTTTAGTACCGTGAGATTCCGTCATAATATTTTTAAACGTACGTTTTGTTGTTTTTAATAAACGTAGTAGTATACTGTACGTAGGTTACTATTCAACGTAAGGTTATTATTCCAGTCTGTGAGTATGAACCATTTAATCAGCTGACTAAAAAGGCATCATTATAAAGTTGTCCTTGGCTAATGTAAATTTAAAACTTGTGCCAAGCCGAAATAATAATAAAAAATTTGTTGATAATAGATTATCAAAATGTTGATGCACACAAGCTTTGTCTAGCTTAACTTGGGTACAGATGGCGGATACAGATGGCAGATACTAGATAACTGATACAAATACAAAGATATTTTATTTTTTTGTAAATACATACATATTATACATAGAAAACACCCAGACCGATACAAACAATCACATTTACGAATACAAATGTTTGTGCGGTGCGAACAATCGGACGTAAAGCGGTGTGCTAAACCGTTAGACCGTTAATATTTAGATTTTCTGTTTAAATTTCTCTAAATGGGTACATTACACAACAATATAAATTAAAGGTTAACTGTCTATTATTAATACCTGATAAAAGTAATTATATCTTTATTTTACAATCCTATTTCAGATAACATGGAAAAAAATGAGAAAGTATTTACTTCGGAAATAACTAGAGGACAACAAAAAGAAATCAGCGGTCTTTATGAACTAATAAATATAATTCCCGCTAAACCTATAGTTAGTTTGAATTTGAGTACAGCTGAAAAGAATTCATGTGAATTTCAACCCAGAACAGATAAATATTATGAGGCAAAAAGAAATAATAAATATAAAGTTAAAACTGTTAAGGATATTAGAAGTTTATTTGAAAAAGACGTGTATCGTTATTTGTTTGACGATTTGGACAAACAGCAAAAAATATTATTAAGGAAAATAAGAGCAGGGTCCTCTAAAGACACAAATACAATTCAACTAGCAAAAGATATTTTCAAATCTGGGAATCCAATATCTAGGTCTGCATGGCAAATGTTAATAAATATTAATCCAGAAAAGTACTCTCATCCAAATCAATATGTTTTATACAATGGTAAATATATACAAGTAAATGGCAGTAAAGGGGGACGAAATAAATTTATTTGTAATTATGATTTGAAACGTCATAAGGAATCCTTTAAACCAAAAGTTACCGGTAAAAAAAATATTTTAATTAAAAAGAAGAGACTTTTACAAAATTCCTTAAGTGTAAAATTTAAACCTGGTCCATTAAAACTAAAAAAATACCTTGATGATTCTTATCAGAAGTATCACGTTGGTAATACAGAAGTAGTAAACCTACCAAAACCCGGTTTAGAAGTTCAACCTACCTATGGTTGCTCCGTCGAACCAACAATATCGAACTTCTTAAATAGTTTGCGAGATATAGATGGTTTTATATCACAAAAATGGGCAGAATTTGCGGTATCTGTATTAGGAAATGTAGAAAAATCGCATGCTATTCAAATTGATAAGTGCTCTGTAACTTTTGGTTTAAGTTACAAATATGATCAATATCGAATGCTTATGAGAAGGAATCTTGATAAACAAAATAATTTTTATCCCCAATGTAAACCAATATCCCAAAACATAATAGATGTTAGTGATATCATACCTGATGTGAAAATTGTAATCGAAAAAATTTTAGATTCGGTTGAAATCAATCAGATACAGGACAATATGTATACTGGAATAGACGAACCCAGATGTGCTTCTCCCGATGGTTTATGTAATGCTAAGAATTCTTTATCAAGAGAGAAATATAAAAAAAAATATGGTGAGTTGGATAGACTTGATGTAACTATTATAACTTTACCTGAAAATTCACAGCAATTAACACCACAAGCATGTTTGAATTCTTTTTGCACGTTGGGTTGTGTCTGTGCATCGTTGAAATCTCCTGTTCTTTTTAAAAATCATTGTGGTCGAATAGATTGTATGTTTGAATGTAAATGTGACTTCTCAAAGTACAAAGTAACAGATAATTTTGATAGCGACTGTCCAGAATATTTACCAGGTTTGATAAATTTAGATAATGAGATAAATTTAAAATTAGCAAAAGAAGAACAGAAATTTCATCAAACCGTGGTTTTCTCTGGTGAAAAAAGCATATTACTTAAGAGTCGAAAAAGAAATTGGAAAGCATCAAAAAAATATGCTGATTTTTATAGCAGTATGTGTCTAAAATCGGATATGAAAAAAGAACCTGTTTTGTGTATAACAGACATGAAATTTATTTGTGAAAATATTGAACCCTGGTGTATGGTGCATAACTTGTATAAATGTTTTTGTAAAGGCAAAATTACGTATAACTCTTATACAATGATAGTTTCACAAGATGTGCCCATTATAGAAACGTTAGATCCTAAAGATAAAGACTCCTCTGATAGCAGTAACATTTCAAAATGTAATCAACCTAATTTAAGTAATATAACTCGATCAAGACTACGTTCGGAACGAATAAAAAATAACGATAATACTCCAAGAATAATTGATAATTCTGTTTGTAACAGTAACGTTTCAGTATGCTCAAGCTCGTCTGAAATGTCATATATATATAGTACTTGTGCTAGAGTCAACTCGTATACGGGAAGAAAATTTAGTAATGGCTACTATAAAAACGCTAACTATAAAATTTCACAATTGGAAAAAAATGATCGTAATTTAAGCAAGAAGTTACGTTATTTATGTAATCAAAGTGAATTACAACAAAACAACAAAAAAATAGATAATATAGTTACCGCGTCTGGTAAAAGTGCAACTTCTAAAAATGTTTCACAATCTTCTGATTATAAAAAAACAGATGTTTTACCCAATTATATAAGATCCAGCATTGACGGAACAATAAATAAAAAGAAATTAGTAGCATGGCTCGAATATAGTTATAAACTTTATAAAAAGCGGTCTGAGGAGGGTAAGATTAACATTACTCTACAAGCTCCTAAACTTAATAAAGTAATGCTACATCCTTGGGAGTTCATTTTAAGTAGATACAGAGAGCGGAAGAACCATTATTTAGTTTCGAAGCAACGACCGTATCGTATATTCATGGCTGTGGATATAAACCATCCATTTTTTTTGGATTGTATGAATATTGATGACATTCGATTTGCTGATCTTCATAAATATCCCTCGACAATTAAAAATTTACTTACTAATGCAACTGATTTAAAAGATAATTTTTGTATACTTTGTGGTTTAACTTTCTGCTGGGAATTAATTGGTACTGTAACAAAAATGAGCGAAACTAATAATGTTGACGGCGAAACAAATCAAGATATCTTAACATATGATAGTAGTGAACTCCTAAAATATTTAGACGATTCGGATAATTCCTCAAGCCATGTTTCCAACTCTGTTTCGTCTGACATGGATAGCTTGGAGTATGAACTCGTTCCTCAAGAAAGTACTCAAAATTGTAACAATACAGAAAATTTTGACATACAAAACAAAAATTCGACAAACAGTACAGAAAAAACTACACCAGATTCATCAAAATGGTTTGTAATGACCGTTGAAAATGATTTTACCGAGATTCAATTCTTTAATAAAGGATTTTTCGTAAAATATGAAAGTATTATAAGAGCCATAAATATAGCTCGAAAGGCAAACAAAACAGTCCGCTTATCTTCTCAAAAATGTACGGCCAAAAACAGCAATCCACAATTTGGTATATATGCTATTCCATGTACTAACGAATATTGTGTATTTATGGGCCCTTATGAACCTGACGAACCATTAGGAGTGGAAACAATCAAAACTGTATTTCATACTTTCACATCAAAAGGAACTCGAGGTTTTTGGATTACTACTGATAAGGTTGACAATTTTAAAGTTATTGATAATCCAATGTCATTTATGCCAAACTCAAACTCTATAAATACGGAAATAATACCTCTAGAAAATAGCATTATTATTGAGGATTCTGCAGAAAATAAAGATAACGGTGCTGAAGAAGCGAGTACAAATAAAACTTTGGAAAGAGAGACTGATCCGAAAAGTTATCGTATTATGAAACCTATTAAAATTAAAAAAGGCCAGTTGCTGAAATCTGCTTCTTTATTTAATAAAATTGCTTCTCAGAATACTATTTCAGATGCTCAGGGTGCTTCCTTATTAAGAACTGATTGTTTAGTAATTAATGCAAACAACACATTATCAAGAACACATTCTGTGCTACATACAAAGTTGAAGTCCTTAAATACATCTCTTGTTAACTTTAAAACTTGTTTAATATCTACCATACCATCGACTGTAAATTACCAATCGAGTCCGGTATTAGTACAAAAAAATATATCATCCTTATCCACTAATGATAAAATCGTCACAGTAAATAATGCACCTATCATTAAAATAACTGAAGTTTTTTCGGAATTTAATAAACCTTCAGAAAAAAGAACCATTGTGACGAGCGATAGGGGTATGCTTATTTTAAAACCAGAAGACATTAATGAAAGACTAACAACAAATATCCCAAAGTCACAAAATTCTATTCATAGTGATGAAGAAATCAATAATGACATTACAAATTTAATGGCTGGTGAAGTTAGTCGTGATAATAATGATATTTTTATAATCTCTGATGAAGAAGATGACATTACATCTGACGTTAATGATTGGAAAGAAGTATGGATAGAGTGCCAGAATATTGAAACAGTTGGCTGGATTTTAGGACGAAGGGATTCAAAAAAATTTTTAAGTTTTGAACTTCCTGGATTAAATTTTAGTGATTTTTATCCGCAGGATGTTGCATTTTATAAAATTAACAAGTGAGTATTTGTATGGAATATACGTATTTACTGTACTGTTCGTGTACCTTTATAGTTATTATTTCCTTTCAGTAAGAACACATTTGGCACAATGTTTCATATACAAAATCTTGAAATGAATTATTGACACTAGGTAATTAGTGGCATCTATTTTAAACGTTATGATTTCAAAAGACTATACATAATGTAGGCTTGTCTTATGTTAGTTACATGATCAGAAAATGTGGGCAGAACAAAACTTAAGTTTACCATATTGAATATAATATAATTAATAACTATATACTATTACTACCATATTTTGTGATTTGGTCGCTGTGTATTTAATTTTATGCATTTAGCAAAAAGGCAACAGAAACGAGGTTTGAGAAGGTAATGGGTTGTTACGACCACGAAACCATATTACCAACACGATTAAAAAAATATCTATTTGTTAGGATGCCTACGTCCTAATGAAAAATTATGTATATAAATATCAATCAAGGTAGACAACAACCATAAATGCTGTAAATGTTATTTTGTACTAGCTGTTCGCCGCGACTTCGTCCCGGTGGAATTTAACTTCCATTTTCTAAAATAAAAGTAGCCTAAGTTACTCCTTATTACATCAGCTACCTACCAATAAAAGTCCCGTCAAAATCGGTTTAGCCATTTCAGAGATTAGCCAGAACAAACAGACAGACAGACAGACAAAAATTATTACAAATGTTATTTTGATGTACGTACCGTATTTATATTCATATGCATGTAGTAAAAAGCGGTTATTTCAATATTACAAACATACACTCCAATATTTATTTATATGTATTATATATATAAGTTAAGACAACAACCACAAATGCTGTAAATTTATGGTTGTTGACTGTCTTGATGTATATTTAATTTAATATCATAATTAGTAGCATTCACTAATTCAGTAACATTGTAAGAAGAATTGGTAATTGTCGACGGCGTGATGAATGCAACATAATAAATGTCGCATTCATCACGCCGTCGACAATTACTAATTCTTCTTGCCCACGTTTCACTCTGGTATATTTCAAATTGGTTATTCATTGCTGCAGATGAGGAAACTACCACTGTTTCTCGGATTAATTTGGTTTGTCATTAGACAGTAAAATATACGCATTATAGTTACGTAATATTGATTATTAGTTTAAATGTATTAATCGTTCGTAGCAACGTACATATTTGGACTTAGAAAATTAGACTGTAATTTGAAAAAAATCCTTATGTTATAGAGCCTTGTCAAAAACACTCCACATACCTGGACATGTTGAAATTGAATGGCGCGTAGTTGAATCAAAAAGTGAACTGAAGACAGATAATCAATTAGGACTTGAGCATTTGAAGCCTACATTTGTAAGTATAAACACTAATAATTTAATATAATTAAACAGGAGTGGTGTTCGTTAAATAAGCAAAACCGTGATGATATATACGACAATAGCAAAAACTCCCTGAAAGTAAATTTATGGTGTTTACATGATACAGATAGAACACACATACTTACAGATCGAGGACAACTTAAAAATATATATGTTTGGTGGCCTTTTTGCTCGTTTCTTAAACAAGAAAATTTTGGTACCTATATGGTTCCTTTTCTCATCTTTATCTCGAGACTCATTACGACTTAGGCGGAAACCAGCGTAACCAAATACTATATCAGGCTCAAGCCAGCAGTTGTAAAACGTATAGAATTTAATATGACACTGAATTACGTAGGAAGTGTCACCATAATATTTGCTTCTTTTTATTTGATAGGTAACATAGTAATTGTCTATCATGGGACATAGAACAGTTTTTTTGTTACTCGCTATATATTCCAACTAGCTTTTAGCCCGCGGCTTCGCCCGCGTGGACATAGAATATATAGGTTATCGCGCGTTTAAAGTTCCGTGTTCAGTAGTGGGACGTTATACATCCTAAACCTTCCTCTTGAGTCACTCTATCTATTCTGTCTTAAATTATAAAAATATTTTAACCGGAAATTGAAGCCGTTTATATGGTATTGGCAGATCAGTTGGGATCATCAGTATTCTTGGTGTGCATATGTGTGTATATGTGCTAGTTACCCAGCTGCCGCGGCCCGTGCCGGTGGTAATGGTAGCTACGATTAAATTATTCTTCAATTCCTTAGTAAACAGCCTCATCCCATTGCACAATGCACTTGTACGATGGGCTTAAATTTTTCAAAATCATGCTTTTGAGAAATTCCGATTTTTGTCGTCAAGTCGTATGGTAGCAGGCCAGAAGGGTTTAGCCAAAATTCCTGTCGATAATGAATTGCATCTTCGATATTAGTCACGCTATCGATTGATTTGTAATTTTTTATTTGTACGGGATCTTTTTGAATAATCAGATTATTTCGTTGGCCTTTTTCGTGCAAATTCTCGATGTCGGGGTATATAGCATCTATCAAAATTTCTAAATAATGGACGATTTGACCTAGAGACTAATCCAGAAAGATATTACAATTTCTGATTAAATTTAGAGTGGGAAAAATTCCTTCCCCAAGTTTGAGCTGTTGTTGTTATCACTGTTGTGGAAATCACTGTGATTCCATCAAGATGAACTCTCATATTCGTCTGTATTTTGAAACATTCAATTAAAGTCCATAAGGGAGACGATGTTAATGACAGGGAGAGTCTGTCAGAAATCTCCGGCAAATACAAAAGTAATCCCGCCCATGAGAGCAGAGGTGTTTCTAAGATTTTCTATCCAAAGCCTCTATGGCTCATGGTGCATTCATCCCACATAATCAATGAGGCGTAGGCGCGAAGCATAGCCCGTATCCGTCTCTTTCGAGTGGAACTCCATTTTTAGCTGGATATGCTTAGGTTTTGATGGATTTTGGAAGGTCATTGTTGCTGTGTTATAGAGGCTTGTCAGCACTCCGTTGCATCGCCACTCGACTTGGCATCGCTGCAGAGACTGCAGAACAGACCAGATCTCAATAGAGTCAAAGTCCACAAAATCTATACATAGAGGTTGATTATACTCCTCTGTTTTCTTTATAATCTGTGTGAATGTATGATGCCTAACCACTTCGAAACCCGGCCTGTTTCGGGTGTTTTAAACTCATCAAGCCTCGTGAGACGCTTCGTGATAACTCTTCAAAACAGCTGGTATATATTAACACTTGACTTAACAATGAGATGGGCCGATAGTTATTCAGTAGGGTTTTGTCTTAGTTTTTGAAGAGCAAAATAACAATGGCCCTTCTCACGGAGTGAGAGTACCTGTAGAGTTCTCCCAGTAAAGAAAACCGAGTTGAAGAGTTCCTGAAGTACCCCAAGTACAGGAGTACCTGCAGCCTTCAGGAGCTCAATGGTTATCCCATCTTTACCTGGGGCTTTTTCATTTTGGAGCTGTTTAAGAGCCATCTCTCATTTCAGGTATCTCATGTAGTAACAAGTTAGAAGAGCCCTGGGATCTCCAGCAAATGATTTAGGCCGACATACGTATGAGGCGTACAGTTCGCTGAATAAGTCCTCACATAATGGCCACGCTGGGCGTACGGGTTGGCGATCGCGGTACACAATTTCTCGTACCTATGACGCTGCTGCCCATCATCAGTCTGTAGAATTTGAAACTGTGTGTGGATATAATGACTGTACCGCTATTTATATGAATGTGTAGCCATGTTTAACCATATAATTCTTGACGTTTTATTAATCCACTTACTGTCGACCATCCTTTTTATAGTTAAACTAGCTTTCTGTCCGCGGCTTCGCCCGCGTGGACACAGAATATATAGATTATCGTGCGTTTAAAGAATCGTGTTCAGTAGTGGGACGTTTTATATCCTAAACTTTCCTCTTCAATCACTCTATCTATTCTGTATTTTAAATAAAAACTCATTAAAATCCGCGTAGTTATTCAAGATCAAAACATACATATAGATCAAAAAATTACATAGCCGTTTAAATGGTATTGACAGATGAGTTGGGATCATTGGTATTCTTGGTATATGAGCTAGTTACCCAGCTGCCGTGGCCCGTGCCAGTGGTAATGGTCGTTACAATTAAATTGTCCTTCAATTCCTTAGTAAGCAGCCTCTGATGAGTTTACATTTCTCAAAATCATGATTGGATCATGCTTTTGAGAAAATCCGATTTTTGACGTCAATTCGTATGGTAGCAGTTCAGAAGGATTTAGTAAAAAATCCTGTCGATAATGAACTACGTTTTCGATATTAGGCATGCTGTCGATTTATAATTTTTTATTTGTCCGGGAACTTTTTGAATAATCAGATTATTTCGTTGACAGTATCATCTCTATTGCCCTAATAATGAAAGCCTTTTTCGTGCAAATTATCTATGTCAGGGTATGCAGCATCTATCAAATTTTGGATCTAAATTATGGATGATTTGACCTAGAGACTCATCTAGAAAGAATTTTCAATTTCTGTTTAAATTTGGAATGGGAAAAATTATTTCCCCAAGTTTGAGCAGTTGTAATCAATAACAACTGCTATCACTGTTGTGGAAATCACTGTGATTCTATGAAGATGAGCTCCCATATTCGTTCATAATTTTAAACTTTCAATTAAAGTCCATAAGGGAGACGATGTTAATGCCTGTCATTAGAGTCTGTCAGAAATCTCCAGCAAATACAAAAGTAATCCCGCCCATGAGAGCAGAGGTGAAGAAAGAGACTTCTAGCGGCGGCGCTTCTATTAAACTTATAAACAAAAAAAACACTTATTGTGTCATAACTATAATATATAGACATATGCCGTGCTCTACAAAGTTGTAGGACATCATTTTGTTCTATCATCAATAGTTTTCGCAGCGCATGCGGTTAGGTATTTTTTGTGCAATTTTTTGCAAACCTTGGGTTACATTATTGGAGATTTCGTAAGGATCCCTAATTTTTTTGGAAATATAATATAGCCTATGAGACTCAAGGATAGTGTAGCTTCCTAATGGTAAAAGATTTTTTCAAATCGGTCCAGTAGTTTCAGAGCCTATTCAATACAAACAAACAAACTTTTCCTCTTTATAATATTAGTATGATAAAGTGTATTGCGCCTAAGCAACCATACGTACCCCACATAAGAATTTATAATTATAATTTTGAAGACAATAGGGGTTGATAGAAGCAGATAGTGCAGACATTATGTGACACACTGTGAGCGAGTAGAACAGTGCTGCCAATATTGTATAAGTAAAATAGATAATGCGTCCATTTAAAGCGAGAGCAAGTAAGATAATAAGTAATATCGTGAGCTACTTGCCCTGACGCAGCAAATAGTCAGTACGTTACGCTCTCTCTCTTTACTGCGCTAGTTCCCGTATTTATTTATTGTGATTTCGTACTAACAACCGATTATATATTTCTTTTGTGATTTGCATTGCTGATTTTATTCTTACAACTGGGGCTTTGTTTATTAGATTTGAAAAGAAAACCTGCTTGTGATTTGTATTATTGTTAACAAATTTCTAACGATCATGTCTGTGTAAATGCAGAAGAATATTGCAATTCATTGCTAACATGCATTTTATCTACGGAGAATACAGAAAATATGTGAATGTGTTTCATAATCACAGGGTCAGAATATTTTATTATTTTTCGGTCTTGCTTTTGGTTTTACGTCGACTTTTGGATCAACAGCTTACACCAAAACCCTTCTTTTTGCTTCAAGGTTTACTAGAAAAGCTATATTAAAAACTAGCTGTACCCGCGACTTCGTCCGCGTTAAATAGTGACCTTGACCACATAATGAAAAAAAAATTTAATGACCAAACCCAATAAAAGCCTACTAAAAAACTTTTCATCCTTTTTGCTTCAAAAATGACGAATACATACATAACTCTTTTTCTAAATATATATTGAATAAATAGGCTAAAAATTAAACTTCAAGCTTCTAGCTTTAAAAATGACAATATTTCCACATAAACATTTAACTCTCCTTTAAATTCTTTACAACCCATTTTTCTTTATTTATATTTAATCAACAGCCTCAAAAATTAGTTTCTATCTTAAAAAATGACGAATTTACATAAAAACTTTCACCCCTATTTTATTTTACACCCCTAATGGTAAAATTTTTACAAACTTAGAATGTCATATTTATTTATATTTAATCAACAGCCTCAAAAAAAAGTTTCAAGCTTCTAACTTCAAAAATGGCGAATTTACATAAAAAAATTATCCCCTAATTTATTTAACCCCCTTAAGGGTAAAATTTTTAAAAACTTTGTCATATTTATTTATATTTAATTTGCAACCTCAAAAATAAATTTCAATCTTCTAGCTTCAAACATGACGATTCTTCCATACAATCTTTCATCCCCAATTTCAACCCCTTACAACCCTATTTTCGCATTAAAAAGTAGCATATGTCCTTTCTCAGGGTCTAGACTATCTGTGTACCAAATTTCATTTAAATCGGTTCAGTAACTTAGATAGTTCTAAACAAGTTTTAAAGAAACTTAATGTAAAATATGTACAATAGATTATTAAATTTGATGAATTTTATTGCCAAATTCTGAATAAAATTTTTATTTTTATATTTATCTATCTATACTGTGTTTGTAAGTGATATTGTAAATTTTAATATTTTCCAGTGGCTGGCAAAAGAAGCGAAAGCAGGTGATAGCGACATAAAAAGTAATTCTAAGATGGAAAGTGGGCAGACTTATACTGATAAATACTCAGAAACACCGTAAGACCATCAATATTTTTTGGCACACAATATACATAATACTTACTGCTACAGCTTAACCCTACAACGCTAATTAATACTGAAAGGTACCCAATCTTTCAGATATATTGCCTCTTGCGAACATGATGGTCTTCCTGTTGTCTCTCAGCACTTTGGCACATACTTTCACTTTGGCGATCTTATCTACCATACTATAATATATAATGTTATTTATATATAAAGTTGGTCGTAAAAAGAAAATAAAGAAAATAACCTTAAAGCTTGAAAATTCTAGTTTTCAGATTTTTACGGTTCTCATGCAATCCTGAGATGAAGCACAAAAAAATAACATTTTTTTTTAATGTATAGCCATGGAAACATTTTTTGGCGACGCCAATGCAGTTGTCGTGTTGTCTGTTTATTCAGCTTCAAAATGCTTTTTTCAGGACCCCGAATCCGAATTCAGTCCGAATAGAATTTTGAATGAACAAGGATTTTGTCCCTTCACTTGATGTAATCTGTTAAAAAATCAAGAAATCGATTTTTTCTGACAGTACATACACTGTCGTGTTTGCCAAAGACTAAATAATCACTGAAATAGAGCCGGATGAAAATCATCCATAATTTTGGATTTTTTTTCTGTTCCCTTAATTATTGCGAGTAGTGTATAACAATATAAACTTAATACAGTGCAATATTTTTAAAAACACTATTTTCCAGACTATCTGTGTTTAGCAAACCTCTAACTGTTGACGAGTCATGTCTGAATCGTTGTGACTATGACTGTAGAAACCTGATTGTATTGCAAAGTAATAATTTATGAAGAAATCCAAACACATCGTATTTTGTTAATACGTGCTTTTAGGCCGGCGTCATTCTTTTTAGCAAGTCTACCTTTATACTTCCCAAGTATGAGAAATACTGTAATTGTCCTAGGTTCTATCGATGGGTCCTAGCTGTTGTATATCTAGAGATGTTACATCTTAGGTGTTTAGACGCAGGCCAGTCAAATCGTCGAGGTTACTGTCGTAACCCCAAGGTAGCTCTACCTGTCTTGTTTGTCTCTGACTCACTTCTCTATTACTAAGGGCGTAACACTCCTACCACCATTCGTTAAACAAACAATTTCATTGGATAAGCATAAAATAGGCATCTGAAATGTGAGGGTTATAGGGGCTTTCTTCTGTTCTAACAGTATTCATTGCGCGCTTTTTTATAATAAAATGTTACGGTTTGCTTCATTTCTTTATATATTATCTACCTAGTATTTTAATTATTGTTTGCAGGTGCTGATCAATATCTGAATGAAGAAAAAATTTCACACTAGTAAAATTTTTATTTTACTCTGCAGGATCATACTTGTGCAATTTCATCATTAGTTACGCGATGACTGATTAAATTAATGCTATTACAAAATAATATTGTACAGTTAAATTTGTTATAATATAGTGATCTAGTGTTTAAGTGAAAATACATAATTACCTACTTACATCTATTCAGAAATGCACGATATAGTATAGTAAATCAAGAACGTGATTGAACGTACTGTACAAGGCGGGAGCGGGGAGGGGGATAAGTACAAAAATGCTAATTAGTGAATTTATGGAAAAGCTATATCTTTAAAAATTGAATATTAAATATTTGGCGAGTAATAATAGCAAGACGCAGCAGTCATTTAAAAAATATTTAGGAACGGTATTGTTGTTTTAATCCGATTTATTTATATTTGTAAATTACAGTAGTATAGTACTTGAAATTGCAACAATGCAAACAACAAACCACTGACTTAGAGCTTTTAGGTAATACCTGTTACGGGTTTTTAATACATTTCTGTATGATTATGAGGTCTAGACTTCTACATTGAATATTATAATGAAATGTTAAAATTGTGCTTTCCAGCTGACTGTAAAATCCAGGAAATATGGACAATGTAATAATTACGCACGTATGGTATCACTAATTACAAAATCAACACCTTTACAGAACTGTAAATTTTTTTTTTTAAGACTTGTTAATTTTACTATCCTTTGACTGAATGTTAATCTTAATATCAATTAAATGTGTGTATAATGTATATTTACTAGTTTTATAGCTTTTTTGTCCTAATAGTATCTAATAATTTTGTTTACTTTCGTACTTATTTGGAGTCATAACGTATTTTTTATTCTGGCGTACGATGACTATGTATGTACATATGATTTAGCATTAAAAGTGACTGTGATATTATAATTTGTAACATTCGAGAGGTGTAGGTTGAAGCGAAGTGTTCGGTTTAGGTCGCTCCATATGTAATTATTGTGATACTTGTGACTTTATGAATAATGGTATTGTGAAAATTCCATTATTACATATCTAACAGGCTACGAATGTGTTTAGATATATACCTATTACGTCGTCGTCCCTATCTAAAAATAGATATACACAATTCTACAAATTGCTCTTTGTCTTATATGCATAATTTATGATATATCTACGATATGATGTACGTACCTATATACCTCCGAAATTATACCGAAATTTCCTCAGAGTTTTATTATTATCTAAACTGAGTATAGTATCTTGCCGAATACTTTCGTGTTAAACATTTTAGCTTCTATTTTACTTGTATCTACTAATTTACTATTAAAGTATGATATTCATAATTTGATAAAAAATAAAAGATACTATTAAAATATAATTATAAAACATTAATTTCATTACATTACATTCCCTCTTAATTTTCTTACCTATATTTTAACCAAGTAGCTATTAAACTGTACCTACTCACTCAGTAAGTTAGTGGGTATTTACTATGGGGACGGGTAGGTTTAGTAATTCAAATATGATTCTACATATTGAGGAGAAGAGGATTGTAAGTAATGTGCCATATCTGGACTCCATCGTGGATAACTCCTGGTCACTATTGTGCTAACTGACCTCACTTCATTCACTGAGACCACATTAACCTATACCGTCAAGCAGGCGTGTTTCATTAACAAAAGAATAATATGGGACTACTTAAACCTGTACATTTGAGAGACCTACTTTTGTTTCTGATCAGTATGACTGACGAATATTTGTAGAAATACGACGTATCCGACCCTCGGGTATGAGAAGATGAGGTCAAATTATTAATGTATTAAATTAGTGACAATATTAATTTTGTTAGCAATGAGGTCGATTTTCACACGTTTTTTAGAAATCATAGTGGTTAGTTTGTTGAGCTAAGTAACCTGTTTAGATTTTTCTGATTTAATAGTTCTCCGCCACCACATAGCTACTTACTATTAACATCAACTGTTAAAAAAACTCTAGGGCAGCACTGCATACCAGGTGCAATAACATCAGTACGCACTATGCTCCGACAAAACAGACCGTGGGTGAAGTGGATGGGGACGTATTTCTATATCGCATGAGTTTTGTACGGCACGTCTCAGTCGGGTACGCCTATACAAAAAAAATGCTGAACGACCTAAATTGGCGAAAATAATTGATCTTAATTTTACATCGTACTGTGAAATATAGCTTATTCCTGCTACGGAAGAATCGTTATTACGTTATGACCTATCGACATCACAGAGACAGCCTTTCGAATGCTTAAAAAAAGATATAGGGGATATCTTTTCTTTTTAAACAGTTGACTTTGTCTTTGTTAATTGACCTATTATTGTTATGTTATGTATATATAATATATATTATAAAAATATAACAATTCACTTTTGACATATCTATGTCAAAAGTGAATTGTTACATTTTTGACTACCCTTATAAAAGGTTTGCTACTAGAGACATTGTAAAGCAACGCAGAAGGCTGATGTTTGGTCGCTCAGTTACGTAAACTCACGTGTAGCGTGACACTGGCGGGTCACTCCAATGGTGACCTCCCGCACTTATTTTTTAAAGTAAATTGAAACTACATTATAGTAACTAATTTGTTTTATTGATGCAATAAAATAACTCTTTAGATATCTACTTACAAACAACCCTGACCAATTTGTTTTTGTCTGGAATTAGCAGCATTACTATTAACTGTATACATATACCTATATATAAGCTATAATCGTAAAAATTTATTTATAAGTCAAAATACATTTTTCTTGTGTTCTGAATGTACAAATAATAGTTAAAATAGTCATATAGTAAGTATATTTCTAGATGTTTTACAATTAGGATTATAAAATAATTAGTTATATTTTATTGTAGTTCACAATGATAAACCTTAGATTTGTACCTAAAGATGTTCCATAGTCGAGCCGATCGTTGTAAAGAAACTAAAAATAAAAAATATAAATATGATAATTATGAGATAATAAACAAAATTGTATAATATAAAAAATTGCAATGCAAAATTTTTCCATAAACCTTCCTTTTACGATTGCCTGCAGTTGATAGCATTGTTAAATGTCAAATCAAGTCTCACCGAAACTCGCGTTTAACAATACTAACCGAAAACATAATATCTGTAGGTACTATTTGTTGTAGCTATGTGTCTAGTTCGGATTTCCATACATCCAATAGATACAACCTTATGTGTTATTCAATAATGACAACCACTACTAATGCTAAGAGATGTTAATGTACATTCTATAAGTAAGGTTATCGATAAATATTAATAATTGCGGTATTATTATTTATTAGATTAGTAGTTTTACAGGTATAACGCTGGAGCTCTTGCTATTTCCTACGATTTTCTATCAATCTCTGTAATTGTTGATACACCACTACTCAACTTTTTTGTTGATCTGCTGCTTGATATACCCGTTCCTTGTTCTGCCCCTCTTTCATTTCGATTTTTCTTTCGATAATACCATAATTCATCTTTTTTCTTCAATTACTTGTGTAATGAGGAAATATAATAAAATATAGTTAAAGTTTATACTGTTGCTGGCAGCTTGTCTACCATTCTTTTTATAAACTTTATATTTTTGATATCTATTTTTTATGTCTCTTTGACTACTTCTTGTTACTTTCTTTGTTTGCTTTTTTAATTAAAATAGTAGGTAGTTGTGTTCCCGCGCCAGTCACATATATCATTTGACTTATTGGGCGCAAGATTTGGTTTGTCCAGCAACCCATGTGCAATTTTTAAATCTACATATGAGCTAATATATAAATGTTGTCATTATCGAATAACAGATGGGGTATATCTCTCTTAGGACATATCCCCTACTATTCGTTTTAGATATAATGTATATATTTAACTAATTTCACACATTAGTTGTTGTATTTAGCGAAAGTATCGGCATGATTTTGTATTTACGAAGCTTCCTAACGCTGTAGATGGAATCTTTTGTTAATTTTATAAATCTACTATATACATACCTACGAGTATATGTAGGTATATATTACAAAAGGTAGGTTTATATAAAAATTCTTTCGAGGATTTTCGGGAAGAAGTTTCGGGAATTGATTGAAATTTGAATGGTTTCAAATTTCAATCAATTCCCGAAAGTTCTTGGAAATTTATTACAAAATATTATTTTATTAAGGTACTACTGTGGACAATATGTATGTATATGTTGTACAATAATAAAATTTAATAACAGTTAGTCCTCAAGTAATTTTTGAAATGCGTTAAATCTAGCCAGTTGTGCGCTATTATTAATAAATACGTTCGAAACGAGCCCTGCCAGTCAACAAGAAATTATAAACTAGCACTACAGTTAGTTAACCACATTATGATGTTGCTATTCTCAAAAACGACTACACTAAAAATAAATTAAAATAACGGAATACATCAAAAAATAGTATAGATATACACCTCTAAATTGCATAGGTAACATTGGACATCGAGCATAATTTATGATTAGGTATTGCCGAGATAGTAAGATAAATTAAGGAACACTGACATCGTTATTATCTATGTATACTAAAGGATGCCGCCATACATCTACATGTATTATCACATTTTGTAAAAGGTACCTATTTACGATATTCCAGGGTGGGTTCGCTAACCCCGCGCCACCATCCAAATAGATATTTATTAATTTGCTACATTTTTCGACGATACGTACAAAACTCGGTTAATTAAGATAGTGGTCAGTTCCGGTCGGTGGTGGAGGATCGGCGGACATTGGTGCGCTGCGGGATGACGAACTCGGCGTGGTGGCGCGGCGTGAAAGGGTTGGTGGGCGCGAACGTGGCGGCGGCGGGGGCTCCGGTGGCGGCCGGGCCCGCGCCCGCGGCGGAGGCCTGCCGCGTCGGCGGCCGCCGGGCCGGGCTGCTGTTGCCACTGCCCCCCGTCCTGCCGTTACCGTCACTAGTTTTTATTACGTTCGGTACTACATGTGCTGTAGAGACCGTCATAATAAAAACTAATTAATATCTATTTATTTATATATCACAGTATTAAAAACATACCAAACACATGCATACAGAATGGTTACGATGTTACAATTACTTTGTGACGTCTATAAGCACCTGGACCTTGCAATACATATTATGAATTCATTTCATTACTTTTATTATACTTTACTTTTATTTCTGCTAGCAGAAAGCAGATTAGCAGAAATAAAAGTACATTAAATATTATTATGTTATTAGTCAATTGCGACATCGCTTTTATCCTCCAGATACTGATGATCTGACTGATGCATAGGTAGATGCATGCAATATATATATATTCTGTAGTTAACACTATTTGGTAAATGATAGATATACTTGGTTGCTGCACTGAAGTCGGCCGCAACGGACATCTGTCGCGGCGGTAGAGCAGGCGGCGGTCCGATCGGACGACTTCCGGTCGCTGTGGTCCCAGAACTCCCACACACCGAACCCGTGCGTGGTGGTATCTACAATGTAAAAACTTAGGTAATATCTTATCTATACCAAAAGTACATTATTAAAAAACGTAATGCTTACTTATTCACACTTTATATTTTATGGATATATCAGTAATATGGCGTATAAAAATATTGAAGTCACATTATATTTTTATAAATTTAATGATAGACCACTGACATGTATGAATGAATAAACATTTTGATCACAAGATGCTTAATGAATGAGTTTATGGTAAACCGGTAACGAAAATTAGGCACAAAGATGATAAAATATGAAATTTGTTATTTCTTAATTTACTTTTACTACATCTAAATATCATTTAAGCATTTTTGTTTGAGTAAAGTTTTCACAGAAAATTACGATACACGATTGTTGAATGGGGGCTTAAATAAAAATGGCTACCAATAATCATTCGAAACATGGAAACTGTATAAATTGTAGATTTAAATCTACAGTTTAGACAGATGTAATTGCAATTTAAACAACTGCATTTTGGATTCGGATTAGAGTCTTCACAGAAACTTTATGCCAGGCACAATCACATTGTGGAATTACGTTCCAGTAATGGTATTTCCGTGCTGGTACCATACGGCCGTACTTCAAGAAAAGAGCTTATCCGTAAAATATCGGCAACTCCCTCGGTGGTGCGGGACTTATGGGCGGCGGTAACCACTCGCAACCAGGTGGGCAAGTTCGTTTGTCGCCTGTGCTATAAAATAAACGTACCAGCGGCGGATCGGGCGGTCGTGGCGGCGCGGCGTGCGAGTGCGCGCGCGCCAGGCGCTGCTGCAGCGGCGCGGGGGGCGGCGGCCGGCGCGGGGGGGACGCCGCAGCACCCCCCTCCCGGGACTCCGCCACGGCGCTCCCCTCGCTCTTAGCGAACGTCGCCCGGGCTTCCCCCGCACGATTCACTGGCGATCTCCGCTCCGTCTGTTACGTATAAAACTTTGCTAGCCGGTATCCACTATAGTCTATTCTTTATCTTAGAGACAAAGACGTTATTTATGTTGCCAGCTTTTTGCAATTCTTAAATAGTTTTGTGCTACTACCGCAGATTATTTTAATTACCGATTTATAGCAGTAACACTCATATAATATCTATGTTTTTTATTAACATTTAAGACGCATTAACACAAAATGAATATAGAATTGTTACTGAAACCATTTAATATTGTATGTTAATAAACGGACCCCAAGATAGGTAAAAATCGCTGTAACAATCTTTACCTGTGGACTTGTCTTCTGTTTAGGCGAGATCGCCTCGACCTCGGCTTTAGGGCTCCGCTGTGCGTGTGAGGAAGGCGACACGGGTGTCACGTTGGCTGGCAGAGCCGGAGGCACGCGCGCCGCCTGCTCTAGGATCACTTTTTTCTGTTCGTGGCCTGCCGCGAAGTACGAGAACACGCATAACACCGCATAACATATCTGGTCCGCCTGTAAAATAGATGAAACAATGTCATGTATTACATGTTCGTCCAGTACAGAGCGATGATTTACTTCAATCCCTTAAATGGCCGTCTGTCAACACGCTATTGGCACACATATCTGTTAATTTGAAAATAGAACTATTAAATCCTTAATAATTATCACTTATTCAAATATTCATATACTATTTATTACACTCACAAGTTAAAAAGACGCCACTGTCACACTCTATACTACCACCTTTTAATGTTCACGTAATATATTGGTCACGAGCATATAGCATGCGAACTATGTAGGTAACCCTAACCATACACCTAACTTAGTCATGATTTCTCTTTAATTACTTGTACACTTTGGGGTCGGCATAATATTGTTTTTATTCCATTCATCTCTGTTTTCCTTGCCTTTTCTCATTTCCATATAGCAATCCATAGTCATTGTCATAAAATGTTCCACTGGGCACTAGGGTCGTTTTTTAGATTTTTCTTCTTATATACTTAGTGTTAGGAACAATGTTGTTTACGTTTCCTTGAGGCAACTAAGTATATAAGAAGTCTCCGAAGTAAGAAGAAATGAGTCTCCACGATCTGATCTATGAACTACAAAAAGCAAATCGTAAAAAAAAGTTTCGCCTAACAATGCCCATGTTTTGGTTGGTAAAACTTCTTCACTCGTTCTTACCTATAAATATATTTAGCATTTATTTTACTTTACTACAAGCAGTTTTGATTAAACTGATGTAATGTTCTGTCAAGTACCGTTAGTAAGTGTGTACTTGGTTTTGTAATTCCAAAATAGGCTCATAAATTACAATTTAGCTTTTGGCTCGTGACAGCGTTCTGATCTTATTAATAACGTAATTAAAAAAGATAAATAATGAAAAGCATCGACCGATACATTTTGTCAAAACATCCTGTAATTAAATGTAATGAATAGAAGAATTATAATACAATATAAGAGATTAATATAAAAAAACTAGATATATATTACCAAAATTTGTTAATGACTTTTGTGTCAGTTTAATAAACGCTGGGTTTTTTTACTTAAGTACTGTTTAAACCTAAACAAAGCGAGTATTGCAATTTTACGGCATAAAGGCAAGACAGTGAGAGCAACGGATTAAAAATATTACAAAAAATATAATTATATATTTTTTCGTAACTATTAAACAGAATGAATAAAATAGATATGAGACTCTTTACGGAATGCTAATTTATAGATCGTTAATTTCACGAAAGGTGACAGACGAACGCCTCGCTTCCTTTGTAGATGGACGACGTAATAACCAAATGCGCTAATCGGAATCCATACGAATGTATGTCTCAATTAAGAAACCTTACGAGTAACCGACTATGTCTTATTAGCGTTAAGCTAATAAGACATAGTCGGTTACTCGTAAGGTTTCCACAGGAATGCTAATTTATAGATCGTTAATTTCACGAAAGGTGACAGACGAACGCCTCGCTTCCTTTGTAGATGGACGGCGTAATAACCAAATGCGCTAATCGGAATCCATACGAATGTATGTCTCAATTAAGAAACCTTACGAGTAACCGACTATGTCTTATTAGCGTTAAGCTAATAAGACATAGTCGGTTACTCGCACCTATAAATGATCTTGAGTTTATTAATAGTTCAGTGCAAAAAACGTTGTTGAGTCTAATCTAATACTTCCTGAAGAGAACTTACTTTCCTTTTCTTAAGTGGTAGAGCAAGCTGTACGACCACACGTGGTTGTTCAGCTCGATTGGGCCGCTCGAACCGGGAAATACCACACCTCGGCAGAAAACCGGCGTTAAGCGTTATCGCGTTTCGCATGATGAGCTGTAGGTTCCGGACGCCCCTCCCCCTCCCTCCCCCTATCCCTTTCCTACTTCCTTCCCCTACCCACCCCTTTCTTACATACCATGGCAGCGGATTACAAGAGATTTTTACCCCAGGGTGGTACCAGTAACCATATTACTGGAGAATCCACCCCTGAGATATCACACTCAGGCTCCCCTGCGAATTCTGGGGTGGGCAATACTCCGCTCAATTTGGCCAAAAGGAAACCGAGCAAATATCCATCGGCGTTTCCCTTGCTCATAGTCATTTGCAACATCAGGGGAATTCATTCCAATCTCAACGCCGTTCACCACCACCTAAAGACGGCGAGACCGGCTTTGCTCTTCCTTACGGACGCAAATATCCTGTCCCGACGAAATTTCGTACCTGACCTACCCTGGATATAAATTGGAACACCCTTTTATTCCACGGGCCGGTGTGTGCGCTTATGTCAGAGAGGATATTTGTTGTCGCCGTCTTGGTACACTTGAAGGTACTGACCTGTCCATTTTATGGTTGCGTGTAGATTGCGATGACCACCCCCGCACCTATGCATGCTTATACAGGTCCCATAGCGGTAACACCGAAACTGACCGACTCATTGAACACGTCCAAATGGCTACAGATTTTTTGCTCTAACAGATTCCCTCCGCTGAGGTCGTGATTCTAGGTGATTTCAACGCCCATCACGCTGAATGGCTCGGTTCACGTACCACCGACTATGCGGGGAGATCTGTTTATGGCTTTGCTTTGGCATATGGTTTGACGCAACTGGTATGCTCGCCTACGCGAATTCCTGATGTTGTTGACCATATACCTTCACTGTTGGACCTTCTGCTGACTTCTCATCCGGACGGATATCAGATCTCTGTGGAAGCCCCACTGGGATCCTCTGATCATTGTCTGATACGGAGCGAAGTGCCTCTCACGCGTCCTTCTTTGCCGCGATCTATTGGTCGACGTCGTGTTTGGCATTTTAAGTCGGCAGATTGGGATGAGATGCGAAGTGTTTTTGCATCTTACCCATGGGGGCGAGTTTGCTTCGCACTGGACGATCCTGATGCATTAGCTGAATCTGTCACCGATGTAGTATTTCAGGGAATGGAGATGTTTATTTCTAATTCCCTGGTACCTGTCGGTGGTAGATCTCAGTCCTGGTATGGCGGATCCTGTAGATCGGCGTCGCGCCATAAGCAGGAATGCTTCCGTGCCTGGATTGCAGCTGTGAAGTCGAGTGATCCAGATACCAGTGCCCATAAAAGGAAGTATAACTCCGCTTCCAGGTCCTTCAAAAGAGTTATAGGCACAGCGAACTGCGCAGAGAGGATAACTCGTTGGCCCAACATGCTAAAGAGAAGGCCGATCTCCTTGGGTCTCTTTTTGCATCCAACTCGACACTGGACGATAGGGAGCAATCACCGCCGGTCATCTCGCGGTATGAGACTTCTATGCCAAAGGTAAAATTTACCCAAAAGCTGGTACGTAAGTCTCTTTTCTCCCTAGATATCCACAAGTCGAGTGGGCCTGACGGTAGTCCTGCTATTGTGCTCAGGACGTGTGCACCTGAGTTGGCTCCGGTACTAACGCGTCTTTTCCGGTACTGCTACTCTACAGGTGTAGTCCCGAAACTTTGGAAGACGGCTTTGGTTCATCCGATCCCTAAGAAGGGAGAACGCTCAGATCCAGCTAACTATAGGCCCATAGCCATCACCTCCTTATTCTCATATAGATCATGGAGTCGTTTTTATATATTGTCAACCGTCAACTCCTACGATACCTAGAAGTGAACCAGTTGATTTCTGATCGTCAGTATTACATTATATGGCTTTCGCCACGTTCCCAAACGAAGGGTCGGTCGGCTGGTGATCTTCTAGCGTATTTGACACATCGATGGGCAGCTCAGAGGCTATTGAGAGTAAGGGGGAGGCCATATCTATTAGTCTGGATATTGCGAAGGCCTTTGATCGGGTTTGGCACAAGGCTCTTCTTTCAAAGCTACCATCCTTTGGGTTGCCTGCGAAGTTATGCAAATGGGTCACCAGCTTTCTCGCTGATCGGAGCATCAAGATCGTTGTCGATGGTGCTTGCTCCGACCCACACTCTATGAATGCTGGTGTTCCACAAGGTTTTGTGCTATCTCCAACTCTGTTCCTTCTGCATATCAATGACATGTTACAAGTCAACGACATTCATTACTATACGGATGGCAGTACCGGAGATGCCTTGTACAGCGGCCATGCTAATATGTCGCAGGCAAAAGTTATAGAGTACCGGAACAAACTTGTGTCTGAAATCGAAAGTTCACTCTATCAAGTTTCGGTTTGGGGTCAGGAAAATTGTGTTCAATTCAACCCCAAGAAGACACAAGTTTGCGCGTTTACCGCTAAAAAGATTCCATTTATCGTATCTCCTCAGTTTCAAGACACTCTCCTTGATGTGAAGCCAAATCTCGAGGTCCTTGGCGTTGTTATATCCAGTGACGTTCAGTTTTGCGGTCATTTGGAGGACAAGGCTAGCTTGGTGTGCTCAGTAGAGTGAGACGGTATTTCACGGCGGCCCCTCGCTTGTAATTATATAAGGCGCAGATCCGGCCGCATATGGAATACTGTTCTCATCTCTGGGCGGATTAAAATAGATGTTGCACCACAATACCATCTGGGCTAACTTCCATTTGACCGCGTTCAGAACCGAGCAGCCAGAATCATTGGTAATCAACGTCTATGTGACAGACTGGACCCATTGGCTTTGCGGCGAGATATTGCATATCTGTGCATTTTCTACCGCATATATCACGGGGAGTGTTCTGAGGAATTGTTCGGATTAATACCAGCTGCTGAGTTTCAACACCGTACCACCCGCCAGAAACTGAAATACCATCCTGATGATCTGGATGAATGGCGGTCTTCCACAGTGCGGAACACAGGGGACAAACGAGCATGCGGCTCACCTGATGGTAAGTGATTACCGCCGCCTATGAGCACCCGCAACACCAGGGGAATTGCAAGTACGTTGTCGGCCTTTTAAAAAGGAATAAGCTCTTTTCTTGAAGGTTTCAATATCGTATCGGTTCAGTAGAGTGAGAAATACCATTGATCCGGCCGCATATGGAATACTGTTCTCATCTCTGGGCGGGAGCACCACAATACCAGCTACTTCCATTTGACCGCGTTCAGAACCGAGCAGCCAGAATCATTGGTAATCAACGTCTATGTGACAGACCTGGAAGGCGAGATATTGCATATCTGTGCATTTTCTACCGCATATATCACGGGGAGTGTTCTGAGGAATTGTTCGGATTAATCCAGCTGGATTACCGCCGCCTATGAGCACCCGCAACACCAGGGGAATTGCAAGTACGTTGTCGGCCTTTTAAAAAGGAATAAGCTCTTTTCTTGAAGGTTTCAATATCGTATCGGTTCGGAAATACCATTGCTGGAAGGTGATTCCACAATGTGGTTGTGCGGGGCAAAAAGTTTCTAGAAAACCGTACTGTGGAAGACATTCATCCAGATGATCAGGATGATATTTCAGTTACTGGCGGGTGGTACGGTGGTGAAACACAGCAGCTGGTATTAATCCGAACAATTCCTCAGAACACTCCCCGTGATAGATGCGGTAGAATATGCACAGAGATGCAATATTTCGCCGCAAAGCCAATGGGTCGAATCTGTCACATAGACGTTGATTACCAATGATTTTGGCTGCTCGGTTCTGAATGCGGTCAAATAGTAGAAGCTGGTATTGTGGTGCTCCAGCCCAGAGATGGGAACAGTATTCCATAACTTTTGACATTACCTATGTAACCAACTTTTTGCGATTATATAGGCTTGTGGAACTATCGGAAATTAAATGTGTGCGTGTTTATTTAAAACGCATTAACACAAAATTATTAAAGTAGGTATAGGTATAATAGATAGGTTGTTGTTTCAAAATAGATTTCTTCAATTGACATACATTTCAATGGAACAAAGACTAACCGCCTTTTTTATAAAACACATGTATATTTAAAATATTAAGCATTTGAAAGAAAAACACAAAATACCGTAAAAAATATATATTAACGTAAACTACAAAGATATATTTTTTTGTACCGTTTAATACAAAGTCAGTAATGTAATGTATTGGTCAAAATAAAAAAAATTGGTATCGCAGCTACAGCAGCTACAGCTGGTAACATTAGCTGTAGCTGGACAGTATCCGAGATTAAAAAACAAACTTTAGTACCTTCGTTAATATTTATTCCATCCATCCATCCATCTATTAAGAATTGGGTTAGGAATTAGTGAAAATTATACTAATTTAGCAATATATATAAATAAAATTCAAATGTTAATTATGGCTGTAGGAACTGAAAACAGCGCCAGAATAATAGCAAAATTATTCCTGAAATATTAAGCAAATATTTGTATATTATATACTATACCTGTTCAGTATAATCAAGCAGCAGATTTGAAATAATACTAAGTAAAATTATAGTTCAACAAATATAGCGATAGAAGAAAAAGTCATGCAAAATAAAAATAATAATCTGACAGTACATACATCCGTAGGGGCTATGAAACGTAAGGTGCATAATGCAGTTGGGTTCCATGGGTCTCGACAAAGTACCGAGAAAGCCATATGGAGAAGAAACGGTGAAGGTCAAGCACTACTTTCTCTGCCTATAACATAAGACACGAGAGTAAATGAATAAAACAAAAACAGATAGGTATATAAACATAAAAAAAGGATGCTAGTATACACATATAACATAAAATACTTGCCATAATAGATTTGTACTTCCTCTGTAGTATTTGCCTCGTTTTGGGATCTGAAAAATATCAAACGAATGTTTTTAACACTTTAGGTACAATTAATTGTCAAAACAAAGAAAATAAAAACCTTTATGGAAATTCTTTAACAATTACGTACTCAACATTATCGTTTACATAATTAAATAAAATTGAATTAATCGTTCATTAAACTTAAATAATACATATACTATAGGGATATTACGTAATTTACATATGAGAATAGACTTCAATAAGTTACTATGTGTCTAAATCTCGACCTCTGCTGTTTTATAACTTAATTATTATAACAATATTAAAACTATTATATATTATTACAGACAATAGGTAAATTTATAAGAAAGTCATCAAATACCTAACAGTAGATTATACTATCAACTTGGAAATTTAGTGTAAGTATATGATTTGAAATAAGTTTCAATTACAATTTTCTAATGAGTTCTTGAAGGAACGTGATATGTCCATGTGATAAAATACATCTAAATACCTAAGCTGCTGCAATGATAAGAACCGTTTACTTGGAATAATATAGTAATATCCCACAAAGATTAATATAGAGCGACGACTCTGTTTCTATTGTTTCTTTGAGGGCTAGATGTATACTGGAAACTAAGCAGCGCCTATATATTTGAATACATTTTCTTATAAATACATACATAATATAAATAATACGTAATGTAATTATTTGTATTGACCTGACTAATATCAAGACAAACACTTATAGCCGTGAAAATATGTGTATCGTATTGGAATCGATCACTACACCATTGAAAGGCAATTCCTATTTAGTTAGTTTAGTTTAGAGATCAAATCGATCTCTCTCAGTGAGTCCATGATTACTTCGTGTGCTTACCACAGTCGTAACTCGTAGTGTTATAGTTTCAATTACAATAGATATATAAATATTTTTTTACAAATCGATTTCAATGTTAATAAGTAAAATACTTACTAAATTCTTCTAAAACGAAGATACCTCCGTTCTGTGTGAAGCATTTTCGAATATGATCGAGCCGCACAAAGAACTGTAATTTAAAAAGTGCAGGATTATATCGGTGAATATATATCGTCCATCGTCTGTGATGTATGCTATACTTATATATATACAGACATTATCAGTGTTTATAAGAATTTATATGAGGCTGGCCAAATAATACTATAGAGACGTGAAAATTAACAGAAACATGAGATTTACGAATAGGCATCTCTATCTTCAACTAAACAAATGAAAATATATATTTGCGTTGACAAATAAAACATTTTATATGTATATAAAAAGTTGTAGCACGAATATATGTATATAATTTTAGAAATAATGTCAAAACAATATTGTTTGACCCTTAACCTATATTTATAATAAGTGTGAAATGTGGTTACTGGTCTATTTAAACGTAATATAATAATTTTATTAACACACGTTATTATGATTTGTCTAGTAGTAGTACATGGTTATCAATAGGATTTTTATTCTGAAAATAACTACAAAACCTTAAATTTTGTTATTTAAACATATTAAATTATTTGCATATTCAGAGATCTAATAAAGTTTAGTAATAAACATTTTCTCTGACAATAGAAATATACCTACATATTATAGATACATATTATATTAACTATCTAATATTATAGTTCCTTTCTTTAAATGCAAAAATATTGAACTTGCACAATACAAATTTATATAGACAAAAAAATACTTGGTAGTAATTAGTCAAATAACAGTACCAATTTTTTGTGCAGAATCTATATAATAAAAACATAAACATTGGACGTGTAAAAAAAACATGCAAAACTATCTATTCAAAATCACTCTTATGCATACATGTATATTGTACCTACATATATCGCGATATACAGGTACATGAATCTTATATTATAAATTATATATGTTTCATGTACCTACCCATATTATGGTATAATAATTACGAAAACATAAATTAAATTACAAATATATCTTATACAATCTACCTTGTTTAAAATTAAGGTAACTGACAACAACATACATTGCATGCATTGTACTGCTCTAAAAAAATATGCATTCTACATGCGCAATGCGATAAAGGGCAGGCTTTTTAAAAGCTACATTTCGATACACTATACCAACATACCTTTAAACAATTGGAGTACGAGCAAAAATATTTTAATAGTATTGATGGGTATCGAAACGTAGCTGGCTCCACAACATTATGCATTTTACGAACAAAAATTCAACGCACTCGTCGGCAGCTTTTAATACCGAAAGAAAATACAAGTTGAATTTCTGTGTATCGAAAGATTCGGCAGTGAATAGGAGAGTGGAGCAAGGCGACGGCGGCGCGGCGAGGTGAGGCGAGATGCGCGGGGAATGCAAAAGTGAGGAAATATTGTGAGATGCGAGGTTGTAGGAGGCGCTTAGTTTAGGTGCGGGTCGCAAGGAACCAGACATGAGTATGAGTACAGGGTAGTGGTCAAGGTAGAGGCGCGAGGTGGGTGTGCGCATGTGCCAGGTAGCTAGGTGTGGGTATGAGGTGGAGCGAAGTCGGATACGAGGGTGCAGGGTCGTGACGAGGTTGCGAAGTAGGCGCGAGGTCGGGTGCGAGGTTGCGAGGTGAGAGGAGAGGGGAGTGCGCGACTGGCCCGGGGCAGCACCAGAACTTGTGAGATGGCGAATGCTCTACGACTGACCTCGTGACTTGCGTCCGTAAAGCTTTAGCGCTGACGTGACGCGCTCGCTCGGGCTCTAGGTGATAAGGGACGAACGAACTAAACCTCGACACAATGTGCGAGAGCGAAATATCGAGACCGCTCGCCGGACGATCCACGATAACGAATGCAAGCTGTCGGGTGCGATAATATAAACAGATAATAAACAAAGGGCGTCTATGTGCATGCACGACCGCGCGCTTCGGCGCTCGCCGCACTCGGGAGAACTAATACAACGCTAACAACGGCTAAAAACAATCGGTAAGCCTCAAAACTACAAGTAAAGCCCTACGACCTCGAACGATCATCGCTAATAGCGTGTCTCACGGTAACCGTGACAGAGATCATAAAGGTCGTAAAGGTCGCCATTACTAGTGTATGAACCACTGTGTACCTCGAAATCCTTTAGCGCAGCGGGTTCGGCGTGTCCGGAAAGAGTAGAACAGACAAAAAGAAGATATTAGTAGAGGGCGGCCGAGCGCGTGTCAAGGACCATCTCAAAAGTTCCTAGCGGAGCGTTGCTCCGGCACTGGCGCCCACACACTCCAGCGGTATACGGGTATGGCAGACAAATAGCACATGCACAAATTATATGGATTAGATATACGTAAATCGGATAGACAACGGTTACCTTAAAAGTAAAAAAACTAAGCTATTACATCGAATTAGTAATAGAAAGATATGAAAGGGCAAAAATACTGGATTTTAATTCGACTTAAGCTATACTTGATAATTAGAATTATTAGAAAATTATATATATATATATATATATATATATATATATATATATATATATATACGTAAAGGATAAAATATTATAAAAAATATTAAATAGGAATCTTTGAGTGGTCCTTGCATACGGGTTTAAGTTTAATATTAGTATTATATTAAAAAGGTCTTGTAAACCAATTCGTGAGATTACATTATATTTGGGGGATGAGTCAGGCAGCTTGTTGAGTCATGCCGTGGTACGAGTAATATTATAGCGGAAGTAATTCGACAATATGTCATTTAGTGCGAGCATCCCCTGCTTGTAGTGATATATTTAGGTTTTCAATGTCATCGTCGGATGAGAAGCTTCGTAAATGTATAACAATGCGCTAACGGCACCGATACAATACTGAGACAATAAAGCGTTGGCCGGCTCGGGATCAAATCGGTCCGCGCCGACGCCGTAGACTGGCGTACAGGGGCGTGCGCCTATGTACGTCACTCTACAGCTGTCGTTCAATCATAACGAGACTTTCCAAATGAAGCGAGGACACTGACAGACATCTTACCTGATCAATATAACATTATTATGAGTATACCAAAACGTCACATACGTACAGATGCACTATTGTATGAGTATTACCTTTGTGTAATATGATAAAATCTGTTTTGGTATATTATCACAATAATATAAATAAGCCGACAAAAAGTTATAAAAATACAGCGAAAGCATTGAGACATACCTTGCTGTGATGGAATAGAAGACCGACGCCTTCCATGCACACCTTAAAAATGTAATAAAAAAGTTAATACAATTTAATTTATAAATAAGTAATGAGACAATTGTCTAATCTAAATCTTAATCTAATATTGAAATATATTATTTCAAAGGCTATACCAACATTTTATTATTTATAAAGCCGATTGTTTTGAACAAAATAGGTTGCTTGTAGGTAAAACTATTGTTAGTAATCGGAACCAGTCGCCCTATTGCTAACTATGTACCATGCCTGGTTTAAATCCACGCGATCGCCCAAAAATTAACGTATTTAATTCCTGGTAAATTTCTCACAATACCATCTTTCACTATGGCCACCTAAGTAGAACTATTACAAAACTGTTTGCCTTGTACCTGTACGTCGCCAGTAAATGTATTGACCATGCGATACAATGTCTTACCTGAATAAGGCCGCCCTCGCCCGTGGCGCAATCCTGTATAGGGAACTCGCCGCCGAGCTCGGCTGCATCTTGTCGCCGCCCACTTTTCTCCATCGCCTCCTTTATGCAGTAATACAGGGCCTTGCACTGTAAAATTTAAGACAAATTCAATTTACGAATTAACTTATAACTTCAAACTTTTATATACGATAAAACTGGTAAAAAAAGAATTCAGGAGATCAGCATTCAAAATAATATAAGGTGGAATGGAATTAGCACGCCACTTTATATTAGCATCATAGATTTCGCAATAATATAATTGTAATTAAAAAAGCATTAAATAGTTTTTAATTAATACAATAATTTCTATACCTTCTTAGTATAATATTTATGTAGTTGCGTTTGACCGCCACTTTTCCTCCAAAGGCACAAAACTCTTATTTTCGGACTATAAGTCATGTTGACCAATCTCTCATACCACCACCTTTCCACGATTGTCCCTGAAAACAGTTTAATATAGATTTCTAGGTAGTGTCGCGTATTTCATGCCGCAACTAAACGCGATACCAAAGGATCTTGTGATTGGAACGCATATCCCATCTTTGTTTTTCCAAGTAGTTAAGTAAATTTCAATGTGTGAAATCTTTTTTTTAATAAATTCAACATATTGGCTGTTTTGAAAATAAAATATGTTAAAACTGTCGCTCATGAAGAAGCGTTGTACAAATAAATACAAAATACCTATTATTATTATATTTATATATATGATGGTGTCCGCAGAATACCAGCGTCTTGACACCCCGTCACGACATATGCTGAGTGGAGACCTATTTGGTACTATGAAATTAATATAAACATATATAATGTAACTTAAAATTTAAAAATTATTTTTAATATTACTATGTACCAAATAAACAATTTTCTTTCTTATCTTTTTTTCTTTTCTATTAAAAAGGTGTGGATCCCGACCCTTATTTCTTGAGGACGGGAAGCGCTCACACATAACACTATGACTTGTAGCGAACTAATATCTATGATGTAGTCACATTAAATAAAAGTTAATCAATCATGAAACGAGAACCATTACAATTATATCAAATATGAAATATGAAATACATAAAAATCAGTCTCGAATGGTTTATAATTGCTGAGAAAAATTGATGCGGCGTCATAATTTTGCGTCTCACCTTGCGTGGATCTAAGCACGAGGCCGTCGTCGCGTACTTCCATGAAGCGCAGTTCGCCGGCCGCGTCCGCCTCGTGGACCGTGAACGACGCGCGCCGCAGCAGACGCGAGCCGAGGGGTTTCAGCGAGATGTCGTTCCCGTGCTACACCGGCCACCGTGTACACAATATCAGCTGACATACTTTTGACACGATCGATCCATCGCGATCGAATGGAAATTGCATCGAATTAATGTAGGTAATAATAATAAATCAGAACACTTCAAACAGCACTATTTGGTCTAAATTAAGCATGGCTTCTTGTACCTTGGGTACTAAACAATTGATTGAAACATTTGAATGTATTATCTTGTACATACACATAGAAAACACCCAGACCAATATAAACAATTATTCACATTTTATTTGCAAATTTCGTAAGTAACGCAAATGTACAATGTAAGATAATATAAATAACTTACCAAAGTATGAACAACATCGAGCAAATGATTGACTTCCTGACTGTAGACTAGTCCGATATGACTCTTGGCGAGTAGTCTCCGCACTTTATTGCGTACTATATCAGCGTCAACACCGACCAGTACCATAGCCGCAGTCAAATTATATAGAGCAGTGGACAACAATCTGTCTTCCTCGTGCTCGAGGCGTTTCCTCTCAGTCTCACTCAAACACTTGTACCTTTCCATCATCTCATTCGCACCCTGGTCCATACCGATCATGTCTCGCTCTTGGCTGACAGCGTCCAAAAAAGCATCTTCCCAAAATTGCATTTGATTCCATAAGTTCGATTTTTCTTTGCCTAAAATAAGATAAATATAAACAATATTAGTTAACTTGCCACGTTTTAAATATAGATAAAAGTTTATAAAGAGATGTTTGTTACATATTTGGCATACAAATGACATGGTACAATGACACCTACAATATTTTTATTCACGCGGGAAAATCGGGGGTTATTATATTCAAAACATCTCATATAGAGAAGTAAATGTTATTACAACATTAGTATGTATGCAAAGATAGACAAAGAAGATCCATTTAATCACCAATGAGTCCTTGAAAGAGATATGTCCTGACGGTTTCTGGTGAGGTGAGCGGCGAGGTGGCCGGCACCCCCACTGGCGGAGGCGGCCGGTACCCGAGCGATGACTTCGATGAGAAAACGCTCGCCGCACGAGGCTTTCCTCCGCCCCCTCGACCCACCTGCGTATTAATAATGTTATATATTAGAAAAACAATTCCTGCACAATGAACTGTTTCACTTAGGTGCACCCCAAAAGTAATTAAAAGGTTAGGTGAATTACATCCTACATACATCCTTTTAATTGAAAGTTCTAACTCAGTATTACAACAAGTGAACAAACTTACTTGTCTAATGCGTTTCGTTCAGTCAAGAAAGTATTATTACATAGTGTTATAACGTGAGGTTTTTCGAAAGAAATGGGGCACAAGATGGTAGCCTGTGAACATTGACTCAGACAAAAAAGGGCATTATAGGCGTACGTAAGTTTCTAATAATAGTAAACTCATTAAATAATAGACTTGTTATTATTTTTTTAAAATGTCATATATGTAGGATATACTTACCTATATATGTAGGTATATACTTTGTTTACTCGACGAAACATATCATACGCGTACAAATTGCGACATCGTGACCGACGATACCTATCTGTAATGTAATTTGATGTATACCTCTATCCTAATCTAATAAAATAATCTGTCCTTACACAATTTTCTGTTGCTGTCACTAATTTGTTTTCTTCTCTAATGTAGTTCTATAATCGTAATTGATTATTATTGCATTACGAGTACATAATAAACGATTAGTGGTAATATCGTCATGTCATAAGTTTCTTATTTACAGAAGTTAAAGTACCGATAATATATTTGTCAACTGTTTTATGAATATAATAATGTATAGTGTGATAGCAGAAGAATATGTTTATTTTCGCTATCAAAATACTTAGACGGTAGAACGGTAGTATCGATCAAACTTATTGTTAATAAAATATATAAATGTTACTTACGTGTCTGCATTCTATTTGATATATATAATTACACCAGTTTTGTAACATTTATGAAATGCAATAAACCATGCAAACTATACATAGTCTGAGACAAATAACTTTATTCATACGGCAAAACCAAATTCCACAAATTAAATGGACTTTTGGTAGCAGAACCTCAAAGCAACTACTCGACCTCGCACAGACTATGAAGGCAACTGTTTTGAATGCATAATTTCTTAGTTATATATCATAATTCAATCTTTGGTTAATTTAAAATTGCACATTTTTATAATAGGTGTATAAAATTCAAGTAATAAAGTTGCGTTTACAGCTGTAACAGATCTAAAGCTACACAACACGCACTAGGACTTACATTGAGGAACATGACGTCAGTATCAGAGAGGTTGGACTTAAAGGAGGCGCGATGATCGAAGAGATTGGCTCGGTTGGTGGTGATAGAGCCGCTCTCGTCGGCCGAACAATCGGACGAGGGCGCCGCCTGCCACGCATACAAACACGCAAATTCCTTCGCTCAAATAACCTTCACAAACGTTAAGCGAACGTGGCACATTCTTCACTGCCCATTTTTACAGTAGACATATTGATGGATAATTTATAATAATTTAAATAATTTAAAAGAATAGCACCAAAGGGTCGTGTAACTAATTACCTTCAAAATCATCCATCACTTTATATAATATATATATATATAAGTAACACATGTCTAAATAATGACCACTATTAAATAAAATTTAATGGAGGCCATTTAAAATCATCCCTCCTGTACAAATAAATAACTTCAATAACTCATTACTCTGCTTATCTAACCAGTATTCTCATCATATGTAAATAAATATTGTTTACTTTTAATATTATATTATTTTTATTTCTATACTAACAGCGCGATTCGCCTATTTTGTGACTAGAATTTTGAAGATAATTTTAGTTTACACATGTGTTACTGTGATAATAAAAAAATACTACAAAGGAAATTATTATAGCAATATACATATAATATAAGGATGAAATTTATACATACATGCCAACGTCTTGTTGCAATAACATACACTGGCCATTATAATTATACAAAGTAAGTAATTTAGATTATTTTATTATATATAATATTAACATTACTTAAAGATTAATAAATTATTCCGTAATTAATAACAAAGTAATTAAATATTGAAATAAATAAATTTATATAAATATCAAAATAGTTGTAATACAGTTTAAATGTCAAAGCTTTGATTACATGGCATGCTCAAGAGAGTAAAGATACTGACATTTATCAATACACTTACAAAAATATTGTTTAGAGCAATGTTTTACTCTCAATTACATGCAACATATTACGACATGTAACGTATTTAAAATAATAAATAATGTATGTAGGTTGACACTTACGTCTGAGTCAAAGGAAGTAAGTTTGCTGAATAGAAAATTCCTCTTTTGATTTAACATGTCCTTGAACATTTCGGTTGTACTCTGCGCCTCGGTGGAATCCATGTCAGGGTAGTTAACAATCGGTATATCTAGTGGCACAAAAAAGTAAGGATTACTAAAGTACCTATCTAATATAGGTGTCAGTTCTGCACTGGGTATGCAGTGCTTAGTTAAGATAAATCTTGCATATGTAAATAGTAGTTGCGCAGTGGTCGAAATTGAAACATAATTAATTTAACATTCAGAAATACTATAGACAAATAATATTAATTTATTCTCAATTTGAACAAAGACTAACAATAAAAAGAATATTATATATGCGTGTGTGTGTCAAATATATGGAAGTGTGTGCACACGTACTGCCACGTTTTTGACACAGTACCTGGGATTATAGAAGTAAGTGTTATACAACAGAACCTTAATAATAATATATAATTGTGTTTTTTGTGAAGATATACTTATTTGTTTTTTTCTATAATGTATAAGATATACATATATAATGTATAAGTTCTGGAGATAGGCCTAAATATATAGGTAAGTCAATAATACCTACGTAAATGTTTACTGAAAGTATACCTAAAAAATTGTATGGACATATAATAATACCGTGATTATTAAATAATAATAATTTATCATGTAATGCATCAGTTGTAAATTCTAATTCCATTCCGTTCACAATAATGTTGAAATTTAAAATTTGAACAAATGATTATCTAATTTTGACCACAAAGCGTCCAGTAGTTAGTATAGGTGTGAATTAGATTAGACAAGTACCTGGCTGCGAGCTCTTCCTGGAGGAGGGCGAGGAGGAGGGCGTGTCGAGGTCGTGGCGGAAGTCGAGGAGCGCTGCGCCGGCGCCGTCGAGCGCGGCCAGTTCCTTGCTCCAGTAGTGCGTGTGCGCCATCTCCGCCAGCTGGAACACCGATGCCATGCCGCCCAGACCGAAGTTCGAGTACGTGTGCTCCAGCCCGTGCACCACCGCCTGCAGCACCTTCAGCATGCCCTTCCACACCGGCTTGCTTATGAACTGCAATTCAACAAAAACTATCAATATCTGCATAGTCCGCCATGGTCCACGATGATTAATTTGCTTCGTATTTAGTTAGGATTTGGTCGCAGTGAACACATTATATTAAAAAATGTTCATGTACTTATATACTTCTATAAATTACAAATATGGGAAAATTAGACTAAATTATTATATGTATAAAATATATAATTATGTGCATTTTGCATACTATCCTTCGTGTCATGATAAATTTCTATTGAACAAAGAACCTTTTAATATTTATCATTAAATATCTTAAACGAAGACCAGCGATATACTGAAATATATGTAGAGTTTATGCATAGCCAACATTGAATTACTAACCACATCATCGACCTTGTCACATGGTGTAGCTTTTCTGTTGAAGTTTCTATTTAGTTTACTGAGCACCATGTTTCTATAAGACTCGTCCTCCATCAGTTTCTTCAGTCGATTTAGTTTCAACCAGCCGACACCTTCTCCTTCCAAAACATGCTGCACGAGCTGTTAAAAATATATTTGTTCAAAATATGGACTTCATTTTTCAGGGTAGGTAGATAATTTAATTTACATTATTGAGTAGGATCCATCAATACATTCATACCCACCCACGAACATATGCTCACAACTGCACGCACACACATTACTATCTAGAGATAGTAATGTAGTAGTATCATTTTTGAATATTTTCATATATAGATTGTCTATCTCGAAATTGTGTTTTTAAAAATATATACCTACTTAGTTGTACTTTATTTTTGTTTAAATGTTATTGTATACCTCGCCCTGGAGGCGCAAATAACTGCAGTACAGTTGTCGTATAAACTAATGTAGTCTACATTAGCATGCTAATGTAATAACGTTGATCGGGTTCAAATAAATCGTTTTATATATCGGTAGTGTGTGTCGGAGCTACGCACGTCGTTGAGGAAGGCCTGGTTCTCTGTGTTGGCGGCGGGGCGCGCGTGCGGGGGGTCGGCCGGCGGCGGCGCGGCGTGCCGCACCAGGGGCGACCGCGCCACCAGCCCGCGAGCGCCCTGCGCACGTTATACTAACTATATATTTAAAATATTATCAAACTGTGACAATTTATATTTTTTGCCGACTCTCTGATGAAGGTATAAATGCAACAGGTAATTCTAGAGACGGTGGTAAGCTCGCCCCCTATATTGGATTCAAATAGACGAAGTAAAATGTGGACATATCGAGTGTTGCAGTTACCATAATTGACTCTATCCTAAATTATCCACTTTATCATAAATCGGTTTTTAATTTCTTCACAAACTTTTTTTTTATACAGCGGATAAAAAAATAAGACCAAGAACACGATTTTTCCATTATGTCTTTAACAACGATTATAGCCCACGAAAAATGGAATGGAAATATTCTTTATTCAAAGAAACTTAATATAAGCACTTTTAAATAGTCACATCTTTTTTATACACTCATACGGAACCCAGAAACATCACAAGAACAAGCAAGAAACTCGTGTGTTGCTTTTGAGGTTGGCCACTTGTCAATATTTAAGACAAAAAATCAAATTGTTGAAGATAAATCTGTTTCTGTACCGATGTTTATGCTATTAAAACAATAGATTTACAATCAATATTTATACAGAATATTGAACGGCTTACCTGCGAGAACGGACCGAACGTGGCCGCCAGCGCCGCACCCCCTCCGCCCCCGCCGACCCCCGCGCCGCTCCCCGCGCCCCCCGCACCGCCGCCGCCGCTCGTCGGTTGCTTGCCTGTACACAGGTTGTTACTTGTTATACCCGTTTATTTTTTGACTACTCTAATGCTGTTGGCCGCAGCTGGCCTATACTGCTTCATCAGACGATAGGGGGCGTGTACAGATGGCACTCCAAACCTGCGGACTTATGGATCGGCTGAAGGCCAACTCCTAGGCTAGGGTTCGAACCTAGGCTCAGGCCCTCGTAATTGCGATTCCCGTTTGAATTGGACGAGGGATAGATCGAAGTGATGTGGAGATAATTCCGCAGTATAATATGGTTGAAGTCGTCGTCTTCGCCGGCGAGGACTGTATCGTGTGTGTGTGTGTTTGTGAAAACGTGGTAGGGACAAAACGGCATCACACCCCGTGTGATTTATACTAATATTTCACCCGCAACTGATGCTATTGTAATTTTTTATATTTGATACCCCGTATCTATGCCACATATCATTATTGAAATAAAGTATATAACTATACAAATAATAGGGAATTACCTAAAATTTATAATTTAACAACTAATAAGCTGCTCAAACATTTTTATTATCTTAAGAAATCTAACGATACAATGTATTAACAAACCTTTGGAACCAAAGAAGTCACTGAACATACTAGAAGTAGACGCAGCAAGCCCGTTTAAATCTGAACTGATGTTGGAAAAAAAGTCTCGATGTGTTGCTGCAAGCAAATTCGTAGTTTGTAATGCAGTAGAATCACGACGCGCATTTGGTCCGCCCGGTGACTCTTGACTTTCTCCCTGTGAACAATAAATAAATATACTGAGGATACCGTGCTATTTCAAGAAATACATAATACTGTCATTCGTAGCATTTACTTTATTTTGAAATAATCAGGAATATCTAACATTATCATTAAAATAGGAAATACGTTCCTATGTAAATAGAGAAGTTTTCATTTTGGGAAATTGGAAGGAAGCATTAACATTATTAATATTAACAACACCTATAGAATAATCAAGTGATAAATATTAGACGCATAAAGGAACACAAACATTTTATCATGCTCAATACATCGATATGTTTATGCACATTAAGTAGGTATCGTACAAACCTTGATCAACAGTCCTTTCTTAGCAGCAGCTTCCTTAGCGCTCTTCGTTAGATCACCAAATGTAGATTTGCTCACGTAAGTAAGATCTTCGAACGTGTTTTTACTAACAGCGGTAGCAGTCTTACTTGCTTCTAATGCAGTTTTAGATGCTTCCTGCATACTCTTTGACGCTTCTTCAGCGGCCTTCTTGGCGTGAAGGGTTAACTATAAAAAAACACACTTAGTTTTGTAACTCAAACTATTTCATACAATTTACAGATTTTTTTATACTACTGTGGCAAACAAGTATACGGCCCTTCTGATGGTAAATGTTTACCGTAGCCTATGGACGTCTGAGACGCCGCGATTGCTAGTATTATAGTTCATTTATGAAAAGTATAAACCAATTATTAATTTTAAGAGTCTTTTTCTTTACTATATAATGCGAATGGATTATTGCATCTATCTATTTTATATCATGCCTTTAACTGAAATTCTTAATTTTAGGGAACGTGCCAAAATAAATAATCGTTGATATTTCTATATTTCTAGCGCAAGATATACTATTCTAATTTAATAAAATTTTCGTATTGTACATTCATTCATGTAATATGCTCAAGAATTATATTTTAAAGGCCTTTACCATTACCGTTATCTTGATATTTTTTGTCATAAGCCAATTAAATTCTGTAATATGATTTCAAAATTGAATACAATAGCTTTTAAATGGTAAAGCATAATTTAATAAATAGCACCTATTTAGAGCAAGCAAAAGCAATATACATAATTAATTATAAGTAATGTCCAATCGGTGGCATGTGATGCTGAACAATTCTTGTCATGTGCAAATTGCAATAAAAACACTGGTAGTCGTTTTGTGACACTAGATCTCATACATACCTTCTGATTACACATGGTGAAAATTTTATTAATAACTACTTATTAACTCAAGTTAAGCCAAAACGAAATAAGTCAACTACAAAACTATAATACTATAAATTAATTCTACTAGATCTTGATGCGTGATCACTCTGTGTTCAATACCTGACCAAAAGGCGCAAATATTTTCTTTTCTTCTCCGTCTGCCACTTTTCCTTTCTTCACAATTTGGTATAAATAAAGTAATATTACGTTTAATTAAAATACACTTATATATTTATAAATTAAAGTAAAATATAGTAAATATATATTTAACAATAACAAAGCAATAAATAATACACCACATTGACCATTATTAAACAAACAGCTAATAAATTTACCTTATCCATATGTGCGAGTATCCCCTCCTGGCTACTCTGCCGTGTGGTCTCCCTTACTAATTCCTTGGCCTGAGCCGCAAATTGTTCCAGTAAAGAAGTTTGTGACGCTTGTCGGGATACACCACTACTGATACTCTGCAAACAATATGAAAAGTGTACTGCATGAATATCGTTGTATATTAGCAATTTAAAATATTTAAAAGGGTTCATACTGAAAAGGTGAAATGCTGCATTATTAATTAATTATAATAAAATATTAGATAATAAATTATTTCAAAAACTCCTCGTGAAATAAAAAATATAAATGTTATAATTGTATTTTCTTTTGAAATCTCTAAACGTTGTACGTATAAACCTTGCTCTTGAATTACTCTATTGGTAAAAATAAATTTTAAAGTAGTTTAGTAAGTTGCATAATTTAAAACATATAGATTTTAAATGGCATATGACTTGATAGGAATAAAAAAGAGATCCTTCTTATATAATGCATGATTTTTAATTGATTTTTCGTTCAGAAAGCTTGAACAATAATATTTTAATATGTAAATAACTTCAACAACTAATATACATAGTAAAAACAAAGCATTTTAGTGATTTTAAAAATGAACATAAAGAGATATTGGGGCAATAAGTACATTTTGTGTGATAAGTACATAGGTAGTGATTAAACCATTTACTACTTTCGGTATACAAGTTATACGATAAAAAATTAAACACGCCTGGATACTGATCGAAATATACTATCTTATGACGTGCGTATTATTGGAAGCGTGGAGTTAAACACATATAAAACGTGACATATGCAATGTAGAAATGAAGTGACTTAGTGCAGAGAATAATAGTAATAACCCTGTAACCCTTGACAATTCACACGGCGTTATCTAGTACCAACGTATTGAGAACTTATGTTTTGGTTGTGTTATGGGACAACTGATACAATAGTTAGATATATTTTATATACATAATAATGACTCCCAGGCCGTTACAAACAATTAAGCTCATAAATACAAATGTTTGCACGGTGCGAGGAATCCAACCCGCAGCCATCGGAAGTAATGCGCTAGATCACCGCGGCCGTCAATGATCGTAGTCCCCAGTGGTTATAGCAACGGACCTTTACGTGCGAGTGGTGGTGGGCAGAGGCGGAAGCGGAGGCGGAGGCGGGGGCGGAGGCGGAGATGGAGGCGAGCGAGGCGTGCGAGGGCGTGAGCGCGCGCTCCGAGTCGCTGGTGCTGGCGCTGTCGGCGGCCGCGCGCTGCCGGCTCACCACCGTCTTCGGCGTCGTCGTCGAGTTCGAGTCCGACTCCCGCCCGAAACTGCCACTGTCTGTGTCCTAAGTGTATACCACCATTTTTTTATGGATGACAATGGAATGATGCCAGGATCGGACTAAGCCCTTGGCAAACAAGACACATGCCAAGAGTGCGTAATTTTTGGGGTCTGAAAATTAGGTTTTAAATTTTTATTATTGTTATCATTATTTTTTATATCAATAAGTCAATTTACATTCCCCGAGCGTTTGATTACATTCTAAACTAAGTAAGCCTTATAGCATATGTTATCTGTGATTATAATGTGCATTAAAACCCACACAAAACGAAATGGCTATTGCCTACTATGAGTGCGATGGCAAGGCGTGAAGCTGTACACGTTACTGTGACGAATAAGCTATATATAGACATAATAAATAGTTTATGTTACGTCTAGATATCGCTATAGTTTGATAAGTATACTAGCTATATATAATAGGTTTCCATAGGGATGAGACGAGCGTAACCTTACTCGACTGAATAAAGATTCGGCATTCAAGTCAATTTCTCAATTTTTATTTTCCAAAGACGTACAAGATTTATAAATTATATTATCAATAACTCTATAATTATGTCTTTGCTGTCTAGTTAGATGTCCTCCATTTGGTAATAGTAATTAATTATTAGAAACCGGCGCTAAAGCACTCACATTGAAGAATGAGGGAATGCGCGAACTTACGGCGCGCGCCGTCTCTCTCGTTTTGTCTACATTTACATACACATTATTTCCTGAGTGAAAGCTGATTCTTGCGTGAAAGAGTGTACGTGTAAGGACAGCTATTGTCTTTTGTGGGCACGCAGTTAGACTTACGCTCTTTTTAACTGGCAGCGGATGGGTAGGGTCAGCCGCACGGTGGTCTCGCGCAGGTGGCTCGTCGTCGGAGAGGTCGCTGCGCTCCGAGCTGGACGGTGACGGCGACGGCGACGTCGACGTCCGCCCCGCCCCTTCACCGTCCCCGCGCTCGTCTGCCGCCCCTGGTCCTTCGCCGAATAATAATGACGACGGTGGACTGTACACCTGGAATACACAAATTATAAGCTGGCTGCAACTATAATATTATAAAAAGGTGTAGCTCGTGAGTTCGGAATAATCTCCAAAACTATGCTTTTTTGGAAATTCTTTTAGTGTTTTAGTTATTTATCGAGAAAGGTTATAGACTTTCTATGGTATGTATAAGATCATGTTACGTCCGTTAGGAGCAGAACTGCAATGAAATGTGTTGCAAAACGGGAAAATGATAACGCAGACAAAAAGCCGACCAGCCGTCAGCTAGTATATACCTATACCCTAAATTTGTTTGATGCTTATTAGGCAATTTTCCATGGACTGCGTAATACATCTTACGCAGTACAATAGTAACGGCCAATAGTCATTTTTTGATTTGTAGTACACCCAAATATAAAAAAATGCCTACAATTTTTCTGAAGTTAAAAAAACTCAGTCGATATAGTTACTTACAGTTTTTGGATCCAATGATGATGACAGCGTCATAGGAACTTGTACCACAGCGCTATATGTTTCTCCAACGACATGTTGTTGATGATTACCACCTAACAACAAAACAGAGGTATTAATCTGATATAATTTAGGGAAAACAAAGGATAATTCAATTTATATTAAATATCACATACCAGGTGATAAGTCAGATGAAACCATTTCTGAAACGAAGTCACTTAGTGAAGAGTAGGAAGAACTTGTGCTTTCAGCGGCTTCCGAATCTGAACCGCTTTCGTCTGTAAATATTATATTTTTATTTTAGCCTTGAACAGCCTAGCCTTTACGAAGTGCAATGGTAATTTTACATCACAAATTAATACAATGATGATTATGACTCACCGGTTGGTTGGTTCTCATGTCGTTGTAACTGCCTTAAAGCACCATTCAATGAACTGCCGTCGTCCCAGACGGCGAACCGAATGGGCTGCAGGGTGTCGGCGAACCACTTGGGCTTGTCGCCGATTTGTCGGGGATCAAACACGCCCGTCTGCACGCGCAGGAACGCAACGTTGCACGGCGTCAGTGACCACTCCGCTAGGAACTCTACCGCCTTAACATTGTACGAAATACAGTTATATGTTTTGTAATAATAAAACTATACAATATGAGGAGGACTTTTCTGAACTGACATCAAAAATCATTTCTGAAACGATAAACAGTTTACAGTCTATCTGATGGTGTGTGGTCACGTCACTTATGGACATATTACAAGTCATGAGTTGCTATTCTAGGTTCTAACTCCGACAGTATTTATATATATATATACGAATAAACTATATAATGAGTCTTTTGTAACCGATTGAGAATAATCTCGTGTCACACATACAAAAAATCTATAGAAATTTTGGTACTCACATAAAAACAGTAACACAAAGTTAAATATACAGAATACTCATGTCATTTAATATAATTTGTTTGAAATGATATTTACCTGCGTTCTAGCAAACTTGTTTAGAAATGACGTTGTTCTAGGGCGAGAACGTAGGAAACTGTTGATTTGGAAGGCGACTACAGGCCGCGGGTACAGCCGCAGCGTGCGCGTGTGCTCCATGAAATTAGCCAGAATATTTTGCGAGTTGAAGAAACGGACCTGTCACAAACATATTAATCACATATTAGTTCTTTTAACTAAAATTGCTTCGATAATAGCTTAGATAGATATCGGATTGCAAATATTGTAAACAAATAGCAATATATGAAGATTTTTTTAAAGTTATAATGTAGCGATTGCTAGATTGTGATATAATAACGTACATTTGCCAATAGAGATAGTTTATATCCCATCTTTACGGGCATCTTCTATGTACGTACATCTACGTACTTCTACGCACTTCATCTGTAAGAGAGAACGATGACACGGGCCGTCGGTACTCACCATGGCGACTCTGGTGGCGACATCGACCGAGTCGACGTCGTTGCCGTATATGAGCGGGTTGAACGGTTGCGGTTGGTGGGGCTGCGGGGACGCGAGCGAGAGTCGCTGGGGAGTGTGTCCGGCGGAGGCCGCGCCCACCGACACGCGGCGGCTCTCCGGCGTGCTGTGCGGGGCTGAATGCGCGCCCTCGCCTCCGGACCCGGTACGCAGCGACGCGGGCTGAACCCTGCGTACGCATACCCATTAGATGCCATTACACGTACGCTCATTCACGCGCTAATCGGCTCTCAAACAGAAAAGAATGGGTATGTAAATGTAGACAAAGACAACGAACGAGACCGCCGCACATTCCTGCATTCTTTAATCGTGAGTAGTTTAGTGTCTTTTTCTAATAATGAACTATCATTTCATAATGGAAGAGATCTGACTATACAGCAAATAATCTTATGGATTGAATAAGGCGGTTACAATAGGTATAGACGATTATTTGTATTAAAACTTACTTGAGTGTTGCTCCGCCCACACTGTCTCGCCTCGATGGCATCAATAGTGCGGTCGCTTGTTCCGCAGTACTATTCGTCAGACTGCTCAAAGCCTAATATGCAATAAAAATAATTGATTTATTGAAGCTCTAATAGAAACATAGAGATTGATGAGTATTTTATACATATAAATGAAATGACGCCATATTTTAGTTTACATGTTTCTTACCACAACAAATATGCTATTATACAAATATAATGAATAGATCCCATGATATTCCAGTTTTCCTCTATTTACAATATTGACGTTTATTTTCCTACAATAAAAAAGATAACCGATATAATACACTCCTTTAAGTTATTATATTTATTTCAATATGCGTTATTTCATTTAGGTGTAATATAAAAAGCGTCATAATTATAAAAATTACCTACATGTTATAAATTTCAAAATAAATTATTGCGTTATTATTTATTATAGTTATGCACGATCCTTAATAGCGTAGCATTTATTAGCTAAATCAGTAAATTACGGTATTTATAAGGCTATGTGTATACTGGCTTAAAATTGATCAATAACCGAGATTGTAGCTCAAAATAACAAACTAATTTTCTCTGCGTTTTACTTATTGCGATTAAAACTAATTGGAAATATATTTATTCAAAGGCAAAATGCGCTACGTTTAAAAATATAATTAATTATACACATAACATAAAAGCATAACCTCACTACTTATAAACATATTTCTTACCTTCAAACATACTTAATATTAATATATATATACATATTATAATATACCAAACAGCACTCTCACAACAGTTATTTAACCAAACCATGCCGAATACCGCAGTATCTTGATATTTGACTGAAATTGTGTTATGTATGCCTACGTACCTACCTACATCGAGATGAGTGGTACCAATAGTAAAAAAAAGTCCACATCCAAGCAACACTTTATACTAAGAAAATGTGAAGTGTATGTTAAGTTAGTAATTAACACTTATTTCAGTCAAAATTGAACCAACTTTTAAAATATTTTGTTATTATTTGTTTAACTATACAACTACATTTAGGATACGTAACTTATGATATACCTAATATTATAAAAAAAAAGAGATAACAAACTTCTTTTCTTAACAATATTATTAGACAAAACGATTTTAAATGATGGTTCTTAATTATTATATTCATTGGCACAAATTCATTAATTGAGTGAAGTAAATTCAAAGTGTGCATATGTAAAAAGAGTAGTAATATTTACACCAGCTCCGGCACTTCCCATTAGTTGCATGGCCTAGCGATGAAGAGAGAAGTGAGGGCGTATGTTAGTGGATCAAAAATCTTTTCCAATAATCAATTGTATAAGTGTAGAAGAATTAAAAGGTCAAGATAAATAAAAGTGTAACTACGTGAAGTTAGTAACATTACATTTTTATAACGAACAATGTAATTACTTAACTAAAGTGTACAGAAGGGTTCAGAAAGAAAATTATTAGCCTATGAAAAAAATGCTTAAAAAGTATGTATTGTGAAGGTGAAAATATAGGTGATTTATTTGTCTTGACCTGTAAGCTGACACGTTAGTTGCCTGCCACGTAGCACAATTTCTTTGTATTAGAGATGCATACACTTGACACAGCTGCTTAGCGACATCGAGAACAATGCGCTCACGAGTGCAAATATCAGAGAAAGAGAAGTGATAAATATTATAATGTTTAAGAAAAATATATAATTAACTGTTAAAACATAAAAATGTTGTGTACCTGTTTTAAATGGTTTTTTAGTACTGACCCCTCTGGTTCGGGCAGAGGGGGTAAGTCTTGATCGTTGCCCGTAGGACTTATAAGTTTTGTGGCGTCTAAATCGACAAGCCATATGTCGTCTGGTAGTCTGTAAATATGGGGTTGTTGTGGTTATATTAGTGTTTTTTAACAAAACAGATAACAGTTATATATCAGTAAATTATTTCATGCCTATAATAAGTACTTATTATATATATAAATTCATATTTAGTGCTTACCTAAAATTCTTTTTGTATGTAAGAAATGTAGCAGGGATTCCTATTAGGAATGGAGTGGGTGCCAGAAGCAGTTGCTCCGCGCAGCTCATACAACTGGGCAGCAAGGGTATAGCAGGGAACATATATTCAAGCGGGTACAGCATCGCAACGAGCGCCATTACAGACATCGAGAGTGCATTGTAGTCGCGTGATTGAACCACCACTTTGTTTTCTAACAGGATCAAAGTCAGCACTTTCAGACATGTGTCCACACCTGTTAAAAATAATTTTGATGCAATTATTTTACATATATATAAAAGAATATTTTACATACATATAATAAGCAAAATTTAATAACAACAGGTTTAATTAACAATTGTTACGAAATTATGACTTATTTAATATAATTTTAAAAATAAGCTGCTTGCCTAAAAGTTCCAAAGGTAAATGTAGGGGAAAATCAACCAGTGCAAAACGAGTATGATCAGGTAATGCGAATAACAGCGGTGCATGTGCAGTAGGAGACAGAACTTCGAGCTCGATCCTAGTTTTCCCTGGCACAGGCACCGGCGCAGAAAGGAGACGGAGGATCCATGTCTCTATCTCTTTCACATCATGTAGGACAATAGTCGGCGTGTTGTCATAAGCTTGGCCCGTCAGTACTGACCAAACAGTATCCCTGGACACAAAAGAAAATAAAATATAGAAACAAATATATAAGAAATAATAATAATTTAGACAAAAAAAATAGACTATTTTCAATAATTTTGTCAAAATTGATATGAGGCCAACTCAATCGCAAGTAGTTTTGAATTGAAAACAATAAAGGTAAAATAATAAAAATCGAGAAATCGATATTAGAAGTGTTGCGTAGCTTAGATACAAAAACTAAAATCAAAAAGCTTACGCAAAGAACTTACCTAAATATTTGTCTGGACGCCCCAACACGTCGTGGACTGGAAGACTCGTTGCATGCATCTATTAATTTTTTAAGGATAAATAGGCACTCTCGGAATGTGGAGAAGAATGGATGATGTGATAGTAGACATAACGATGTTAGCGAATGATTTCTAATTCTCTGTAACAAACAAAATATTTATATGAAATATACCGTAATACTTCTCTAATCACAGGGTAGATACAGAGAACCGAGTACCAAATTACTCTTCCTACACACTTCTCTTACATCACTTTCATAACTTGCCTCTAGGTTTATTCCATGATATGTCTTAATGATCAGTCCCACAAAAGACCTATACACTGTTTCTAAACTTTAGAACTGGAGGAATGTATGTATATAATAATAATAATAATAAGCATAACCAGCAAAAGCTGAGGAAAAAAAATAAAATAAAGAATAATAATAATAATGCTGGACAATCCACACTTAAGTAGAGCTTGTGTTATGAGTAGTAGATAACTGACATAAAACTTATATAATTTATTTTGTCTATACATACATAATATACTTAGAAAATATCCAGACCAAAACAAACAATCATAGTGAGTGAATACAAAGTCTGCACCGTGCGAAGAATCTAACCCGCGACCATCGAAAATTAAGGCGAAGAGTTATCACCTCTAGGCCGAGGCCCGTATTACATATATGTAGGTATACATATTATAAGGTACCTGGGTCGAATATGACCAGCCTGAAAATATGGCAATACCCCTACAGGACCAAAACTATGGCGCCATTTACAACTTTATTTATATACGTTAAAACCTATATATGTATACACTGTTGGAAATATGGCCATTTACCCAACTTTTAAAAAAATTAACACAAATCCTAACCTATCCGTTTCTAGGTTTTTCCGTGCCCGCGATATATTACCTAAATAAATACGTTATCAAATAAATATTTATTTGTATCTTTTCATTGTTATAAAATACGTTATTTCTAGTGTCAAACCTTAACGTGGCCATATTCGACCCAGGTACCTTATATCATATAGATGTACTGTCTACCTATTGAATAGAAAAGTACAGACGCTAAGAAATCTGCACATTTGCATCTGAACGACTTAAGAAACAATTTATTCATATAAACTTAATTTAAGCACTTTTGAATGAGCGGTAAATTAAAAGAATCATAACATATTTTTTAAATCTACCGCTCATTCGGAAAGTTGTCTCATCAGAAGAAGATTGAGCAAGAAACTTGCGTGTTGCTCTTTTAAATAATCATTGTAATTTTAAATTTCCAGTTCGAAACGTGCGAATACAAACCACTAACTAGCACCAATTTATTATCTTCACATAAAGTACACAATAGGATTAAAACAGTCGTAGTGATTAGAACAGACCAGTCCCTACAAGCAGCACTTGTTCACGAGTATGACGTATGAGCCAACCATCACTGTGCTCAACCATATTTTAGGGAGCCCAATGACCCGGCCCATAACGCCGCCACATGTCTGGACATTTTAGTGAGCATGACTACCTACTCAATCCACTCCACCACGTCTTAACTACTAAAAATTACCATATGGTAGTTGTATAGTATAGTATTTGCACTTTACATAAGAATGCATGCGACAATTAATATACAGATGCTACGCTATTATCGCTATATATTAAGAAAACAATTATTATCATTATTTCAAGAAAGCAAAAAAACAAAATTCGATACGTAATAAATTTTATTATACAAACGGTTCAGTAATTTTTGGGTGAAAGAGCAAAAGTTTAGAAAAAATAAAATTTTCGCATTAATAAAAATAATTTAATTCAGACTGCAATAAATTATTTTTATTATTATATATACCATATTGGCGATGACGAGTCTTTAGTCCAGTTACCTGCCGCTTTCTGGTGGCTCGCGGACTGGGCGAATGCGAGCCGCCGCTCTCGGAGTCTTGAGCGGCGGCAAGACGAGGGCCCAATGTCGCGCTACAGTCGCGTTCGGAGTCACTCGGCGCTACGTTGCTGCTCCTATAGTCACTGGAACATTCGCTATGTCTTAGTCAGAAGTCGCAACACTGTTCCGACGTCATCATTACAAACATTACATTCAAATGATGCTCTAACGAAGTAATTATAATTACATTCAATAATTCATAAAAGTATAAATTACATTGCAAACCGGTAATCACGATACATTGAAAATGTATCGAATAGATCAGTGGTTCCCAATTAGGTTTTGCTGCGTGCCACTTCAAAAAAGACCTCAAACCTTGCGTACTCCTTATTGTAGCAATTACACTAATATTATAAATGTGAAAGTTTGTTAGTGTGTGTGTTTGTTTCACTGATAGCTGCACGTACCCTTTGATGCAATTTCGATTACCACTAATTGGGAAACACCGGAATAGATCATATATGATGTTGAGTGTGTATACAATGATTGTCTCTTAAAGTTTAATGTAAAGAACCTTAGAGATTTAAAATAAGCTTAAATTTTGCTTTCTATTAAAGCAAATTTTGCAAAAATCGTCTGTCTGGGTACTTCGTCTTTACTGTACTTCGGAATGGCAACGCAAGAATGTTACTACGTTTCAGTACAACGTGATGTCCGTGGTGCTGTTCATGTATATAGGCAATATAAATTACCTCTTACCATCATGTGAGTTTTTAGCTCGTTGGTTTTCTGGTTACATAAAAAAAGCAACTTTCTCAAAGAAACCTCCTGAAAGGTGATACAGAAGCTTTCTCCTAAATTTGATTGATTGGTTTCCTAATAATATTATTAATAGAAGTAATTAATGGTCACCTGGAGAATGCTGAGTCGGAACTTTTTTCCATGGACTTACGCCAGGACTCCCGACGTAGCATCCTGTTTTCGCGCGGGCCCGGCGCCGGCGCTCGTTCCACCGCGCGGTAGAAATTAACGCAGATGCCATAACGCGTTTTCCCTGTCGAAAAGAAATTATTTGTTAAACGAAACTATCACTTGTTAAGCGGTAAGTTGCCGTCTGATGGTTTTCTATGAGATTTATTTCTTACCTACTTATAATTTTGTTTTTATGTAAAAGAAAATGTAACTCTTTAAAGAAAATAGCAAGTATCTATTTCTTCGTCAATAGTCATCATATTTGAAACTTGCGTTGATTTAGCAGACATCTGTTTGATTCGATTTTTGCACCTATATCAACCTTTTATCGTATTTGTTTATTACAAAAATGCACATACATATGTGATGCTAACAAACTAAAAATTATTCAGAATATCGAACCTGAATCCTTGTCTGTGAGAGTGAAGACGAAGGATGTAGTATCCCTGGTGGCGAGATGTGAGGGAGTGCGGCGTGGACCCACCGATACACAGCCCTCAGGTTGGCAAAAGTACACCATGTCCAGCGGCAGTGGAAAATCATTGTGATTTGTGAGTGGATACCGACGAAGAAGTTCCGGAGCCTGCACGTAGCAATAATATTTTAATGTTACACCGGTGTAAAATAAAAGTGTCTGAAAAATTATGATTTCGGTTTTGTGTTAAATTTAGTGAATTAGTTTCGTTAAGTTGACCGAAACTTTGTAGGTAATCGTAACTGCGAGTCAGTTTATCGGTAGCAATTTAGTTATTATTCTCAATTAGCTATTTCTTAAGACATATATTTTTTTAAATATTATAAATACCTGAACTGGAGCGAGGCCTTTGCCGGAGGTATATGGTCGTGCACCAACAATAGTTAGATAATCCACCAGCCGAGGGCATAAGTGCTGTTTCTGAATATCCATACTTCTGATATGCCAATAAGCAGGTTAGATAAATTATTATTCCAATTTTTAAGTGCAAGCGTTTTCGAATCCATGATATTTTAATAGAATATTGCTTGTCATAATTATCACGTTCTCTTATATTTCTGAAATTGAATTATTATTTTTTATTATTTTTACTGGAATTATCGCAGTTTCTACTAATTCCCATACTCTGTACATAGGAGAGTTAGTACTCGATGCGCGAGTCCTACTAATCCGATCCCCATTTAACTGGTTTTTGACGCATGCTAAAATAACTAAAGGTACGTCACTATATGTGAATACAAGGTACATTTCAAGAAAATATTATTATTCATATGCATTTATGTTATTTACATAGCAATTGATCAGAGAATCCTAATACAATTCCTAAACTCAGCACGAAGGATATTCTATTAACAAAAAATCGTTTCGTATCACTGTTACGGATCTTAGCCCCCTTGACCCATTTATTACTTTGACCTATATTCAGGGATACAACCTACACTCCCCAATGCAATTACAGTCTTAGGTGGGTGCTGTATATCATGCGGGCGTATAAACAGCAGGTGGTGTTTCATTATACCTAAGCCAGTAATGTCATAAAACCCATTTATGAGTAATTTTATTTCACATAAAGTTTTTTTAATGTTAGTGTTCAGTAGTAAAGAACATACGGTAATGCTGTGTCGATTTATAGTAAATACGTAAAGGTGTTCAAGTTGATCAAAAACCGATCAAATTGGTAGCAGTAAACAGAATCAGATTGTACATTATGTACTTCACACTAGCTAAATTTTACTACATATCGTACTGGTTAAACAGTTAGGTAAATTATAAAGGTTACAGAACGGGTCTAATTCTTTCTAAGCTGCAAGTTAAGTAATTATTTCGTTAATTAAGGTTTAAGAGTGCATATCTTGGATAATTATAATGTAAACTATCAATCAATAACTGTACTATACGTTTTAATTTCTACATATTAGAATCTTTTCATTTCCAACTGTCAAACTGTGAATTAACTAAGCTTACGGACACGCATTATATAAAATTCTGAACCGTCCATATATTGGTCGTTCTTGGTGGTAACTTGTATTATGACCATAATCAGACGTCTTCAAATATACTATTATATTTCAATTGACGCAAAAGTAACACCAACGCCGTACTGAGACTACAATGAAAATTATAATAGGTACTTTAAGATTAAAGCTATAGCTGTTTATTATTATTATTATTATTTATTATTATAGCCTTATTCAGATCCAACTTATACATTATTTTAAAACAAACATAAAGCTTTGAAACTTAAAACGAAATAATTATTCTATTATTTGGATCTTTTTTAATGTCTGTAGATCTGTTTGCCAATAGGCAAAGGCCTCATCCAATCGTTTCCATTCTTCTCTTTCTCGTGCCACTCTGTTCCACATTACTCCTGCCACTGTCCTAATATCATCATCCCATCTTGTGTGGGGTCTGCCTCTTTTCCTTTTTCCTTCCCTGGGATACCATCTTGTCACTTTCTTACTCTATTTATCATATCCTCTTATTATGTGACCTGCCCATCTCCATTTGAGTCTTTTAATTTTCAAATTTATATCTGTAACTTTTGTTTTATTCCGGATGATGTAGTTTTTCAGTCTGTCTGATCTCTTGACATTCAGCATACTCCTTTCCATAGCGTGTTGACAACTTGCGAGTTTACTTGTCATTTCATGACTTGTGCATGATTGGCATCCATACATAAGGACGGGTAAAATGCAGGTGTTAAATAATTTGGTTTTAATACTAATATGAAGTTTTTTATCTTTTATAACCTCTCTCATGCTCCAATATTTACTCCAGCTGTTAGTAATTCTTCTCTTTACCTCTTCATGCATCGGTTGTTCTTGAGTTATAAGCTGTCCTAAATAGATGTATTCATCAGTATAATTTATTTCAGAGTTACCTAAGAGTATCGTGTCTTTAGTTCCATTTGTCATCACTCTAGTTTTTTCTGGGTTCACTGTTAAGCCTACTTTCTTACTTTCTATGGCAAGATCTTCGATCATAGCATTAATCTCTTTAGATGTTTCAGCGAATAGTACTATGTCATCAGCGAATCTCAGATGTGTTAAAGATTCGCCGTTTACCATGATATCAAAATTTCCACTTGATTTGTCTGAAAACTGAAAATATTTTTGGAGATAGGGGGTCTCCTTGTCTAACGCCTTTGCCAACATTAAATGAATGACCTTTCTTGTCTAGCTGGATCCTGGCTGTACTATGAATATATACATTCTTTATTAATCTGATGTATTTGTGCTCAACCCCCTGTTCCGCTAATGTTTCCCATATATTTTTGTGTAGCAGAGAGTCAAATGCTTTGCTGTAGTCGACAAATGCAATATAGTATGTAAGTTGATATTCTTTGTACTTCTCTAAAATTTGACGAACTACATGGATATGGTCAATCACAGAGTAACCCTTACGAAATCCAGCCTGTTCTATCGGTTGATGTTCGTCTAGCGTTCTTTCAAGTTGTTTTAAAATGATCTTGGCGAAGATTTTGTAAATGTTTGACGGAAGGCTGATAGGGCGATAGATTCCTATTTCGAATTTATCTCCTTTCTTATACATATAACAGGATAATGTTAGATTCTGTCCATTGCTGAGGTATTATTTCAGTTTCTAATATAGTGTTAAACATATCAGTGAGGGCTGGTATTAAGATTGCCTTGTCATATATTAGGAATTCGTTACTTATGTCATCGGGACCGGTGTTTTATCTAATCTCTGGGTAACTATAGCCTTTTCTGTACAAATATACTCTCCAACCGAACAATCTGATCAAGAAACTATAAATAAATTCTACTTTAATCTAAACAATCCAGGAACACGGTCATAAAAACCTTATAATAATGCGAGACTGCAATGGTCATATAGGACAGAGACGTCCAGGAGAAGAAAAAGTACTAGGATCATACACATATAGTAGTAAAACAATAAGTAGAAGTGGAGAACAGATCATGAACTTTGCCCTAGAAAATAACCTAACCATCTTAAACACTATATTCATGAAAAATAAGAAAAATATGTGGACTTGGATCTCACCGGACAATAAAACAAAAAATCAAATCGATTTCATAGCTGTTTAGGCTGTATAATTCTGTTGCTATTTGGTTATAAAAAGAAAATAAGTTTATTCTTGAATAAAATATGGTGGAAAATACACGGAAATTTATACAGTTAACTATAAAAGTATTTTTATTCCCATCAACCTCGAACTTATTCAATAACTATATACATTGTTGCCACAATAGATTATTGTATGTCATCAAACATCGTGCCACATATTTGTATTATCGACTGACGTCACTAACGTGGGTGGGAAACATGAAGCGAAAAAGTTTGATGTAGATAGGTACTAATAAACCTACAGAAAATCATAAATGACAGACAATCATTGTGCGTGGGTAGTAACTTGTTGAGTTCAAACTTTATTTTGATCAATATATAATTAATAGGTATGACCTATCTACCCCATTTTATCGAAGACATCTGTTATTATCTGCATCTAAATTTTTTCTAGTGTATTTTAAAGATTATAATTACATTATTATTGACCTGTATGTCTAATATAATATATAATAAATTTACGGTGGAATGGATACGAAAAAATATCCGTGACTAAATAGTGTAGTGTAAACTGCAATTTCTAAAATGACATGAATAAATAATAGAATAATAATCTAAGTGATTTAAATTTACTCCAGATAATAATAGTAAAATGTTTCACCATAAGGGTAGTAAGTATGTATACCTACTTACCTACAATGTGTTTTTGCTCTGCCGAGTAGGGCGACAATGGGTTAAGAGACAGTATCACATTTTTTGCCTAATTATCAAAGTGTATTTTAGTCTAAAATGAATATTTTTTAACAACAATAAGATCTACAATGTTCAAAAAATTAAATAACCTTCCACCGAATAAATAAACATTCTTTATGTATGTGTATATCTACCTAACATTTATAATGCCATATTTGATCAGCACGGTAAATGAATTATTTCAGTATTTTTACGTAGTTAGCAATGTATGTATGTACCTTCTAAATAGATATATATAAGTGAACAATCTTAATCAAGTGAGTACGATCAAAACTATATTATTCCATCTCTCTCTCATCTATGTAGGTGGTCAGGAACCGTATTAAATACCTCCAGCAGTGTCGTAAATTGACAAAGACTAATGAAGTAAGTACCTACTTTCGAGACGTTTCGCTGTCACTTAAAGTAATGGGTCTAAAGGCTTCGCTTCCACTCCGACTGGCCTCCAAACTTCCCTTATAAATTACCTTTTAACGTGAAACATTTTCACCTAAATCACCGGTGATAAACGTAGTAGTAATTTAGTCATATACATATAATAAATACGATCGTGGTCTGTCTGTCTGTCTGTATATTTTTTGTCAATAACAACTGAGATAAGCAAACAGCTAGACGGTTTACGCATTTGGCGGTACCGTATTCCACTAAAGTTATATGTATCGGAGGAAATAAAGAGAATGAGCCTAGCAAAAACACTACTTGTTCGATTTAGATTGCTATATTTTTATCGAAGTTAAAATTTATATTTATGGGTAGAACACTGTCATTACAGCCAGTCTATATCTAGCCATCCTGACAAATACCATAATAGTGAGGTATTTTTTTAATAATATAGTGTAATACAAATTACTACGATATAACCACAAAAGCCGTTGTTTTTCAGAATTTTAACAATGTTAACATTACACCTATCTAGTACCTACAGCAGTACTAAACGACTATTGACTTACTGAAGTAGACTTTTACACAAAGGCACCGCTGTCTCACCTACTCTGTCTACCACTTTAGAGAACTAAGTTATCATACTAACCATCCACGATATCTTAGTTCTCCGAAATGATAACTCACAGGCCTACATATATAGGTCCCGGTGTATACTTAAAATCAGGGGATACTTAACGTCAGCTTAGTTGTCATTCCAATACTAAAGCAATCGTCTAGTGGACATTATGTACTCGTATATTAGCATTTTACTTAGCTATATAGTGATGGTAAAACTGTACTAACGTATCGCACCATGGTAAATTATAAAAGCGCCCATTAGCACTGCGAGGGCGACATATGTAGATACGCAAATCGTGTTCTACTTAACTAATCGCACCATGCTGGTAGTGTTGAAGCCAATGGCGTTAGAGATAACCGTGATAAGCTGCTGTGTATATGTTAAACACGTAAAAAGTATTTTTTTTATAGAGAATATTTGAAATTTATACCTATTTTTATATATTTATACATACATTATATGTATAAATGATATAATATTTTAATTTAATTTAATGTTACATGTAGACAGCCAAATGAGCAAATAATGTTAATATATAGACTTTAACCAAATCTACATAACTGATACGGATGGGAAAATATATATAAAAAATTGACTTACACAAGTGGTTACATGAAAAAAATATATATGAATTTGAATCAATATTATCATTGACATTAGGTACACATCAGAGATATTTTTATCTCCTGTATAATGTGTAATTTAATTTGAACAAATTATTACTTACTTAAACATACAGTTAAAATAATACAACGGATTTATGTTTCATTAAAGTCGCCATGAAATAAAAATACAACACAAAAATCTATACTCTTCCGTTTTACGTTTTAATTGTTATAAATTGTTCAAATATTAGCTACGGAACATTTGAAATTGTTAACGTTGTACGTAAACGTACGTAAATATGATGCAATGGCTGCTAATTCATATAAATTGAGTTAGCAGTGCTTTTAATCTCACGGTTATATAATTGAGGTACAAAATCAATTAAAGGACTACCCCGATCCGTACATCCGACAATCATACATAGATATATCTATAATAATAGTAGTCGTTGAAATTCGACGTGTTAGATTAGCCATTGTAATTTGATCTTTATATTATATTATTATCCAGTTTGATCGATTAAAATGAAATAACTTACTAAAATCCATAAGTTCTATATCCATATACATGTATATGAAATGTATACTATAATAAGGCGAACTTGAGAGCCTTCTGTAACAATTCTTTGAACAATCGGCTGTTTTAGTATATAACTCTTTTAAAAAGAAAATCCTTCCCATAGGGTGGGACCTGCCATTTTAGTATAGAAAATGCTAATTAATTACATAATTTTATTAAAACACTCATAGAAATAGGATGTAAATACTATTGTTACATACGTCAACTTGGTAGTTTAGTTCGCACTAGTAAGTGTATTAATACACATAATATCATTTGTTAAAGAATATAAAAATCACAATTTTACAGCACGTAGTAGAATTTACAATATATTTAAAAGGTTGTGCGCTTACCTTAAATTTACACGAATGCCTCCACCCGATCGTTTCTACATCATCGGTCGTCTCGCAGACGTGGGATGATATGGTACGGTTTAAGTTTTAGTAAAAGATGTGGCCGCGTAGTAATGCATATCGCGGGATGGCGGAGGCCAGTGCACAGTAGTGGCATGCGCGGCCGCCCACGTTCGATAACGCGCGCCGCCGCGGTGTTCGCCCGCCCGCCCCCACCCTCGCGCTACACAGCCCTAGGTCACGTTAAACTTACAAAATCAAGGTCACCATGTAAAAGGAACATTATTTCTACTACCTACTTTACCAAGCTAAATAGCTATAGTCTATTATTTAATGCATATTTCTATTAAATGTTTCATTTAATTAAATTATAATAACTTTCTAATACTGTACTTTCACGAATATAATATCAGATTGGGTTACCACTAGTCAACGTTGTGGTTAATACAACACAACACGTCCATTTCGTTGAGTATATTATTCAATTATATTTCTAAAAAAAATAATTGTAATGTGCACGACACATCTAGTGTAGATTTTGTAAGTATAGTAGTGTAAATATTGAACGAAACCAGCTGACGTCTCTAACCACCCCTCCAGATTTTATAGTAGTGAAAATATTATATTTATTTATGGAATAATTTTATACTATTGAAATCAATACTAACTAGATACCAATATCAATATAACTATATTATTAATACTATCAACACATATATTATGTAGTATATAAACTACCACATTTAGTTTTATGAGATATGTAAATTTCGTATATTAATGATTAAATAATAACTCTACTGTTTAATTACAAAGCATTTATTTAATACAAATAATACAAAATATTAATAACCATAAATATATTTTATTTTCCTGTATCTTCCTTGAGTGAAACAGTTCTATTAAAGACCATCTGCAACAAAACATATTAAATATTGTATATAAAAGTTATGTTACATAGATATACTTCTACATATATATTAGTATGATTACAATTTTCTTGGATTAGGACTGCAAAATTGAACTGCCTACAAATAGGTCTACGATAACCATTATTTGTAGCGGATTTTACTGAATAAATATAAATAATAAACTAAGTGTTTGCTAAAACTTGCCATACCACAAGCATTCCAATATATAAGTAAAAAGTATTTAAGATATACCAAGTATGAGTGCTGTCGTAACAACATTAATTAATTAATTATTCAATCACTTATGTCTGATAAATTAATGACAAGTACATTTATAAAGAAATCTATCAGTTAACAAATCATAAAATAAAATAGTCAAAATATATGTATTTCATTGAATTTCGCTTACATTGTTTGATGAAGTATCAGAATCAACAGAGAAGAAACCAATCCTCTCAAACTGAAACTTGTCGTAGATCTTCGCACCTTTGATAGATACATCAGCGTAAGCTTCAACCACTGTTAGTGTATCCTCACGGCAATCAGAGATGAAACCGCCAGGCACTTCATTGGGATCTTCTGGATTTTTATGTCTAAACCTATAGGATTATACTATTAATTATTATTTACATTTGATTTTGTTGTAACTGTCTAATCACAAATGTATTTTGTTTTCTAAATTTGTATTTAAATTTATAGTTCTTTTATTGTACATTCTTGTTTTGATAGTTCACTTCATATTCTGTTATGTCAGTAGTCTATCCTAATATATATTTTCTCCATATACTAAATCTTTTTTTCTCTTAGCTATATATATACAATAAAATACAATATATTTGATTGACACCAAAAGACACTTTTTTTCTGATGGAAACCTCTAGAAATTAAAAATTAACTATGAATATCACAACCATCTATCGCTCTATCCATACAGTATCCCTGCCTTGGGACTATAAAAGTATAATGCAAGATGCATTTGCCAATAATGCAGATGACAGTTTTGTGGTTGTTGCTTGACCGTTAACAACTACTATAATTGTTGCTCAACTTTACGTTTTCCTATATTGGACAATTTCATACAACTAGGAAGCCCTGCAATTCAGCCCATGTGGTAAGATGTAACCATCAATAACTTTTTTCTAATAGACATAGATACTTCAGACTAATCTATTTCAGGTGCCAAGGAACTTGCTTGTAAACTTATTTCGATTGAACGATGCAGAAATTAAGAAGATAAAGGATAAGAGACAAGATTTTAGTCCTCTGGAATGGCAACATATGATTATAAAGATATAGGCGATGGTTACGCTTACCATCGAATGGGTCGTCAGCTTTGATAAAATTAATACTATAATTATATTATTTACTTTATTGTTAAAGTTAATCATTCACTATATTAAGTAGATCCTATACATACATATCCTTTTCCAGTTATGTCATAATAAATACGTAATTTAATACTAAAGACCACTAAAGCTATATTTCGTTTTAAAATACTTACAAGGGTTCATACAGCCGCACTTCGACACTGATAGGCTCAGAAACCCAATGAATGAATGCTTTCGGTTTCTCCGCAGTTTCAGTGGTCTCTGCTGTACATTCTATTTCGATCAATTTTCCTGACTCATTTTTGATTAGATTTGACACCTGTTCAAAATTTTTAATTAAATTACATAACAAATACTTCAAGAATATTATGTAATAATAATAAATAAACCAAACAAATTTGAGATTTTCGTCAATTATAATTTGAAATTTATATCCTTTCGATTTTAAAATATATTGTTGTATGAAACTACATCAGTGTCATTCATCATTTGACGACGTGATCGTCGTCTAAACTAGCATCTAGTATTTAATGATTTAAATACTAGATGCTAGTTTATTCATTAGGTCATTAGTGAACATTTGCTACGCTAGTCAACTAGTTTAAATAAGGTTAGGCTCTGAATATTCAGGTATTAAAATAACATTGGAGGCTTAAAACTTAAGTCTTAGAATATCAAAGTTTTATAACATAATTAATATTTGTATTTATATGGTTACATCAATAATCGTATCGTGTAGCGTAACTTACCTTTAATATATAACCAGCATGTCTGAGCCCCACAGATTGTGTAGGTGTGAGGCGACGGTATCCTTTTTCCGGGTTCTCTTTGAAATCATTAGCTTCGATATATACTATTTTACTGAAAGCTACTTTATGAGACCCTTTCTCTGGTTCATTGGGGAAATCAGGAACATTTACAGTAATAGGCTCATTACTAGGGAAGTTAGTAATCTTAATTTTTAATGGTTCTAAAATTACCATAACCCTGAAACAAATATACACTTAAATCACGAATTTAAAATTATCTAAATAAACATTTACTTTTATATCACACTGGTGAAATACACAATTCAGAAGTACAGTTTAACAGACTAATATGCTTATTTAATTATTCAGTAACTTATACCTTTTGATCACCAATTATGTTCGATTTGTAGACACTTTATATACTGTGCATAGGATGGATATCATATTAAAATCAAACTATTGTAATAAAGAAATTGTTCCAAATTATATATAGTCAGTTAGAATAGTCAATTTTTTATTTTCCAAACTGTATGAAATAATTTATGTGTGGAAAATCTTTATAGAGGCCCACCGGCTTAAATGCCAGATTCTTACCATTCTATGGTATGCCAAGACCCCAAGCAAATAAAAACAATACCTAGGCGCAGTTACGTTGAGCAGGTCCCTAGTAGCAGCGTCGAGCGCGGCGGGATCGACGGCTGCGAGCGCGCCCGTGACGCCCAGTGAAGCACAGAACGCGTTGATGGCAGTAGCCGGCACACCGCGCCGACGCAGTGCCGTCAGAGTGTATAGCCGAGGATCATCCCAATCTGAATATATTATCATTACATCATCACAAAGGACGAACTACCTAACACAAATACTTCAGCATAAGATTCAAGTATTGTGAATTAAAATTAATCAAGGAGCTTGGTCAGTGTCATGTGATACCTCGTCATATATGGAAAACACATCGCCCAATAGTAGGACGACAATGGGGTACCATAATAATGATGAAAAATAATATATAAAAGCAATAATTATTTATATACCAATGCAATGAATTGCATAATCTGATTTTAAATATAATATTTGACACGAAATTATTTACACATGTTTCAAGAAAAGTTTAATCAACAAAAATACAGAATTCTTGGATTTTTCACTTGACATGTATTCTTATTATGAGATTTTATAAGGATTTAGTTTTTAACACTAAATTTGATAAAAGAAAATTAATCACCTTTGACAATTCCCTCATCAATTAATTTTGATATTTTCCTCTTTGACACTACAGTATAGTTTACATTTAGACGGCCATATTCCCATTGTACTGGACAGTAAATTCCGAGAGCATTACATAACCAATAGTACGATGACCTGTAATAAAGGAAAATTGTAACCATATAATAGTGAATACTAGAATTTTACATATATTTAATTTATACAAATGTAGGATTTATAAATATAATCTAAGTTCTTAAACACTATCCATTGTAAGGAAAAAATATATAATTGATTATATTTTACCTTCTAGATTGGAATTCCTTGGTACATAATGAGTGGGTAATATGTTCAATGCTATCACATAAGCAGTGAGTGTAGTCATAAGTAGGGTAGACACACCACTTGTTGCCAGTTCGGTGATGAGGTTTGAACCTTATTCTGTACGCCACAGGGTCCTGTTTACCTTCTTCAAGCGTAATTTTCATTCTTAATGTAGCATCACCTTCATCTATTTTGCCGTTTTTCATGTCCTTTAACAAATATTACTGGTTTATTAACTATCATACAATACCAAAGATACAAGTGTATAGTTGTTTATCATAACTAAGACAAATTGCCCTTGTTTCATTATTCAAATATCATTTATTCTCTATGACGTCTATGTGATCGCTTTCCATATCTTTATTCTTGCAGAGCTAATTACAAGCACTTCTGATCTCTGTGAGTTTTTATCCACAAGATCTGTCATGATAGAATATAGCAGCCAGATTAAAACCAGCTTAAATAGTTTTAAGAATTATTTTTGTGAATATATTATAGAATATTAGAGAACCTATCTATAATTATAGAATATATTATAGATAGGTTCTCTTTATCCACGGAACATGCCTACCACTGCACTACGGAAGTCATTAGAGAAGTATAAAATAATTTATCAATTTGATTGGTATCTCGAGTTATAGAAAATAAATATAAGCAAGTAATACTTCAAATAGCTGCAAACTCTCTTCAACTGGTCTAGTTCTCCATGGCGATGGTGGTGGGTTGAAGCCTTTGATGTCTTCAGACTTTTGGTGACAAACATAAGCCAAATCTTTTTTTATTAACTGTACAGCCCACTCATATAACTGATCAAAATAGTCAGAAGAATGGGTGATTTTATATGGTTTGTAACCTGAAATTAAAATAAGTATTTATGATATGGATTGTACAGGATATTATATTGTATAATTAAATAATATTGTATTGTATTTATATATATTCTACACTATTGTTCTTATTGTTCCTTTTGCATGTACAGTCTTTATCATCAGCAATCATCATTTTTCTTTCTACAAAATTAATATATGTATAGTCCTTAAAAACCATTTGTTCAAAGTGATACATAAATTGATAATCAGCTAGATAATAACATTTTCAGAAATATTCTTTCTGTATTGTATGTAAATAAAACAAGCACACAAATTTAATGGGTCTAGTGACCCTTTTCATTTGCTATCATTTTACTGTTATGTGTAAGACTATTAAAATTTGCTGTAGAAGACAACCATAACCTAGGTTATGGTTTTCAGTGTTTCATTGATTTTTTTAACTATTTTAATAATAGCCCAAATCACATTAGTGGACAGCTATTGTAATGTTGTATAACATACCAGCATATAATAAGATTTTAAACATTAAACACTTACCAAGCCATTCTACCATATCTTTGATTCCAACAAAGAACTTCTCTTCCTCTTTTTCTGGATTAGTGTCATCATATCTTAGAAAACATATACCATTGTGAGCAGCAGCATATCCAAAGTTAATATTTATTGCTTTAGCATGGCCAATATGTAATATACCATTTGGTTCTGGTGGAAACCTTGTTCGCACTTTCCCAGAAGTTATTTGAAGATGTTGTTCGAGCAATCTACTTGTGTCAGGAGTTACTACATATCCATCTGATTTAAAATTTTCCCCCGGACTATGGAATGGAAGCTTTTTCATTAATTCCAGAATAGATCCACCTCCAATATCCAGATTAGATTGTGATTTTACCACAACTGAAAGAGTAATAAATGACGCAAGTTTAGAGAAATTATTAAATAACTATTTTATCTAAGTACAATAAAATAATTAATTTTAAATAGGATATTGTTATCTATTCAGTGTCAATAATATCAAGGTTCAAACCATTCTTATCCTCTTCTTTGGGTTTCTTGGCTGTGTCACTAATTTTAGATTTCTTTTCCACTTTGGGAGGAGGTGCTAGGTCAGCTTCTGTTTTAGGACCCAATAAGTCCAATATCTACAAAAATTTGTTTAAATATTCAAATCAAAATTCACTTTCCAGAATCAATTTAAATAAGACAGCATAGTTAGTTAATGAAAATGTATGAACAATACAATATACAATAAATATGAATGATTTACTAGCCATTTGCCATGGGTTTATGTACTTAATAGAAAATAAATGGTTGATTGCTAATACACTGCTGATCATGATTATTACTTAATTCAGTTAGTATGACTGAACTTTATCTTTATACTCTACTCTACTATAACATTGCATCATTATGGTAAATAGTATTGACCTTCTCTAAACATTTTTATTTTATTTCAAGAGTTATGGCCCATCTATAAATTATATCCAATAATATCACTAATTTCTACTCCCTACCCCATACCATTGATGGTCAATAGTAAAATTTAAATATGATTACAATGTCAAATTCCCCAGTTAGGTGGGTGGGGAGGGTCTCAATATATAATTATATATATATTAATATATAAATAAATACATGTAGTGTAATTTATGGATGGCCTTTACTGTAGAAATTTCCAAAAAAACTTTCCATAACTTATTATACTATATATGTACTTTGGAATTTATTTAAATATACCTGGACATCCACTTCATTCTTTATTGCCTTCCCATCAGCCCATGGTAATTCCGCTCTAACAGCCTGCATAATAATACCGGAGTTATAGCGGTATCGTTTTGCCAACAGTTCTTGCTTATGTTTCGCCATATGTTTCTCTACAATTTGTTCGATCTGTTCAGGGGTTACTACAACTCCGACCCCACATGATTTTTCAAATGTTGCGATATCTACTTTCTCTTCGTTAACATTACTTAAAAGGTATTCCAATGCAGCATCAACTCGTAAAGACGAATCGAGTTTTCCACTCACTATATAACTGCATACGAAGCTTAACCTATGGGTAATCTGTGGTTTAATTTTAGTGGCCAGGTGATATATCAACATCCCGGCTCCTGAAGGCAATTTTGTCAAATCAACCTACAAATTCAATCAAATAATTATAACTGCAACAATATCAATATTTATAAAAATAGATCATCAAAACCTAACCTCATTAAGAGCGGCAAGTAAGAACTTTGTAACATTATTATTTTTAGTAGTTTCTTTAGCTTTCTGTTCACTTAAGCCTAATAGCTTAAATTTTCCTATAATCTCTTCTGGTGACATTGTAATAACAATTATATATTTTATTTTATATTTTATAAATAAGACCTAATACAGTATGCGATACACGAAACTTGCATACACTTGCATATGTCAAAAGCATAGAACATCGTCATTAGCATACGTCAAAACCATCGAACGTCATTAATGTCAAATGACAAAATATTCAATCAAATAGAAATACTAACCACAGACTACATACAAAATACATCATAGCAGAGTACATTTCTATACAGATTCTACACTTTCTATATTCTTGTTGGGGTTGCCAACTTTTTTTACCTCATTTTTATATGAGGTAAAAACTTTTTAAAGTATTCTGTTGAGTGGCTCTCCATTCTTATAGATGGTTATATTGATGACGACTAAGGAATGTGCATTAAAACCCATACATATATAAGAGACGTAAGAACTCAATACAATACTTTGTTACTGGAATTGAAGCTATATGTATGTGGAAGTAAACAGTTCTGTCTTCTTATAAAACGTAAGAGATCCATCGATGGTCGATAGCACAGAACTCTAATATCCTATATCATGTGAGCTGTAGCATGGTGCAGCTGACAGTTTATCTAATTTAAAAGTTGCCGCGATTTACAATTTATGGCTTAGTATGTCAGCTGTACCACAATCGTAAAATACCTATATAATAAAATTATTAATATCTGTATTAACTTAAATGTAGCAATTGTTAAATGTAAAATTAGTAACTATCACCCGCACCATGCTACAGTGCACACTGGGTAGCAGATGATGAAGATAGTCAATCGATACCCACACTAAACAAACGATTTTAGTACCTACCTTGTCAGTTTGTATTAGTTGAGTATCAAATCCCAACTAATATTATGAGAAAGTGTGTCTGCCTGTCTGTTTATTACCTGTTTACGATTAAATAATTGATTCGACTTAAAGATCTTTTATCTTAAAAAGCAAACTAAGTGCGAGTAACAGTCAGTTCTTTATTTACCTCAATATACTATAAGGACAGTAATTATAAATAACGTATTGAACTATTACTACCAATTGTTTGATATTCATGATACATACTCTGCTTAATCTTGGGATAATGTGATAGATATATATATCTAGTCTATCGAATATTTGTACAAGTATATAGGTAGGTAATGTAAATATTCATAGTAAATTATGCAAATCGTGTTAACTTTGAATACAGTTAAATTGAACTTGGCAGCTCATTGAACTGAACATACAGATTACTCAGGTACATAAGTATTCTAAGCGATTGTAGGATAACATCACGGAAAGTCATGCAAGCAAATATTAAAAAAGCAAAAGTGTGCCTGTCTGTCTATTTGATACCTTTTCACGGCTAAACTGCTGAATATCTATATTAATAATTCCGTCAAGGGGTACGGTAGACTCGAACGAAACCTTATGTGTAACGAAACCTTATGTGGAACGAAACCTTATGTGTAAAGTTGCATTGTGTAAATTGCAGATTGCAATTCATAACTTTTGTTTTTATAGCTATTGGTATATTACTTTTATGTAATATGCCAATAGCTATAAAATGTTGTAATATGCAAATATACAACAAACAGTAATATGCAAGAATACAACAAACATGGAACAAATATTGGAATATTTGTTCCATGTTTGTTGTATTCTTCTTTCTATTTCTAGTGTGTTGTTGTTTCTGTCAAAACTTATTCTTTTTCCGAGGTATACATATTTTTTCTACATATTCCAGTGGCTCTCCATTAATTATAATGGGTATTTTAAAGCTGTTTGTCATTACCTTAGTTTTAGTGAGGTTCATTTCCAGTCCCACCTTAATACTAGCTCTATGTAAAGATTCTATCATGAACTGCATCTGGCAACCCGACTCTGAAAGCAATACCAGGTCATCTGCAAACCTAAGGTGGCTTAAATATGTTCCTTTAATATATAATCCTGACTTATTCCAATCTGTCTTACCTATAGTGGATTCTAGGATGGCTGTGAATAATTTTGGAGAGGGGATCCCCTCCCGCCTCGGCCTAGGGTTTCGAGTTTAATTCTTTCTGTATTGTTGTCGTATATACATACTTTTGATAGCATTTATATACACTTCTTCAACTCCTTGTTGGTTTAAGCTTTCCCATATAGATACTTGTGTGTGTTACCGAATCAAATGCTTTTTGGTAATCAATAAAAGTGATATATAGAGATCCATCTTTTTCTTGATATTTTTCCATTATTAAGTCGATTGTGTGAATATGGTCAACTATGGAAAAACCCTTTCTAAAGCCTGCCTGTTCTACCGGCTGTTTTGCTTCTATCGTAGCGCTTATTCTTTTATTTAAGATAGCAGAGAAAAGTTTGTAAAGACTGGGTAGCAAGCTAATTGGCCTATAATTGCCAATATCCTTTGGGTCACCTTTCTTGTAAATTAGTATGATGTTTGCATCAGACCATTGGGATGGCGTTTCAGCTTTTTGAAGAATCAAATTAAACAATTCACTTAATGGTGCTGCTAATATCGTGTTCGCAAATTTTAGTGCTTAATTTGGTATGTTGTCGGCTCCAAAGCTTTTTTCTAGTTTTAAACTCTTTATTGCATTCATAATTTCATTTTCATTTATCAGTTTAATATTGTTACAGTAGTTGCTTTCGATTTTTTTCTTTAATATTTTAGTTGTTTGCTTGCTATCACTGTATAAATTTGTATAGAATTCTGTTGCGATTTTGACAATATCACTTCGTTTACATAAATCTTTTCCTAGGCTTCTTAATCCTTCTATCCATGATTTATTTGTTTTAAGTTCCTTGTAAGCCTTTTTTGAACCTCCGCTAGATTGTAGGTGTCTCTCTATTGTGCCTTGCCTATATTTTGCATAATCTCTCCTTATATATCTATTAACTAGCTTGTATAAAGCTGAAAGATCATTTTTCATAGAGCGTGTTTTGTTTTGTGAATAACAAAACATAAAAAAATATTTATTTCGAGTCGACAACATATATGTATCTGCAAAATTCGGATTATGGAGTATTTCGTTAAATTCTAATAACACTGACAAACTAACTGCAGTCGCCATCTTTTCATGTCATTAGCTAACAACCAATCAACACAACGCGTGCGTTCGCGCCAAAGATCCATCACAAAGAACTGTGACATATGACATGTGTGTTGTGTTTCGCGAAAATATAGTTTTTGACAATTTTTTATGACAAAAGAGTATACAGTTATGTGTTTTTTCTTTAAATTGGCCAATTGCGAGACAAATTTGACAATATTTTTTATTCATTTGTTTCACGGCTTTTTAGCCCAACTTAAAATTTTACAATATAAATTACAAAAATTAAAGTCAATGTCCAATGTCAAATAATAATAAATGTCAAATGTTGTTTCTCTGTTCTGATGAACTTATTAAAAAAAACTTAATAACAATCACAATTTCTTCACATTTTATTATTACACACATAATGCCAGGTATTTGCATTTTTTAAATGAGGTTGTGGCACTATTGGAAATTAATGTTATTTACCCATTTTTATAGAAATAATGTGTGGATCTTTATTTAAAAAGCATTAACACCAAATTAATAAAGTATAGGTAGGTATTAATAAATATATGGTTGTTGTATCAAAATAGATTTTGTTATTTTTCACTAAAATAAAGACTAACTGCATTTTTTATAAAACAAATGACCTTTTCATAGTGTCATATATTATTTAACTGATTGTAAGAAAAAAATGTTGGTTTGTAGATTAATACTGTAAAAATTACTATTTGTACGGAAACGACAAAAATATATATTTATTCTGTATAATACTACGACAGTAGTGGAAACATTAGTATATGTACGTAAATTATACAATTCTGTTATGGGACGTTTCCATAACAGACTTAGATATTAAACTTCAAGACTAATTTGTTAGAATAAAAGTTTCCGATTAAACAAATCGGTATGGCTACCCCACTACAGGTGGTAACTTTTTTTTTTGTTCTGTTTAACCTTAATCGGAAAGGTAAAGGGAACTGCGCCCATAGAGCCGAGGTGGTAACATTATTTGAAAATTTGACATTTAAACCTGTCAATTTAGTCTCCCGGATTAAAAAACAAACTATAACCAAGTATGGCACTTACAAATTGATTACTAAGCTACTTGGTGTCCCTGTAGCCCCAAGCCCCGCATGTTTATGGGGGCTCGACCCCAGAGCGGGAGCGTAGCAAATGGCTAACGCTGGACGAGAGGGAAGGTTGAAAGGAAGAGGAAATGGACAGGAAAAAGAGGAAGAAGGGGAAAAGGACGGTGGTGGACCACGTCGTCGTACTGAACGTCGTCTCGACAAATCCCGGAGAGTCGCGCGAACTAAATAAAAAAAAAATGTAAATGACGAAAAAGAATGGGAAAGATGTTTGGATAAAGCAATTGGTTTTAAATATCTGGCAAAATAGATAGTGCTTAAAACAAAGAGGTTAACAGATAATAAACCTTAAAAGTTATATGTTTTGTTAATTTATTTTAAATATTGATTTAAAATAAAAATTAAATGTATAAATACTTTTACACTTATTATTTACTATAGTATTTATTAAACACATTGAACGAAGCTTTACGTATCTATGCCTTGCTTACTTAATATTCTTTAAGTACCGATGACTACAGAAATATCTACCCGAGCGAAGCCGGGTTTTCATCTAGTATCTTAATAAAGTGTCATGTTAAGATTAATTGTATCACTCGAACGGACACAGGCAAATCTTTTATCTCTATAAAGCAAATGAAGTAGCGGAGAAAAGTAATGTCTCTATTTAAAAAATAAACACAAGTAAGACTATTTACAATATTCTGAAATGGACAGTAAAGAAATGAGGTTTTGTACAATGCAACATTGCATTATACTATGTCTGTAATAGAAGAGAGACAAAAATTTAACGTTGATGTAAGAATGTAATTGCTTAAAACAAAACAATTGCAGTACCTAATAGTGTCTAAATATATTAAAAATTGTGCCTAACTGTAAGAAATTTCAGTGTAAGAATGTGGAAACTGTTTATACCTAGTCATTTAAAGTTTGATGTTTCATCCACTATCCATACTGAATCCTCTATCCTTCAAGTATCAATATTATATGACTACATCTAACAATATCAGCAGTAGAATCAGGTTACCTACTTCTACTTCGTTTCTTATGTCTTCCTTAACATGATGTAATTAAATATATGATAATAGAGTCGGTATATTATTGTCATATATTTAATGACTTTAGACAATTATGTAATACATGAAAGGTATTATACTATTTTTTTTACTTTTAAATATAATAAGCATTACAAATACGAAATTAAGTTTGGTAATTATCAGAGTTATTTTTTTTACAATAAATAAGGCTTAGCTTTTACTATAATTGAGACTTAGGTGCGCTACCCTCAAGGTTTGGACGCATGCTATTCCTACTCTATAAATATATACATATATATATATATAAAGAGAATATTTATATATTCTGCGTCAACGCCGCCGCGCCGCGCCGTGGCGACCGTGAGGGAGAGAATTCTTCCAGGTTCCACCGCCTCAGCTCACCGTGGGGCATGCACCGGAATGCATATCTAAATTTCATTATTAAACTGTCCAATAATAATCCAAAATAGCAACTTTTTCCCTAACTTAGATAAAAAAATAGGCACACAGAGTTATTATAGATACTCAATGCTGACTAAGTACATAGGTACCTACAAAATTCTTCAAAATTCGTACAATATTTATGATTTAAGACAGTTACCTAAGTGTATATGAAATATTTACTTTTACGTGACAGACAAGAAGGTATACATAACCCGGTTCTTCAATTCAAAACACATTTATTTATAATCTTTCCTGTACTTACACATTGGGCATGATCTAATTTATATAAATATATATCTGGTGCGGAGAGCTCTTGGTTCAGATATTATTGACTTATCTACCTGTATTGTATACATATATATGTCTACCATTCAATATGTGTAATTACTGTTTATAACAAGTGATTATACAAGTATATAGTATAGGTATACGAAGTAGTAAAGCTATTACTTTGTATACCTATATACTCGTAAGGTTATATGGTGTATGTGTATATAATAAAAGTAATCAATAAAGGTATATGTTATACATACCTACTGATGGTAAGTGGTTACCATTAGCTTGGCTTGGCAGAAAATGCACTGATATGACGTTACCATGTGACGCCCTTAGGACATCTTATGCATTCCTATTTTGAAGGACTGTAGATGTTATATCTCGGTACTACAGTGTACCCGCTAATTGTATTGCCATATGTTAACATAAAACCGAAACACAGCTTATAAGCAGTTAAGCATCTAAAACAGGCGAAACAAAGGTAGCCACCCTGACAACTTTGTACAAAGTCTATATATGGATAGGTTGTGTTCAAATATACATTTAATAAAAATGTAACTGATAGCTTTACTTACTTTTATTAAAATATTTTATTTAATAGAACCAGAACAATGATTGTTCCAATTCTTGTCTGTCTGTGCCTTATTATTTTGTCCTCGTTAATGTCAAAAATTTGCTTAACCGTTTTAAGCTCACCACGATGTATTTATTTTATTCCAATTTGTTTACAAACAAAACAGTTACTCTGATATTATATACAATAATATACATATACGTCCTTATCTTAGATATGTCGAAGCATGTTATTTATACTATTAAACACGGGCATAATCAGAATAGGCCACTAGTCATTTATAAAATATATATACCTACTAGAGTATGCCCGTTAACTTTATACATCGTGTTCTGCAGTCAGTCAGTCAGTAATACGGATACAGTGCGTGAGTGCGGTGAGCGCACGCAATCTCCTCTCTTTTTACCATACTTCTGAACTTCTATTTCACATTACTACATCTTTTGGTATTAAAGTATTTGAGAATATAGTTAGTAACTACTATAAGACATAGTATTGACATGTACGAGCTGCCGTTATAGGTAAGTGTACGTGTACGTGTATCTTCGTAATATTAATATTGTATAGAACATTATTTACATTTAATAACATTTTTTCCCCAAAAATATTAATGTTAAAAATATTTTATATTTTCAACACAAAATATGCTACAATATAATGAACCGTTTCGACTAAAACTTAGTAACAAAATTGCTGGACATAAACTAAAAACGAAAAAATACCTACTTTTAAATTCGCTTGAAAATTTTATTTATTATATAAAGTTACATACTAAGATTTGTTGTATTAATTATTTTACTTTTTTTATTTTTTTCGATAAGTAATGTTTCCTTTAGTGACTCCTAGTAATTAATCAATCACAATAGTATATATAATATAAAGTAATCTATTCACATAAAGAAATTAGTAAAGGAAATTAGGGGACACATATTGTACGAGAAAAATGTAAATTACGTACCCAAATTAATATCTACATAGAATATATTTATTCACAAAGAATAGACCTTAAACAACAAACAGGGAAATTAAATAAGATTTTGATATGATGCATTTTATACTGTTTTGAAATTTCAGATGCCCGGTAAAAAAAATCTATTTTTAATCTTTCATTTCATGTAGGAAACGTGTGCCGCTATCCGCCCTGTGGGCCGAAGTCTATTTGACATTCCAATTTCATTATCAGTTCCTTATTCCAGTATATCACTACAGAAGACATTAAATTAAATTAAACAAGCACAGCTGGCAAGTAAAGTTATAATAATATTAATCGACTTCGCCCAAGTTCAGCAGTACCATTTATCGATAGACATAAATACCCTAATAGTTCATAAAATTTTGAAACTTATTCTAATAAGATAAAATAAATATTATTGTCATACTGTGCACAATAGTTATTTTAAAAATTAAAATACATGTAGATTTTACAACACATCTACCTATATACGTATGCCCACCTATCTTCCTATTATTCAATACATGATGAGAACCTATTCTAATTAATCGATTGATTTTGCCTTTTAGTAGGGCAATTAATTTGTTGACTCTTTTTAATTACCGTAAAAGGTATTGTGATCCAATTCAATTTGTACCTGTCATTACCTCTGGAATTCTTTATTCAATGCGCAATAATAAAATTTTTAATGACAACATATTTTATTCATGTTGCCTGTAATAGCGAATTGTGCGAATTAAGAAAAATAGAAAAGATAAATAACACAGAGGAAGGAAAACTAGAGTCGTCAACAAGTTTGATTTTAACTAAAATCAACAAATAAAATTATGTACTTACCTACTTATTGACTTTTTGTTGCAATAATAAATACAATATAAAGAAATAAATGCCCATGGTTCACATCATTCATTTATTCATCGTTATACGGCCTGATACCTTGATATCAACTTGTCTGTCGATCTTCAGAATATTTTCGAAAATTAGCAAGTAAATCAGACTAATAACTGCGCAAATATTAAGGTACAAAAACTAAAACTAGAAATAGGTGAAATTGTGAAGTAAAGCTTCAGAAATTATAATTAATATGTTACTTTCTTTTTCAATCTTCCACGAAAATATTACAATAAATTGAAAACATGACATTTAGGTATTTACGATAGCTCCTGTTAACGTCGTAAATACCGTCGTACATACATATGTATTGGCAGATATATTAGATTTGAACTAAATAAAACGTATTAAAGAAAAGATATCTCTACAATATATTCGTACCTTGTTGTATAGTTTATTTTTTGAATAGATTATGCGTATAGATATTAGGTATGTGGCATGATATCATCTTATATATTCATTGATTACTAGGTTTATTAACATAATTTCATTTACCTACTACTTATTTGTAGTTGTAATTAAAAAGTACTTAATAAAAGATGCATACATATCTGTCCGAAACAAACGCTTGTTCCTCTTTATTACATGTATATTGATTCCCGAAGCTATCAGATATCTTTTAATTTCATATGATATGGGTACTAGCTCATCAGCGTGACTTCGTTTACATGATATTTTCCCCGTTTTTATTACAGCTCTACTCATATTAGCCGTAGCGTAATGCTAGTGATGTTATGTACCTTCCTCGATAAATGGGTCATTCAAGACTAAATGAATTTTCAAAATCAGTTCCATAGATCCAAAGATTACCCCTTACAACTTCACAAACTCACAAACATTAGCTTTACGACTATTTAGTCTAAGAGTGCCGCTATGGGATCAAACCTCGGCTTTGGTTATCGTAATTTCATTAAATTCCCGTTGGAATTGGACGGATGATCAACCGGAGAGACACATGGGTAGTGTGGAGTTCTTAGCCACCAAAATATTTATAGTGGTCATTCCATGGTCCTGCCTCCTTGCCATAATGTCGAGCACGTATGTATACAGATTACCTAAACCCCGGAAAAGATTGGTTGAATCAGCAGTTTCTGACACTCCATTTTTACAATAATACTTAGTACCAAATCCAAACGAAATATTTAAATGAAAACCGTTTCAATATTTGGATACTTAGGAGCCGCTAAGCAATTTCCTTAGATATGAAATATTACTTCATACGTCCATGTATCTACAATTTATTCTTTTATCTCATGTTAAGAAAATTTGTAGATATACAAGACACGTGGTAACAATGAGCTCCACAACCTCGCCCAAGGCCTCTCTCGCCAAACTAGTCCTTTACCCGAAGCCGAAACCTTTCAAAGTGATGGTGCTGGGACAATCTGGAGTTGGTAAATCCGGTAAGAATAATATAAGTGTATAATTATATAATCTAATTAGCCTCATAATTGTGATAAATTTTGATCACTAAATATATATATACAAAAAATCGTGCCAATTCTTTGGTATAACCACAGATAATATAATATTACATAGTATAACTGTATCAAAAATGTTTGCTTAATAACCCCTAAAGAACCAGAATTTCTATATTCTGGTACTATGCTTCGTTTTCATCAATCAAGTAAAATCACATTAAATTTTATTTGTATAATGATAGCCTATAGTACCTTATTTATGACACTTTTATTACATGCAGTAGACTAGTAATAAACCGATTCTTTACTACTTATAATAAAACATGGTTTTATTATGAGGTGTGACCAAATCAGCAAAATATATAATAGTTATACAAAGTAGCTATGCCTATTTCATACATTCTGTTTTATTAGATTTACGCCAATAGTTTAAATACATGATTTCAAATTTAAAAAGGATCAATTGTGGAAATGTTTATCTCTATACTTGGAGGAGTTATCTCTATACTCTCTATAATGGAGAGCTCATTAAAAAATATTTAAAAAAGAATTCATTAAGTAGCTGTAATATTCTAATATCATATCAATTAATTAATTTTGTAAACTTTTATTTAAAAAACATTGATATAGTATGAATACAAAACCTCATTGGCCAACTAAGCAGGTATATTTTACTTTTTATTTATGTAATGATTCGAAATTCGAAATTTTAATAAATATTAATTCCAAAAGTTTGATACCATATCATGGCGTATTAAAAATTCATTTTATTTTGTAAATTACTTAATATAAAACACTAGTGGATTAAAGGAAGTGGTATTATTTTTTGTATACGTTAATCAAACATTATGACAATTTATGTTCCCGATTAAAGTTTAATTCAGTTCTAAAATTTTGCGCGATTTTTAGAAAGATTTATCATTTTAAAGAATAGAATAGAAAATCATTTATGCTCTTTAGAATAGGCGGTATGGCATATTATATTATATGTGATTATAGTTATTTTTTTAATCTGCTGCTCATTCGGAAAGTTGTCACATCACAAGAAGGACGAGCAAGAAACTTGCGTGTTTCTTTTTGTGGATGATAATGGAATGGTGCTCCCGCCTGCGCTAACGGTTTACGCTGGCGGGGCACCAGTGGAGGATGATAAGATGAGCATGAGGTCAGGTCAGTTAGCCTATAGTGATAAATTCACCAGGAATTTAACACGATGGTTTCCAGGGGGAACCGTGTGGAGGTCGGTCTAATAACTTGCGTGTTCTTTTCAATAATCCTTATAACTTTACATTTTTAAGTTGAAATTTATAAAAACTTTCTACCAACGAGCACTACTTTATTAGGGTCAAAATATTACACAATAAGATTAAATCATTCTAAGTGATTAGAGCAGACCAGTCGCTACAAGCAGCAATCGTTCACGAGTATGATAAATGCGCCAGCCTTCACTGCGCTCAATCATATTTTAGGGAACCTAATGAACAGCCATACGGCACGTCTAGACATTTAAGTGAGCATGATTACACAAGACACTGGACCACGTCGTAGCTACTTTTATTACGTGATAATTATAGTATTCCCACATTACATAAGAATATATGTGGCAAACAATACAAAAACCGCTACGCAATAAAATAAAAAAAAAACCAGGAATAAATAAAACTTACAACGTTGTCCGCAAATAACTTATATTAGAACAAGTGAGAAGAGCAATCGTATAACTTTATCTACGTATAACTATTTAGTACAGTATAAGTTTATTTTTCTAAATTAAGAGAATATTTCTAAAATAAAAGTAGCCGAAGTTACTTATTACATCAGCTACCTGCCAAAAAAAGTCCCGTCAAAATCAGTCCAGCCTTTTCAGAGATTAGTCGGAACAAACATACTGACAAAAATTGTAAAAAATGTTATTTTCGTGTGTGTACCGTATTTATATGCATATATAAATACGATAAAATCGATTATTTCAATGTTACAAACAGACACTCTAATTTTATTTAGATCACATTTGTTATACATATCTTTTATAATATTTTTTTTTCTGCAGCTTTGGTAGTGAGGTTCATAACAAGACGTTTCATCGGAGACTATGATCCCAATTTAGAAAAAACTTACTCATTTCACACTGTAATAGACAACGAGATGGTTTATTTCGAGATATTAGATTCTGCCGGAGATTCTAATGTAAGTATGTTTGTATTTCTTTTTATAAATAAGTACGAATTATACATATAACTATCGAAGCAGCACAGTTGAGGTTGCAGAGTGTTTCATTCAAGGACAATAAAATTTTATTAGCGCAATAATGGTACCTAATGAGTTTAACTACATGTCAACCGAATTAAAAAAGGAGAGCCTCGCTCTTTTCCTTACTAGGCGTAAAAGGGCCATTATCTTCTTGGAATAGTTATTCTTACCTATATTCGCAATTGCCGGTTATTTTAGTATAAGTCACATTGTGCAAACCTTTTTGATTATTAAATAAGCTTTCAAAGTGACACATCTAACTTTCGACCAAAAGTTAGGAACTTTTCATCAGTGCGCTTCATTTGATTGGGTCGCAACGGACTTCTTATTCAATCTGATCGGTATTATTTGAATTTCGAATATAATTTAGAAGTACAAGACTTATTGAACTTAGTTCGTGCTTAAGATTCACAAAATAATGAAGAATTCGATTCATAAAAGTATTACGAGAACATGAGCATGTTGTCGTAATACATTCTATCTTCATGACAAATTTCAGTTCTATTCCTTTCAGCCGTTAAGTCGCATAGGTAATGGTACAGAAAAAACAAACAGATAAATGTACCTATATCATTGTACACAATCTTTATAAATGCAAAGTAATTTAAATTGACATAATTTATTTCTTGCAGCAAAGTGAATACGCTAATTTGGAAAGTAACATTAGATGGGCCGAGGCCTTCATCCTGATGTATTCTGTCACCGACAAATGTTCATTCGACGAATGTCATCGTCTCAAGTTTCTTATAAATTACAATAAACGCAGGCGGCGACTCTCTTCCTCTATGAAAGTAAGTAAAAAATCTTATATACACAGTAGACTGAATCTAACTTCATGGCTCTCCATTATTAAAAGAAAAATAAATAAGCGTAAATTGGGAGTCTGATATTCCAAGGGACGTACCCTTCAAATTCAGTGCAATTATTAATGTAATGTTCATTATCCTTTTCCATTTCGTGATTCTATCTTCCTAATCCGGAATACTAAAACATCTTCCTAATATTTTTTATTTAATTTTATTATTTTTTTTATTGAATGGGTAATGGATAACCTAAGACGGCCGTCGCTCAAATTGAAAGGTATATTAAAAAAGTTAAACGTTAAAATTACAAAGTATATTTCCGTTCTTGTTTTTAAGAACCTTCTGATACATTCTTATTCACTTAAAAGGATCTAATTCTAGAATCAGGGGCACTATCGGAACAATCATGGGGAGCTAATATGGACAGGAGGGAACATAGATCGCTTCCTAGATTGCCTCGTGTGTATCAGGACCCAGAGCCCATTAGTTGTTATTGGGCTCGTCGGCAATCGGATTTACCCCCCCCCCCCTCCCCCCTCCTGTCTGCACCCAAATGGCCTTTGACTACAGAGTTGCCATTTTAAGAAATGTAATCTAAATTAATTTCAGGATAGTCTACCAGAGACGCCTGTGGTGCTTGTAGGTAATAAAGCGGATCAAGTTGGTGATAGAATGGTCTCCACAGAAGAAGGTCAAAGGCGAAGCAAAGAAATCGGCTGTGTTTGTTTTTATGAAATTTCAGTAAGAGAAAGTATTGACCAGGTTAGTAGAATGATTTCGCATAATTATGTTCATATTTAAGATTTCAGATATTGGTGCGGCGGTGGCTATGATCTAGCCTTCTTCGATGGACTATATTGTTGTATAGGAAACTGGCTGGTCGTATATGAATGACTTACCCTACTTCAATGTGCTTGTTCTTCAGTGGGCCCACACGGTTACGGGAATCTCAGGAATTCACTCAGGTTGATTACAACTATTAAGACATGCGTGCGATATGAGTGCGACGTGCGCGCGCGGCGAAAGCTATGACATCACTGATTATTGAATTAGCCGGGAGGGGTGTCAATGCACAAGACAAACCAGGTACGCATCGCGTTTGGCGTAACCATGCCCCCCGCCTTGACATAATGTCAAAGTAAAATTAACAAAAAAATAAAGGAACTACATAATTGAACCTTATTGCGAATGCGACAAATACAAAAAACAAGAAAGAAAAAATACAAAAAATATCAAATGCGGAATTTACTAAATAAGAAAAATGCAAAGGATTTTAACTTAACTTATTAACCTATTATAAATGCGTACTACCTATCTTATAGAATACATATTATTGCAAAGGCAATGGACATATGCGGTGCGTTAGGAGGGATAAGGGTCCACTTAATTCCATTGTTAGCTAATTCCTTATCCCAAACAGATCTACATTCTTGCGATAAAAACAAATAAAGTTCACGTAGGTAGGATCGTGCCCCTATAAAATTAGTACCATGATCCGTATACATGCATTGAATAGGACCGCGGCGAGCGAGAAAACGTTTTAACGCGGCGAGAAAACAAACTGTACTCAATTCACTTGCGAGCTCAATATGAACAGCCCGAGTGGTTAAGCACGTGAATAAGCAAACGTATGCTTTGCGAGTGGTTATACCACGACCGCGATAAGGGGTTACAAAAAACGGACCTGCGAAATCACAGCCACAATGGACAAAGGCTTTAGGAACTTCCTTCACCCTTAGTGCAGGCAGATCACCCATCGGTGGGAATGTAGGACGCGGTTTATTGCGGAAACAAATATTACAATTAGCTACGATCGTGCGAATCATACGTCGAGCGGCGAGAATCCAATATTTAGTACGTAGTATTGACATTAACAATTCTGGGCCTGTATGCAGGTTTTTACGATGAAAGTGTGTTACAATTAATTGAACTATATGATCTCTGCCCGGAAGTAATATAGGGTGTTTATAATCGAAATCTTCATCAGAATGAGTCAGACGACCACCAACTCTTAAGAGATTGTCTGATAAAAATGGATTTAATTTAATTATTGATGCGGTACAAGGTTTTTTATTATTTAACTTGCTAATATCGTTTTTAAAATGAAACCCCTGCACAGCGCGAATAATTATACGTTCGGCGAAATCCAAATCGGAACTGGATATGACGCCGCGTGGAAGAATGTTAGCGAACTTATAAATATAACAAATTACACGAAGTAATTTCATCCATGACGAAAATTTGCGAGCGAGCGAATATAAATAAGGTTCCATAGAATCTTCAATGGTAACCAGTGCGATAGGTTTTAATTCTGGAATGTCCGATGAATCCGCAGCAAGAAATGGCTTAATTGGCCATTGTCCCTTTGGTTTACAAATCCATGGTGGACCATTTAACCAAAGGGGGTGCGTTGCGAGTTGAGCAGGACTCAGTCCCCGAGACAGGCAGTCACTGGGATTGTCCGTGCCCTTAATGTGATAAAAATGCGTTGGTTCCATGTTTTCATGAATTTGCGATACTCGATTCGCAACAAACGTATGCCATTTGTGTGGCGACGAGTGTATCCAATTTAATGCGACCGTAGAATCCGAAAATGCGAATACCGATTCTATGGGGTATCTTGGCGAATAAACTTGATAAATAATTTTGATTAATTTAGAAAGAATTACAGCGGCACACAATTCCAATCGTGCCAAAGCAATTACCTTTAATGGTGCTACCTTTGACTTGGCACATAAAAGTGTAATATTTGAAGTACCATCTGGCAGTTCAATATACGCGTATACACAAGCACCATATGCGCGTTCGGATGCATCAGCAAATCCGAGAATGTTTAATTTGCAATTATCAATAACACCTATATGACGAATAAATTTAATGTTAGAAATGAGTGGTAATTCAGAGTGGAATTGATTCCACGTGCGAACAATTTTTTGCGCGATTGGAAATTTATTTCCTTCATCGGAAGCTAACTGAGCTACAGTACGTAACGCTAAGTACGGGCTGCAACGTAAGCCAAATGCAACTTTATTAAATTCAAAGACTTGGAGCGGTTTATTAGGACTAAATCTATATACAATACGTTGAAAACAACGATCTTGCGGGCGAACTTTTATTCGTAAATACATTTGTCGCACATCAGCTGAGATGGCGACTGCGAACAATCTCATATTCAAGAGAATAATAAATAAATCCTGTTGTAAGGAAGGACCTGTATGTAGAATATCATTAAGCGAAAATCCAGTACTAGACTTCGCGCTTGCGTCTAGTACCGGCCTTATTTTCGTGGACACTTTGTCCTCACGTAAGACTGCGTGATGCGGTATAAAATAACTAGGGCTGTTATTTTCAATTACGTCTACGGGAGAAATATATTGTTTTTCTATATATTCGTGAATTACCTCATCATAAAGGTATTTCAGTTGCGGTTGCGATGCGCATTTACGTTCCAAATGATAAAATCTGCGTTTAGCGATATCGAAAGAGTTCCCTAAAGACTTAGAACTATACTTAAATGGTAAAGCGACTTCGTAGTGACCTGATTCGTTACGAGTGGTCGTTGTGGTATAAAAATCTTCACAGTATTTATCGTCTATACTTGTTATTGGTTTGCGATCTACTTCTTCAATCTCCCAAAATTTGCGAATTAATACTGAAACCTCGCACGAAGTGGTGGAACAGAACGAGAATGAAGAAGACGTAGAAGTTAAGGTGGGAGCTTCACCTAAAATAAGATAACCGAGAACAGTCTCCAACGCGTTTGGAGTACCAGGTGAATTTATAATTTTACCTCCAGACAAAAGGGTCGCGAATAGATTGACACCAATCAAAAGGTCAATTTCTGATGGTGTTCCCCACGTATCATCTGCGAGCGGAATATTAGTTAAGTAACTGAGCGCGCCAACATCAATTTGACATGTTGGTAAGTTACCTGTTATTTTATTCAAAACTAAAGCGCGAATATTATAATATTGCTCATGATTAAATCTCGATCGGAAAGAGAGATCAACTGCACCCTTAACTGGTTCAGTGGCGCCACCTATACCCTTAACGGTGGTATGTGCGTCCGGCTGCATGGTTAAACCCAATTTTAAACAACACTTAGAAGTAATATAATGCTTTTGTGACCCGGGGTCCAATAAGCAGCGAATGACAACATCACTCCCATTACGAGCAGTAGCAAATACCTTGGCAGTAGCAAGTACTTCAGTCACATACGGCTGCTCATGAATGGACGATGAAAGCGTGCATAACGACTCCTTGTCTCCACCAGTGGTGGTTTCAATAGGAACGGGAGTTGGTTCTAATCGTGTCTGTTGTGTGGGTTGTGTGTGCGCAAGCGGAGGCAATTGCGACGAAGAAGATGGTGGTAATTGGCGACCGTGCGTATAAGATGTCTGTGCGTTTTTCGTACCCTGAGATACTTGCGTAGGTGCGGAATTATTATTTTTAAAACAAAGTAACGTATGATGTCTCGGATTGTTACAATTTCGACAGGCGGAAGTTGATTGACAACTGAAAGAGTTATGTTGACTACTTAGACATCTAGTACACATACGGTTAGTTTTAATATAATTAAATCGATCATTAATTGTGAAAGTTGAAAATTGTTTACATTTATATAATTGAGAATGTGAATCACCTTTACATAAGGAACAATAAATGCGTTGCGGAGGATTAGTACCTAAAAATGTACGTGGCGATCGAGCGATCGATCGTTGATGCGACTGTGCACGACCACTGGCGGACGCGGCGGCGGGACCGTCCAACTTGGTGGCGGCAGCGGCGCCGGCGGTGCGGTTACACGTGCGTTGTAATATTTTTACGTGTTGACGTATAAATTTTATAAAATTTTCAAACTGCGGTATGTCATCTTCTCCTCTAATTGATGACTCATACGACTGCGCGGTAGCCTGATCTAATGCCTTTAATCCCATATAAATAAATATAAAATCATCCAGCTTTTCAATTTTAAGTTGCTTTAATGCTGCGATAGTCGACGAGAAAGTATCAATAAATTATTCTAAGTTTATTGCCGAAGGACCGTTAATTGATTTTAAAGAAAATAATTTATCTAAATATGACGTTGCAAGAGAGCGTTTATCTTGATACTTGTCGATTAAAGCTTGCCACAATATAGGATAATTTTCGGCTGCTGGTACTAAGCCAGCACACAGATTTCTAGCCTTTCCTGACAGGTGACTCATAAGATAATGAAAACGTTCTGAGTCCGAAAAGGATTCATTGTCATGAATAACCTGTTTGAATGTTTCGTAAAAGAAAGGAAATTCTAAAATATCACCTGAGAAGACTGGTAACACAATTTGGGGGATCCTTACTGATCCCTGTTTGTTGTCTGGTAAAGCAGACTGACAAGCGGGAGCTGGAGTTCGCGAAGATTGAGGTTGTAACGAGACCGCCATCATCTTTATAGAATAAAACATTTCGTCAAAAGCGGTGAGAGATTGATAATTAACTACATAATCAGGGTTTAGTTCCAAATTAAGGAGAATAATTTCATCGACAATTTTAACATACTCTGTGCGCATTTGATCGATCAGGCTAACTTTTGCAATAAAAACATTACGATGTTTCTCCATTTTAGTTTTCGAAGATAATTCATAAATAGACTGAAGTTGCGAAAAATATTGTGCACGTTTTGCTTCATACATTTTTAATTTTGCGTTTGTGTTAGCCATTATTATTATTTATATATATACTTCTTAAAAAATAACAAAGGAAAACCAATAAATGCGATGTATAAAACTATGTGCGGTAATAACGTACAACTATACCTGTACTACCGTAAAAGTGCGAGCGATAAACAATAATAACGTATAATAGGTATTTAATGTACTAAATACCTACAAGACAGACAGATGTACTTGTAGCGAAAATAAGTACACAAATGCGAGAAATGATGCGCGATATAAACTAGCATACATAAAAAATATATGCTTACTATGCTATAAAACTACTAATTAATAATGCGAAAAATAGGTACAACTATTATCTATATATACCTATATGCGAGAAAAATAAAATAATGCATAAAGCAATATTTTAAATATGCGGTGCGAGAAGTAAATCACAATAACGTTTTAAACACTAAAGCGCGTGACAAATAAATTTATATGTACCTACTCATAAGCGGTAGTATGTAGGTACATAAGTGCGACAATACGGAATGTAGGTATCGACCATACCTCTACAAAAAAAATATGCGAGCGAAACATAAACTATACATAAAGCGAAATCGAAGTGAGTGATGTCATAGAAAATCAGATAATATATCTATAACTATAACTAAAAAGATATAAAATAACTATGTTCACAACTATTATTTTACGCGGGAGTAGTCTAAAGCGTTGTTGTTAGTCACTGTGTCGATACACCACGTATAACTTAATCATAGGTACGTAGGGCACGATCTTTAACCGACATGTATTGTATAAAACAGCTATGCGAACTAAATACCCAAACAATTTACAATAACCAGCGTATTATACGGCGAGTACTGCAAGGAAATAAAATATCTATTACGAACAGAAATAAAATCGCTGCTTATCAATAATTATTCAGATTAAATAGTGTGCTTTCCCTGCTCACTTTCTTGTGTAAAGACTACGGTAATTACAACAATGACTTTCAGCAAATTTCAAGGTCATACACTAAAATACTAACAATCTTAACATTCAAACACTACAATCATCATACATAATATTCGACAGGTAATATTGTTTCGTCAAATAGTATAACGACAACTATAATATTTCTAGAAGCTTCGATCGATCGAACAATATCGATATAATGCGGGTGAATGTGAAATTAAATGAACGAAACAACGCAAACAGATATAACGCGAAATTGAAGAATTGCTGCGAGATATGAACAATTCATAAGCGACATAAATATAAACTTATTTATTAACGAAAATACCAATGTATCGTTTTATTGGTGCAACCGTGGTATGCAATTTGAATAGATCCTATTACATGCGCAATAAGGTTCAATATTACATGCGAGTCATTCACTCGACTTTCACAATAGGAAAAAATTAAAACAAATTTTAAATAAATAAATTGCGATTCCTATTGTGATCCGGCGACGGAAGGCCAATAAATGGTGCGGCGGTGGCTATGATCTAGCCTTCTTCGATGGACTATATTGTTGTATAGGAAACTGGCTGGTCGTATATGAATGACTTACCCTACTTCAATGTGCTTGTTCTTCAGTGGGCCCACACGGTTACGGGAATCTCAGGAATTCACTCAGGTTGATTACAACTATTAAGACATGCGTGCGATATGAGTGCGACGTGCGCGCGCGGCGAAAGCTATGACATCACTGATTATTGAATTAGCCGGGAGGGGTGTCAATGCACAAGACAAACCAGGTACGCATCGCGTTTGGCGTAACCAGATATAGTAACCGAATAAAGTAGGTATTTATTAGGCAGAAAATGGTATCTTCTACTCATATGGTGTGTTTCTTAGTTTGACGCTTTACATACTAGTTAAAATATATGACTTAATTTTACTTGAGATCCCACTGCGTTTTGAAGAGGCTTGAGATCCAATATTCCGTTGCGATATTTCTTATTTAATCTAATTCTATGTTTAAAATTTTATTTTTTATTGAAATTCACTGATACGAATATTATACTTTTACTTATTACTATCTAAACCATATCAATCTACCTAACTCAGACTTTGTCTTCTTATGTTAAAGGATAAAAACTAGACTATGTCCATCCCCGTGTTACAATCTATGTATCTTGACATCTTTTCACATCTTCACATTCATCGACCATTTAGTCGTGAAAAGGTAACAGACAAAACGGCCATACACACTCTCGTTGTTATAGTTAGATATATCAGAATGGATAACAATTTTGATAAAATACCTATTACATATTAACTTTTATATGTCCCACTAGATAAGTAGCAGATAACTACGTAATAAAGATTAACAATAATCTTCCACTATAATCTCTAGTGGAACTGCGTTGAATTGACTACAATATTGCCAAGTACTAAAGTGGTCAATAGAGCTTTTATTATAAATTTAACTACTTAATATTTTTTTATACTAGTTGAAATAGTAAACAAGCTCACGTTGTAACAAGTGTCAACCATTGTCTATAAATATGAATAGCAATATCACTTTATCATGCGACGCTCGGGAGGACTAAAGTGTCAAGGGCGAATTGTAGTAATGAGTAGACTACGGAGGTACTCTACTCACTACTACAATTCGCCCTTTAACCAAAACATAATTAGCTGATATAAATAACTAAGACTGAAGTGATAATAATTAGTAATAGCAGTAATAGGGACTGGCCCCATTCCTAATAGTGTAACCCAACAGATCGAGCTCTACACAATCCGCTCTAGAAACCGTCGCGCTTAATTCAAATAGTGTATTCGCAATGATGAAATAAATGATCTGACTTTATTCACAGTCTATTACTACCAACTTTTCGTTCCCCACTATTTACCCGATAGCGTATATTATTAGTGCAGCACACAAGTGTACTATTACTTGATCATCAAAAAATGTACTCATATCAGACTGCACTCACACACACTTCGTAGTTTATAGATTCTTTAGTTACAAAACATAGTCTAAAAACATAATTTAAAGTTCCCAGGGTTAGGCTGTGAAAAGTAGTTTGCGTGGGTACCTCAATATCACCTACTTCAGCCTCCAAAAGCTTGCTTTGTTTGTAAGCTGTTTTTCGATTATACAATGCAGATTAGGTTAGTGCATTGAAATTGTAGGATGTGAGGCATGACATCTTGGTCCTCCGGAATGGCAACACGGATGCGAGTGGTAACACGGGTACGTTATGACGTCAAGTTAGTGGTGCAATTTACCCTGTAACCGATTGTTACCAATTATCATAAGTAGGTATACCGTAATGTTAGTACTACCACAGTGGTACTACTATGTATTATTATGTTATCTATGGTACTACTGACTTAGTAGTGCTACTCATATAGGTACGTAGGGGATGGTTACGCCTACTATCAGGTGCGCCGTCAGTTTGCCATTCTAGTGATCAAAACAAAGTATAATAAAATAAATTATTAAACACTGCAGGTGTGGGGTGTATTCAGTGATGCGCGTCGGTTTTGGCGCGTAACTAACAAATGGTCCCGGGGTCGAGAGAGTCGCGACGTGGTCGGCCCCGACCGCCAGACACAGGCAGCCTTGGGCCGTGTGCTAGCTCGCACCATCTCTGACACTACTGACACTGCAGTCATTACGACACCAGTCACTCCTTTTTGTTAGTATTTTAATGAATCTATACTGACAGTAAAAGTATTTCTTTCTGATATTCTTTCTAGACAAAAGATTGAGGAGGATGTTTTTTAAATATCCTCCTCCAAATTTTCTTTCTCCTCACAAACTTGAATGGCAACAAATATATGTATTAATTTTGGTTAATATTATTAAAAAAATATACGATAGCATAAAATACATTATAATAGATATAATCATAAAATAATTTGTTTTAATTTCAATGTATAGCTGCAAAATTAAAGTTTTCCTAGTTACAGAGTACCTATAACTTTATTAGATTATATTAGCAATCTGCTCGAATATTGTGATAATTATTCTTTATCTTGTTTTAAAATATAATTACAGGTAATCGCTGGACAGAAGTAGACCTTGAAGAAGAAGAAGAAATCGGTGTGACTAGAAGTGACTCAACATCATCATCCGGTAAATCTGAGGATACGGAGGAGTTTAGAGCGCGGGCCAGCACAGACTCCCGTTTGCCCCCAAGACCGACAAGAACAAGACATCCACATGTTAGTCGACCACTCCCACCGCCCGCTAGGCGAATGAGTATGGCTATGAGAGGAAACAATGGTAGCACCTACTGATTACCTGGAGTGTAAAATACTGGAAATTATTCTTCTATATTTGTTTTTCATACATATCGGCGTTTCCCAATAACACCCATAGGCGATCGTTTGCTTTTTGTAGTCGGAAAGAGCTATTGTTCTTATATTAGTCTTTTATAAGTTTTGGCAAACCACGCAAGCCAGAGGGTTTAGTAATTGTGAATTCTTGGATAACTTTCTTACTTTTACAGGAAATTTATGGCCATTCGATATATTTATATTCATCATTTTGGGATAACTTTTTATCGGAACAATAAATGTCATTTTTGTTATTAACCTCCACATAATGGAAACGATTACCAACCAACTTTGGTATCTAACAACATCAATCGTTCAGTTTTAGCACCGTGAGCACAAGGCCAATCGGGCACCCATCACAATCAGGAGTTTTTATATTATTTATATTTTTCTTATATAAACTCAAATAATAATAGAAATCAATTCAGTAGTTGAAGACTACGACTTCGCCATTACTGAATCGATTTTGATAATTGATAAACATCCTATTTCCTCCTTAATTTAGAATAAAATTGCAATATATTAGATTTATATATTCCAAAAACTAATATTGCAATTAAAAACTATTGGTAAGTACCTACCTTATATAGTATGTATGTATAATAATTTTATTCCTACAAAAATTAATCAAGTGCTTCTTCTCCTTTATATTAGTCTGTTTAATGTTTTAAATAGTGAATTATATCTGATTAATAATATATACCTAGGACATATTTATACGGTTCTAACGTCTGTTTGATGACTGTACTTATTTAAGTTGTTTGTAATTTTATACGTTGGAAGTTATCTATTATATGTAGACAAAATAACAAAAATGAGGATAATATACGATTGAATTGAATATTTATGACTAGCTGTATATTTTTAATATTGTTTTACCCACCTATAAACAAAAGAAATGGATAGTCATAATTATAAGCATAGATTACTATAATGTATAGTTATTTAAGTTGTATAGAATTATACAATACTCTGTTCTCACTCATATTCAGCTTGAAATTATTCTTTGTATTTTGTTAATTACCTATATTTAAATTGAAAAATTGTAAATGTACGTAACTAGTTATATTTGAGGTCAATTAAAACACATAATGAGGAGACACAAAAACAAGGATGATGAACAATTATTTTGTATTTTACTTAATAATAATAATTCCCAAAATAAATAAATATTTTTTATATGTTGACGTTGGCATAGCGCTCTCGCTTGCGTTATTCGCTTTACACATTCATATCAGCTAACTTATGAAGACAAGTTTACTAGAAATTTGATGGAGATATTTAGTAGATATACAGCAAGAAATCAAAATAGTGTTGTTGTTGTTAAGTAACAGTTTACTTAACAACAACAACACTATTTTGAATGTGATGGATTATACTTTATATTTCACATCCAATATCCCGTATAATGTATAGTTATCTACGTACCTACTCCTGTGTATGTCGCATAAATATTACCAGATTTTTACAGTAAACAACATCGTGTAACATACCTAACATACACCATGGACAACATACAAAACACAACTAAGAATCTCCATTGTCTAGCAATCAGTTACACAAAACAAGAAACATTTAATTTTATTTCTTTATACAATTCAGATACTCATGATCAGAGATGGGCAAAATAGTTTTAAAAAGCATTTAAATACAAAATGCAAAATACTATTCTGATTTACTATTTCAAATGGAAAATAGGTGTTTTCAAAATACTTTTTCAAAATAAAATACCTTTTGAGTTTTTGACCAACCCACAAATATTTTTATTTATTTTAGGTATTTAATATGATGAATAGAGATACAATGCCGAGCCGACCAAAAACGTCTAATAACATTGCACCTTATGCATGACATTTCATATGGTCATATTATCCGAATATTGATACGCGTAGTGATTGTACGCGTATCAATACTCGGTCATATTATTAATTAATAATAATAAAACTCACTTAAAATAATGTAAAAAACAAGACTTCGTAAAAGAGAGCCATGGCTCCATTTTGTGAATGCCATTTATTTCGGTTAAACAGCTGATTCAGATGGCGAATTATTTTCCCACCGAGTATGACGAGACTTGCAGTCGCAGATATCTATTTTCAAGCCGTTTCAGAGCAAACTTTTTCGTGCAAGTTTCATTCGTTATCTTGTATCCATCCTTAACATTTTGTTCACGTAATAATAGCGACGTGTAAGTACATGATTAAAAAAATGTTTTTATAATTTACACCTTATAAAATAATGAAAAACGGATGTGTATAATTTTTTAATTGCCTCGATGCTGTAACGGTATACCACACTACGTTATTTCATTGCACTGGCATGGTGCAAACATTTGTATCCATGAGATTGTTTATACTGGTCTGGATGAGGTTTATGTATATTATGTATGTAATTACAAATTTTTTTTTTTTTTTAATACAATTTTTTTTTTTTTTTTGTGTAAATCAAATTGAGTAAACAAACACGCTCTGCATTTATTCACATTTTAAAATATTCATACGAATTGTTTTGATCAAAACGTATATTCATTGTGTACAGTGATTGATAATAAACATACACAAATGTGGTTTTCAATTGAAGTGGCGGTTAACAGTGGTTTTCATCGTGTTTTTACTAACTACATACAAAGTCACCAGCTGTGTAGAATACAATACTACGTCTTTCTACAAGGATTTGCAGTAATCGGTATAAGTGCAAGTGCCAAAATTCAAGTCTGTGAGATATTGTGCTTGGAAGTTTAGTATCGTTTACCTATTGTGTTCAAGAAGAGATTGATAGTTCCAGTTCAAGTTGATGAAATAAGTACTGTTTTTCTACCTACCCACAAACCATCTCCAATACGGTTGCCATCGAGTGTTGTGGATCAAATATAAACACTATTTCACAATTTATTTTTTCCTAGTATGTATGTTTTGTTTTGTTATTTGATAGTTATATTCTAATTATATATTATTATTTATATATATATATATTTTTTTTAAATAATTATCATTATGGCTTTCATGGAATTTCATAAATCATCCTGAAATCATTAAAGTGTTTAAATAGATGTGATATTGCTATTTATTCATTTAGTTAAATTGTATTAGGTGGTAATTGTGCATTTTTTTATTTTTATTTTTTTTATTTTTGTATATTGTGATTATTCTATTCATTTCATTCCATTCAATAGCAGTGGTAAACTAATGATAGATTGTCTTTTATATGTATGTTGTCCATCTTGCTTTTTAGTTTTATATAATGCATAAATAAGTAGACTATAGTACACAATGCTACGGTAGTGCAGTTATGCCGTTAGAATAATTTCTGCTGCTTTAATAATCTGTATCTGATGGGTTTATTATTATTTTTTTTTTTATTATATTCATTAGAATACTATTTTAATAACTGACTTATTAATATTAACTGAGTTGTAGTAGTTGTATTTGTATATATATATATATTTTACATTAACTGATAGGTGATTGAGTGGTAGGTGCAATGTCTTTGCCGACTCCTTCAGATTCGGCCTCTAATGTTAACGTCACTGAGGATCTGTCGATGAATGGTTACGAGCGATGTACAAATTGTGCTCATCCGCGTTTTTTTATGGGACGAAGGGGTCTAAATATACATATTGGAAAAGTACATAAACCACAGTCACAGTCTTCTACTTCAACTGGTGCCAATGTTGACCCGTCGGGGGATCATGTAAGCATTTTAAATGGGATAGGATATACAAACTCGGACCTACCTTTTTGGAAAATCCTAAGCCATAATAAACATAATGTTACTGTCTTAAAAAGGATTCCACGGGGTGCCAGGGTAGCGGTGGCAACTGCTCTTCGAAAATGCGTAGACAGAGTGGTCTCCGATAACAATAAAGTAAGTTGGGAACAACTAATGACTTTCAGTTACAGAGTTCTCCATGTAAATAAAGATAAAGGGAGCAGCCTTTCACTTACACAGAAAATTAAGAACAATTGCTCAGATGAAGTTGTGTTTTCCTCTAACCATGCATTTGATAATCAGAATCAGAGAACAGATAGGGAAAGATCCAATTTCGACATTATTAAAAAGATAGAGAATAAGATAAATGACGGTGATATAAGAGGCGGTGCGCAAATGATTTTTTCTAGTGACACAATAGCTCCAGTGAATGAAAATAGTTTACAATCTTTAGTTGCTAAACATCCGGCTGCATCTATTCAGACACAATTGCCGAATCCACCGCAGGAGTCTAATCTCAAACTGCAGGTTTCGATGAAGGATGTTGAGATGGCTATTGCGAGCTTTCGGCATGGATCTGCAAGCGGGCTGGATGGGTTATCTCCTCAGCACCTTAAGGATTTAACATCAGGAATAATAGGAGACACTGGGAGAGCCTTACTGTCAAGTCTGGTTTGTTTGGTTAATAGCATGCTTGGGGGAACGGTATCCGAGGATATAACGGACGTATTGTATGGAGCAAATTTGTGCGCTTTGAAGAAAAAAATGCTGACATTAGGCCTATCGCTGTTGGCACAACTTTTAGGCGTTTGGTTTCGAAAGTTTGTGTAAAACATATTAAACCTAAACTTTCGGACCAGTTTCAACCCAAACAGCTAGGTTTTGGTACTAAAGGAGGCTGTGAAACAGCAGTCCATGCTGCAAGAACATTCCTTAATAATGCCGGGTGGGAAGTATTTTTAAAGTTAGATGTTAAAAATGCCTTTAACTCGATTGACAGAGGTTCTTTTTTGAGGGAAGTGGAGCAAAATATACCGGAAGTGTATCCGTACCTTTGGCAGTGTTATGGCTCGTCATCAGTGCTCGTATATAATCACCATCCAATTCTTTCGACTGCAGGTTGTCAACAAGGGGATCCATTGGGTCCAGTTGTTTTTAGTTTGGGTATAAATCCTATAATAACCCGTCTTAATTCGCCTCTTAATATTTGGTATTTGGATGATGGCTCTCTGGGGGGAAGTGCGTCGGTAGTGTCCTCAGATTTAGAGGTGTTAATAAATGATCTGGGTAGGTTGGGTCTACAGTTGAATTTTGATAAATGTGAGGTCTTTCTAGAAAGGTCACTGCCAGAATCAAGTAAACTAGATATTATTTCCAAATTTAATTCTCTAGCTCCAGGCATTAAAGTCATAACAGAGGACAATCTTCGATTATTGGGTGTACCTCTTTTAAATGAATCTATTCCAGCCTATGTGGATGAAGAAATTGGAAAGTTTCAGCAATCATGTGACCGCTTATTTTGTATAAATGCTCATATGGCTTTGTTTATATTAAGATTGTGTCTTTTTGCGCCCAAATTCACATACGTGTTACGAAGCTCAATGGTGTGGAAATTCCCAGAACAACTTGAGAAATTAGACATAGTACTAAGGGAAACTTTAATAAAAATTTTAAACTGTGAGTTAACTGATAATGCCTGGCATCAGGCTACATTGCCGGTACGCTATGGAGGAGTAGGCGTGAGAAAGGTTTCTTCTATTGCTCTTCCAGCATTTTTGGCTTCTGTCCATGCTTCTATTTCTCTTTGCGGTAAAATCATTAGCCCTTCGTCAGGTTCCGTGGAGATTTGGGGTATGGCTGA